ATTTGCTCTTCGTCTTTGGTGTTGACGATTACCGCCACCTTGACGTGGGGCTGGAGCGATTCGATCATGTCGAGCAGGACCGGCGCGAACGGACGACCCGCCAGCATCTCCGTGGGGTCGCGCGGCCAGCTCAACCACACGCATTCTTGCGGCTCGAACTCGGCCGGGAACGTGTACGTGTTGTCACCGCCGCCCTCCATCTTAGTAGGTCAGATTTTGCTGCTTCATTTTATTAAGAATAAAACATATATTAAATAAGAAACCATTTCTCTATGCCTTTTTACTTCGTTTATTTATTTGCGTAGGCTGGGACACTGCCGGGCCCTTCCGTCGCTTGTTTTGCCTCCGTGTCAGCGGGCGTGGGGTTCTCCTTTGCTCGGGGGGGAGTTGCCAGCTCTCTCCACATCTTCGCCACACTCCCTCTTCCTTCGCGTTTTCTCTATTCTCCGCTCTTCTTCCGCCGCTCCGTTTTCCTCCCCTGCACGTGCCTGCAGTTCTGGGCGTGCCCGAGCGGCCCGATGCGGCTTTCCTCATCGCCTGCTCCCTCATCCACCTCCTCCCCCCTCCTTCCTCCTCCGCGCTTCTCTTCTTCCCACATTCCTCAAACGCGTGCCAGCTACTCAAACGGCGCATACCACGAATTCTCTGCCGGCCGCCAGCCACCAAACTACGACACCTTCAGCGGAGCGGCACCGCACCACGACGAACTTGCAGGGGGGGCGGGTCGAGCTCAGGCGGCCATGACTTCACCATACTATATCACGCAACGGCCGCGCGTCAAGAAGAAGGCCAAGGCGGCGAAGCTCTCCTCCTCGATGACCTCGCTGCCGCTGGTGGATATGAGTGGTAGTATTGCGCCATCAGCAGGACAGACCCTCCAGCCGCCCAAAATGACCTCCTCATCCTCGAGCGATTTGATCAGCGACTACATGATGACGATACCCGAGAGCGGAATGGCGGAATCGCCCAAGCCTGGGCGAACAAGATCATCTTCCGCTTCATCTCCCTCACCAGGCGCCGAGAAGCCCTCGCACATCGACATCGATTTGGAGAAGAAGGGGAGCGATCCATCCGGTGGCCAGCTCCCATACGACGATGAAGCTTCATCCAAGAAAGGGGGAGAAGATACAGCGGTGCTCGTCTACCCGAGCTGGGCCTACAACCCCGTGGGGCGAATCGTCTACGCGGGCTGGCAGTTCGTGAAGGAGCACTTTGGCGAGGGGAGCGTCGGCTCGTCCATCTTCGTCCTCCTGAGCGCCACCCTCGGTGCCGGCACGCTGGCCTTCCCCTTCGCCTTCAAAGAGTGCGGCTGGGCACTCGCCATCTTCCTCATGGTACACGACGTTTTGTTGGCCGTGTTGCGTGTTGTGTCGTGCCATGTCTCATGCGTGCGGTGGGTTGGCGCGAGCTGTAGGCGGTGTGTGGGCTGGCGGCGTTCTATTCGATCTACCTGCTGGTGCTGTGCTCGATCATTACGGGCAGGAACTCATATGAGGAACTGGCCCACTCGGTCTTTGGCCGCGCCACGGAGATCGTGGTCGATATCTCCATCATCATCTTCACCTGGGGCTCCACAGTCGCCTACATGGTCATCATTGGTGCGACCACCACCCCACGCGCCCACCATAAAGCAACTCAACTCAAGCTGCCGCTCATCGCTTTCCTATTTTCCCGCTTGGTCGTCTGGCACAGGTGACACGCTGCCGCCACTAATGGAGCTGTTCGGCGCGGGGGACACCATCATGGCCGAGCGATGGTTTCTTCTCGTGTTCTCCACTATCTTCATCATTTTCCCTCTCACTCTCCTCTCGCGGATCAATTCTCTTCGGTACGCACACTACTCGCGAAGCATCCAGTTCCTTTCATCTGTTTTTTTAACTTCTTATTCTTTGTTTTGTTTCTCTACATGTGCAGACATACTTCCTTGCTCGGCTTTGCGGCTACGGCCTATCTGCTGGTGGCTGTCATTGCCGATACGTCACGACGTATAGCCGACCATGGTACACATCGATCCACACATTACATTGACGTGCCTGTACATTCGTTCGTGCAACCTCACGAACGGACGCGTTTCTCAGGGCTGGACTCGGACAGAGTGAGCGCAGCCAACTTCAGCTCTCGTATATTCGTCGGTCTGCCCATCATCTTCTATGGCTTCTCCAGCCACGTCAACATCTTTTCCATTTACCGGTACGCGACGAGGAATGCGCGCTTTGGCGGGTCCGCAAGCTCTGCGGCTGCGCACCATTCACCTGACTCGTGTTTCGTGATCTGTTCAGCGAGCTGAAGACCCCCACGCTGGCGAAGGCCACGCAAGTGATCGCGGGCAATATCATTATCGCATTCCTCGTCTACGGCACCCTGGGTCTCTTCGGCTACCTGGCCTTCCTTGAGAAGACCGACGGCAACATACTGGAGAACTACGCGCCTGAAAACATTGCAATTCAGCTGGGTACACGCACACACGCACACGCATACATGCACGCGGCTATGTCCGGCTAACCACTGCTTTCTTCTAGGCGCCTTGGCTATGACCATATCTGTGGTGTTCTACATCCCACTGAACACTCACCCGTGCCGCATCACGATCGACTGGATGATCACCTCCCTTTCCAAAGAGCTTGCTAAGGTACGCCCTTCCCAACAATTCGATTTGCGTTGCTCCCTCTTTGTCGTTCTTGTTGTGCTCCTGCTCGTTCACCTGGTTAACGCGCACCTGGCACACAGGTTGATATCACCGTGCGATACGTGGTCGAGACGATCATCATGGACGCTTTGGCGCTGCTCATTGCCATCGCTGTGCCCAACGTTGTAGTGGTGCGTCTTTTGCTCTCTCCCCAATCCTCAACGAGACTGTTGCTGATCGGGTGCCGCGGGCGTGTGTTTGTCAGGTGTTTGGTCTGTTGGGCGCTACGGCGACATCGCTGTGCTGCTACGTCATGCCGGGGCTGCTCTACATCAAAGCCGCCAACCTGCCCTGGGCCTCCAAAGAGGCCTTCCTGCCTCTTTGTCTCGTCACTGGTGGCACGTACGTCTGCCCGGCCGTCCTTGCTGTTTCTTTCTTCGCTGAGAGCTCGCTCACGATTCAAAACAAAACCAACACAGGCTGTGCGGGATCATCTCGACGGTGGTCATCATCTTCGACATGTTTGAGGACCCTGGACAACTGGAGTAGAGGATAACTCTCTTTAGCACAACAGTTCTGTTCATCTTCCAATGCACACGACCTCTTCTTCTGAGTCAGATTGTGTCAATGCGGCCCTTGTTGCTGTCATTGTCTGTACATGCTCTCATCTACACCGTTCGCTTTCCTGGATCCCATCTTCTTGGGTGGTCGGGTCGGTCTATGCCCGCGCTCCACTCTTCAAGTCCAGGCAAGTCGTGCAATCGATTGGCGAAGATGAGTCGGTGGTCGAAGGCCGAGATGGGTGGTGTCTGCGCGCGCTCGTGTCCTTCCCACACCGGCAACACCGCTGTGGTCGGAGCCTCTTTAGCGTCTCTGTTGACAAATTGCAGTCAGCCAGTGGTGCGGCCAGCCAGGCGCAAACAAAATCGGCGCGGGTGCGGCAGCCATCCTTGCCAAATTTGGCATCAAGTGGAACGTACGGCGTGAGTGGCTGATTCCTCCGCGCGGCGATGGTGCGGCACAGGCGGCGGAGGAGGTGTGCAAGCGCAGTTGCCGCCAGGGTTCTCGCATGGCCTCGACCTGCGCCACCATGGCCGCCGCCTGCTCATCGTTGTGCCCGTGCTCTAGTGATTCCTCTGCCAAGGCCGCGATCGACGCGGCAAGCGCGCCCAGCTGTGTCAGCCCACGAAGAAGAAGAAGTGGCAACAGCTAAAGTCAGTTCATGTCCGAAGCTCAAGTGAAGAGCTAGCACAAGGAAGGTACCTCACTGAGCGCTCGGTTAGCAGCTGGGCTGAGTGCCACATACGCCTGCGTGCGTCGGTTCATCGTGTGTGTCTGCTTATGTTCTGAAGTGTTGGAAGTTGTGAAGGAGCCAAGCACACTTCGCTTCTTTCCCTGCTGTGGCACCTATCAACAGTTGCCAAAGTAACGCAGAGGAAAAGAAAGGCCCAACCAAAAAAAGCAGCGCGGGTAAAATGGCCAGGAAATTTCGTTGCCATTTCACTTCTGAAATTCCAAAAACAGCGAAATGAATGATGAAAATACAGTTTTCAGCAAGAATCGGTCTGCGCCAAGATGAACGCCACAGGGCTGACTGATCAGCACCAGGAGCGTATTACCGCCTTCAAGGTAGGTGCAAGCATTGTTTCACGAGATTTGGCAATTGCTAATATCATTTTGCATGTAATACTTTAGGTGGTTTGCCAGTGCGATGACCGCACAGCGCACTACTACCTCCTCACCAATAACTGGTCCATGCGGGTACCGCCCCCCCTTCTTCTCAGCCCCCATTGCATTGGTCAGTTTGGCGTGACTTAGTCCTGTTTGCCCCCATCACTTCACTTTGCCCCCATAGCGCGCCACGGACCAGTACTACGACGACGGCTGCGTACGCCTCCACGATACACCTCCGCGCACTGGGCACACGCGGCACTCACTTCACACTTTCTTGGCACTTTTTGTCTTTTTTCAACTGCTGCAGCGGCCCAAGAATGCGGCCGACCTCAACGAGTTGCTGAAGCAGCGGCACACGCTTGACGGCCACCCAACCCCCACGAAGAAGGCGCAAGAGCAGGCAGTGATATTCAAGCCTGCCCCGTTTGGTTCGCACATGCAGGTACCTACCTGCCTCCTCCCCTGCGTGTGCGTGTTTTCGTTAGCGCATGTGTGTCGTGTCGTGTTGTGTCGTGTGTGTGTCGTGTTGTGTGTGTCGTGTTGCCGTCATCAAACACTCAGCCGATTGTGCGTGTAGGTGGCCATTTCGCAACTGTTTGCAACCAAGGAGCTTAGCGACGTCGTGCTCGTTCTCCCTGGCTCGCGCATTCCTGGTACAATCAGGAGCCGTCATGCCACTCTCATTTATTGGTGGCAGCTCGTCGTATTTTGCTGATGTGCGCCTCTTTCTCGCAGCGCACAAGATCGTGTTGGCCAGCGGTTCTCCAGTGCTGGCTGCCGCCCTGAACTCTCAAGGTACTCTTCCCCTGCCAATTAATTGACTGTCGCGTGGTGGTCCTCATGCCGTTGGGGGGGGAAACAGGCGAGGCGGGAGCGAAGGAACTGGCGCTCGAGGACGAAGCGGATGAAGCCGCCTTCCATACCATTCTCGCCTACTTGTACACCGGCAAAGCCTCCGTCGCCTCCGATCGCGTGCACAATGTACGTCCAGACGCACACAACACGACACACACACGACACACACACGACACGACACACGACACAGCGCGTTCTGATACGGGTGTTTGTTGATTCTCACTTTCTCTGACGTATCTGCAGTTATTGATCGCCGCGCATCGCTACGGGGTGGACGCGCTGAAGGAAAAGTGCGGCGTCTACCTCTTCCAGCGCCACCTCGAGTCCGCCAGGCGGCGGAAGAAGATGGCCGCGGCCGCCAAGAAGGGGAAGGAGAAGAGCGAAGAGGAGGAGAAGGAGGAGGACCACGTCGACAATGTCGACGGCGACAGCGATGACATGCAAGTGGACGATGCGGACGAAGAGGGCCAGGAGGGCGAAGAGGCCCAGGGCGTGGGTCATCTGCTCCGCCTTGCGCAGACCTACAAGTGCCATGAGCTCGAGAAGCTGTGTGCGGAAGACCTGGCCCGCAACTTCTCGACTCTGTGTGAATCGGTACGGCGTGCGTGTGTGTGTGCGGTGGTGCGTGTGCGCTGTGATTCTAAAGTGTTAATGGCTGTGCAGGGCAAGCTAAACACTCTGCCGCTGTCGACGTTCATCGAGCTGATCAAGAGCGAGAAGGTGGCTGCGGCCGAGGAGGAGATCTTCGATGCCGTGGTTGCCTACGTCAAATTCCAAAGAGACACTCAGGTACCACGCCCACCGCCTGTGCGCCGCTGGAGAGAAACTGAACAAAAATGTGTTGAATGCGCGTGACCACCTTGCGCCGCGACTAGGGGCTCGACGAAGCGGCCCTGTTGGAGCAGCTGCTGCTCTTCGTGCGCTTCCCCTTCATACAAAGCCAGCGGCTGGTGGAGGACGTCGAGGGCAATCCCCTGATCGCGGGTCTCAAGCTCACCGGCGAGCTGCTCTTCGAGGCCTATCGCTACAATTTCTACAGTCAGCTCTACAACCAGGTGCGTGCCGTGTGCGCCGTGCATGTCGTGTGCGCCGCACGCGTTGTGTGTCGTGTGTACGCGTCTGATTGATTGCCTTGTGTGTTTTTGTGCAGAACATTTTGAGCCCCAAGTCGCAGCAGCCAGCCAGCCTGTCGCATGCGGACGGGGAGGAGAGTTTCTATCTGGACTGCGCGACAAAGAGCTCGACAGCGAAAGGACCGAAATTCGCCTTTACGTCGCCCCTTCCGCACTACGAGCTCCGCTGCTCGCCTCGCAGCGGTACGCAGACTCTTTTGCGTATTTTGCAATCGACCGTCTTACCCACGTTCGACACACACGACACACGACACACGACACACACGACACACGGATCATGGCACACGACGCACGACGCACACGCACGACACACAAACGGCACACACGACGCACACAACACAGGTGCGGTCAAGTGGAATTCCACGAAGAAGTCGCGGGACATTGCCATTTCCAACAGCATGCTCACCGCCTCCCATAACGGATCGTCGTCCGTTTGGTACGGAACTCCAACCTTTCTTTCGGGGCCTTCCACCAGTTGAGAGTTGAAAAAGTTGCGTATCTGGAATTGTGTGTGCTCACACCCTGTGGCGGGGGTCTTTCTTCCGTGTGTGTGATGGTGCAGGATGTCTGTGGTGGCCGACGTCCCCTTTAGCGACCATCTCACGTCGATCTACGTTCATATTGACCGCAATGCCAGCAACTGGATTTTCATTGGTGCGTGTGTGCGTGTGCGTGTGCGTGTGCGTATGCGCGCGTGCGGAAGCTAATGGGCGTTCGGTGTAGGGGTGGCGGAGGAGCAATGGATGGACTACGCCGCCTCTTCGGGCAACTATCTGGTATGCAACACACACGCTCTCTACGCCGCGTTACTGCGCGCTTGTTCGAGCCTTTATTAACGTATTTTTTTCCTCCCACAGGGCGTCGGCGCGGGTACTTGGTCGCATGGGTCAGCCGGTGGTTATGGAAAGGTCCACAACGGCGTCGCCGGCGCCTATGGCGTGTCCTTTGCCACGGGCGACACTGTTGGTACACTACGCCCGCCGTGCGTGTCGCGTGTCGAGTGTCGAGTGTCGTGCCACTGTGAATGTCTTGCGGTGCGGTGAGGTGCGTGTCATGCCCAATTTCACGTTCCTGTATTGCAGGAGTGCACCTGAACCCGGAAACGGGTGTACTGTCGTTCTCCTGCAATGGCCGGAACTATGGTACGCGCAGCTTGGCTCAGTTCTTTGTGCGTAGCCTCACACACACGACACACACGACACACACGACACACACGACACACACAGGACCTGCGTATTTGTCTCTGCCGGTCAGTAAACGCCTCTTTCTGGCGGTTAGCCTCTACCACCACAGTGACCAGGTACCCAACGCCACCCCACATTAGTATTTATATTCATTCATTTAATTATTGACCACTTGCCCTGCGCAGGTGACACTGGCCAGAGGTAGGCCCAAGAAGTTCAAGGCCGCCCTGAACAGCATTCATCCCGCAGCAGCCTTGCCGACAGACGAGGAGGAGGATCCCAATTTGTTTGGCCTGTTCGGCTAAGAGAGCGTGGCCATACCGCACGGCCAAGCTATTGAGCTGCGAGGGCTCGCGATACAACATTACATGAGGGAGAAAGTTCTTGTGTGCGGTTGGAACGACAGACAACATTGTGTGTGTGTGTGTGTGTTGGTCAGTCTTCAGCGTTGAGTGGCTTGCGCATCAGCCGCGGCGCCCCGGTGGTGGCGTCCCTCACTACCTGTGTGCGTGTGCGTGCGTGTTGTGTGTTGTCAGCAACGGAATGGATCAGCACTGAGAGCACACAACCAAGGCACGTACCTCCAGGTGCGCCTTGTTGGAGTCCTCATCGGGATGGCGCACGTAGTGGTCGATGTCGGTCGCCGGCACGTTGTGGTACTTATGGTGGCCTGACCCGAGGCCCGTGTCTGGCAGGTCCGTCTTTCGGTCTGTGTGCGCACGCAGGCGTCAGCCACGCGTTCAGTTAAGGTGGCGAACGGACGAACCTGAGAGGAGGGTGGTGTGGAAGTGCGGCTCCTCGCGCTCCTCCTCCATGAGGGTGTCGGTGAGGTCGTCCCCGGTGAGCCGTATGCCGCTCAGGTGGTCGGGCCGGTCCAGCACGCGCCGATTGTCCGCATACCTCATCGGCAGCGGCTTGCTCCTCTCCTTCGCTTCCTTGTCGGCCATCGCCATCTCTACAGATCGACTCTGCAGGCAGTCTTGTTCAATGGTCTGTGTATGCTCGTGGTACGGCGCAGGCCTTTGCCGCAGACGTTGGCCAGCTCACGGGAAATCAGGGCAATTCCGGTGGGAACCTGGTGCCATTCTAGGAGTTGGTTGGCTGGAAGGAATTCCCAAGGTTGGTTTGGGGCTTGATCGTGGCGTCATCATGAGAGGCGTCGGCTTGATGTTGAGTTCAAGCCATTCGACTTTATGCGCAGGCTGTGTCAGGCCCCTGCTCTTCGTATTCGAATACAAGCCGTCAGTGACGCAAGCCTTCTGCTGTCCGGAATGAAGAAGAGGAAGCAGCACAGCCTCGCCACCCAGTCGCCACCCGACTACAACCATGACGGCGAAGATGAGCCGAAGAGGAAGAAGGAGAAGAAGAAGGCCAAAGACGCGATATCGGCTGGGTTCGACTACACGCTCGACTTCAAGTCGCTCGACATGAGGGCGCACCCAGAGCTGTACCGGGTGGGCCGCGGCGAGCAGGGCGTGCTGTCCGTGGAGCCCTACAAGTCCGAGATCCTGCCCCACTGGCGCTTCCGCACGCCCGACATCGCGGCCGAGAGCGCCGACGCCATCCTCGCGCTCTACAACGACTACAAGCAGCACCACGACTTTGTCGGTATGCCGCACACACGATCATGATCCACTTGAGCCACGCATAACGCGTTATGCGTGTGCGGTGGCTAAGCGTGCAAGGCACAGGGATGGACATGAGTAGAAAGTTTCTGCAGATGGGCTTCACACGCTCCCGACGCTACGCCAACCACCGCAGTGGACGTAAGTACTCCTCCCAAGACAAAGCAGGTAACGATCACTCCAAACCGCGCACGACACGCACACGACACACGACACACGCTCACGGGTGGTGAGCAGGCGACACGATGACGGAGAAGGAGAAGGAGGAGGTGATGGCCAACTCGGTGTTCAAGGACGAGCGCAACCGTAGGCACACGATCAAGACGCGCACCAAGGAGGTACTGCCGCTGGACCACGACCCGGTCAAGGCCCAGAGCGCCGAGGCGTTCCGCCAGCGGCTCGACGTGGTCAAGGCCGACCCCGACTACGTCCGCATGAAGGCCGAACATCAACACAAGTACGAGGGCAAGCCTGCTAAGAGGCCTGCTAAGGCGGCCATACGCTCAGCCGAGAGATGATGAGGAAGACGAAGGAGATGAAGGTGATGGTGATGATGGTTTGTGGAGTGGGAGTTTTAGTGTAGTAAAGGAAGGAGTAGTAGAAGAAGAGAGGGCTTAGGAGTGTTCCTTCTCTTCTGTGCTCCAGCTGTCGTCGCCCCAGGAGGTGGCGGGCGGTGGCTGGAAGAGATCGCCAAAATCGTCCTCCTTCGTCTCCTGACCGAAATCGTCCATCGTCGTCTCCTCTTCCATCTCGAAGGGTTTCGATTCCTCCTTCTTCGAGAAGAGGTTGGTGAGGCTGGAGAAGAAACCGCCCTTCTCCTCCACATCGAGCACATCCTCGAGCGGCGGGGGTGGCGGCGCGTAGCCGAAATCTTGCTGCTGAGCTGGGCTTTGTCGCGAGATGACGAAGACAATACCCTCGATCAACGCCAGCAGGCCACCTCCCACCACACCGCTCTTCAGAGATCCCTTCCATCCCGCTGTAATATGAGATGCAGGTGGAGATGTTAATAAAATTAAAATGATTCTCCCTACATCATGCAACCAAATCGTGAGGTGTGAGATGATTGACGTACTTCGCGCAGCGAGGACCGCACCGGTGGCAGCACCCGACATGATGGAGTTCTTGAAGTCTTCCTTTCCTCGCAGATAGGCGAATGTGCAATCGAAGCTGGAGTACAGGCCGCCCCACACGGCGAAGCTGCCGCCCAGGCTCGGCGCCTTCGTTTTGAGAGCCGTAATGGCGGAGGACATGCGCATCCCCTGAAGATGGAGACCAAAATCTTAGTGATTCCTCGAAAATCTCAAATGCGCCGGATCGGATAGGAAATGCCGGGCAGATGCGAGCGTGAGCGCCATTGATGGCCAGTGATGGAAAACAGTGGCGTGTCGAGAATGGGCCACGTACTCGTGGCGCTTGGGGCCAGCCCATGATGACGCCATGCCAAAGGCTGCCGCCGATTGCGCCCATGGCGAACGCGCTGCCGCAGTCTGTGACGATACGGGAAGGGCAGGGATCTCTGTAGGCGTCCATTGATTTGTGTGTCTCTCTTGTGTGTGATGAATCAATTCAACGATTGATGTGTGCCGTGTTGCTCGCCGGGCTCGCGTGGTGTTCCCGGAAATTTGTCGACCAGTCTTCTCTGACACTCACAGGCAGCATCGATCCTCTAACACGCCAAGCAGCGTGCAACCTACAATGAATCAAGCACCACCACCACCATCGTCATCTTCATTCATTGTTCATCGCCGTCGGAATCGCCAGATCATCTTCTCCTGATCCCAACAGTCGATGAATTCAAACTTGCGGGTGTCCTCAAACGTCTGCACGAGCTCCTCTCGGCACTGTGAGAACTTGGGCGAGAGTCCGCCCGGCGGCATGTAGGCTGCCACCACACCGCCCTTCTTCGTCCACTCTGCAGACATCAACACATCAACGCCGAGATGGTTGGTCATGGTACCACACACACACACACATACACACAACGACGCAAACACAAAACGCACACGCACACGACGCACAAGGAATCGTCGTGATCGTACCTGCAAGGTTCTCGAGGAAGTACTTGGAGTAGATGTAAAGCATCACCTTCTTCTTGGGCGGATCGATGATGACGCTGTTGAACAGCGAGGGCAGGATGCCCTTGCGCTGGTAGTCGGCAAAGAAGCGGAAGAGCGGCAGCGATTTTTCCCGCTGCACGTCGAGCGTCTGCAGCTTGAAGCGGTGGGCCAGCGACGGATCGTCGATGTTCATGCTCCACGGGTTGCGTCGCACGAGGTTCTGTACCGCCGTGTATTTCTGAACGTCGAAGACCACGCACCATCAAAGTAAGTTGTTTAGAGCGGGCGCCAACGTTTGTCTGGGTCGGAGTCGGTACCTCGAATGCCACGACACGCTCGGCGCCAAGGTTGAGGGCCTCCTGTGACACATAACTGTGCAGCGTCTTGTGTGAAACGACACCATCATCGGTAGGACCATCATAGCGGCGGCCGATGAAGAAAGAGATGGAGTTGCACATACCCGAGACCAAGGAAGAGGTCGAGCGTGACGTGGCCTTCCTTCACGCCAGCGGCTCGGGCGAACTCCTTGGAAAAGTCGGTCGTAGTGGCATAGCCCCTGGTCCGGTGCATCTATTTAAAACCCACAAATACGGTGTAAGTCGAACATGTAGCGCACGTGCGCAGCCTATTTCCACACACGACACACGACACATGACACACACGACACACACGACACACACGACACACACACAACACCTGCGTACCTTCAAGTTGGACATGTACAAGAGAGATCCAATGCACTCGTTTTCCTTGCCGTACTCCTCGAGGATCCTACCCTCCCTGATGTGTCGCTCGCGCGCTTCGTCGTCGGCAGACGCCGACTCACCACCGCCAGAGTCGTGATCAAGTGCGCCCTCACCGGGCTCTGTGTTGGCGGCGTCGAGTTGGCTTTGCTCTCTGTCGGCGGTCTCCGAGGCCTCGCTCAGCGTGAACACCGACCCATCCTCTGCCGCAAAGCGGAGAGGGTTGTAGGCAAGCTTTTGCGTCTGTGTGTGCGGTGCGGTGTGCGTGTGCGTTAGTGCCTGCGTGCGTGTGTCATGTGCGGTGGCGTGTTGCGTGCACGCAAGGACGGCGAAGCACGTACATTGCCGTGTTGGGAAATGAAGACCTCGTAGGAGATGTTCTCCTTCATGGCCTGCAACAGCACGCTCATCGAAAGCGCATGGCCGCTGCGACGACGAAGCAAAAAACGGTCAGCCACGATGTGAATGTAATCAGCATGCACACGAGGAGCGCGTGAGTAGATAAAGCAAGAGTGCGCTGCCTTGCCTCCAGGCAGGTCGAGGTTGCATAGCCGTCGGGTCAAACGTGAAGTCAAGCTGCCGCTTGTGAAAGTCAACCGGCGCCGAAGCCACCAGAGGCGTGGTCTGCCGGACGGATCATCATCATGATGATCACAGGTGAGCAGATTGTGCATGCGGCCACGTCAAAGATCAAAGATGTGCGTTGCAGGAAGAGGGAGGGGAGCGAGCACCTGTAGAGGCTGTCCAGGATTGGCCAATCGTTCGGTTTGCAGGCGGTGCCGAGTGCGCAGCAGCGAGATGGCTGTGGATCGCGAGATGATGAACTGCCGCAGCTTCTCCACCTTCTCCGGAAGTGGTTCTCTGCCGGGCACAAAGCCGGCATGACCTCCGATCCTGCTCCCTCTCATCTTGATCGATTTGTTGCCTGACTCTTAGTAGAAACCCACAAGAAAAAAGGTTTCTACTGTTTTCTCCAGAAGAGAGAAATCAAATCGACATCGGAAGATGCAGCGACAGGCCTTCGTGGGCGCGTCCTGCCTGGTACGCATCCTCGTCGTCAACTCTTTACGACGTGCCGCCGCAGGATGTGCCGGCTTCACAGCATTTCGGTCTTTTTCAAATCCCAATTTTTAACCTTTCTACAAACATTTTGCAGATGCGAACGCCCTCTCGCGTGATGCCTCTCACTTCCTCAGCATCTTCGCGACGTACGATCTCTCCATCTCTATTCCCCCTCCCCCCATGGGTATCTTTCAATTTTAATGCTGGCTTGCTTGTGGCGGTGATTCGGCAGTTGTGCTGGGCACCGTGCTGCAGCGAGACCAGCGACGCGGCCTGTACAAGACCGACAAGCTGCCCCAGATCCAGCTCCGGCCGGAGCCGCTGCCCGACCTCGGGCCGTGGCTGGAGCTGACCCTCGTGCGTCCGCCCACCGACGAGCCCGCCCAGGTGCGCTCGACCCTGCGCAAGCTGGGCCTCAGCACCCGCCAGTCGGTCTCCTTCCAGCGGGACATTGGCCCCATCCGTGGCATGCTCTGCTCGGTACCCGCCTGTGCCTCCGACATCTGCACACCACCCTGTGCTACCGCTGTTGTGCTGACTCTACATTTCTCACTTTGTCTCGACAGATCAACCACTTGATCAAGTTCGAGCCTGTCAACATGGAGAGATTTGGTATACTTGTCTTCTTCGTCTTCTTCTACTCTGGTGCTTTGTCTTATCAGCATCTTCTCCTTGTCGTCCTCTTCTCTCGATCTCGTGTGTCGCAGATGTGCTGAGGGCCGATCCTCCAAGGCGCGAAGTGGCCGAAGCCGAGGTCGAGGCTGTGGAGGAGGAGGAAGAGTGGGTGCGCTTCAAGCGAGAGTACATGGCCAACGTCGCCGCCGCCGTGAAGAAGAAGGAGGAGTCCGAGAAGAAGGCCGCCCTCGCCGCCGCCAAGGAGGCCGCCGACAAGAACAAGAAGAAAAAGAAGAAGTGAACACCCCCTGCATCGCCATCAGGGTCTGCCCTGGATGTAGCAGTGTTGGCCAACAACGTTTGCATCATTGCATTTGTTTGGCATCACCTTCATTCAACATTACTCTGTTGAACATGGTCAAAGCAGTCCACTCACGCGTGGGCAGGCAATTTCGTGTGGTGGTCGGGCGACAGTGACACAGCGCACTGCAAGCTGGTACAGTTCGGGCTGACTCCAATGGTGAGAAGGTCTTTATCGCAGCCAACCAATGGAAGGGCGAGCTGGAGCTATAAAACCTGCCACTCACTCCCCCTCTTCTTATCTCAACTTGACATCGTCAACATCATCTCAGCACACCAGCACAACTACTCCAACCAAGCACAACAATGAAGCTCAACGCCATCCTCTTCGCCTTGGTCTGTCTCGGCTTGCTTGCTCTCGCTCTCGCCCACGATGGTGAGTTCTTCCTCCCCCACCGGACTGTTCCAATGCAACCAACCAACTCCAACTGACAGTTGATTTGTGGTTGGACAGGCGAAGACCACAGCGGCAAGAAGAACGACGACAAGAAGGACCATGACTGGGACTGGGACAAGGACCACGACTGCGACGACAAGGAGGATGATGATGATGATGACAAGGAGGAGGGCAGGTGCTACTGGAAGTGTGTCAAGGTGTGCCACAAGAAGAAGCCCCACCACACCTCCACGACCAAGAAGCACACCTCGACCACGACCCCCAAGGAGACCTCCACGACGACCAAGAAGTTCACCACATCGACCACGACCGAGGACTGCCCCAAGGAGACCACGACGACCAAGAAGCACTCGACGACCACGACCGAGGACTGCCCCAAGGAGACCTCCACGACGACCAAGAAGCACACCACATCGACCACCACGACCGAGGACTGCCCCAAGGAGACCACGTCGACCAAGAAGCACACCACGTCGACCACGACCAAGGAGTGCCCCAGGGAGACCACGTCGACCAAGAAGCACTGCGACGACGATTACAAGCACTAAGCGGGCAAGCGCAACACGCCACTTAGCTTAGCACACGGCGCAGCAGCAAATAAAAATTGGATATGCAACTGTGAACGGGCAAGCGGCTTTACAGCGGCTGGTACTTGTGCATGAAGTCCGACACGGAGCGGATGCTGCGCTCCACGTCCTTCAGCTGCTTTTCTGCCTCGGCCTTGGCCTCCCTAATTTTGTTTTATCGTTCGCGTATGCAACGTCAGCTCACAAATAAATAATTAATAATAATAAATAATTAATAATACAAAAATAATACATAAATAGGAGCGCCGTACTTGTCCTGGTTCCGCACGTCGAGGGGCACCTTGTCGAGGTAGTACGGACCGGCGACCTTCTGCTCGATCCACTCGATCTCCTTCTCGAGCTTCTTCTTGCGTTTGTTCATCTTCTCGACCTCCTTCTGCAGGTTGGCCACGTTCTCGGGCGATAGCGACACCTCTGCGCTCGTGGCGGTGGTCTGCTGGTGGTCGCCGCCACCGAGGTGGAGCAGCGGCAGGAAGATCTGCGTGCGGCTGTCCAGCACGCGCACGCCGCAGCCCTCCGGCTCGGCGGCATTGTGTTGTACGTCAATGCGGCTGGCCCGGGCCAGGTGGCGAATCACAGAGGCCTCGTTGCTGCACACGCACGCGCACACGACACACACGATACGACACGACACATGCGATGAGTTCGCGAGATTGAGACGGACGCGAACATGAAGCGGCAGCCGAACCTGAGAAGGTCGTAGAGCGAGGCGTCGGTGGTGTGAATGGACACCGAGTACTTGAGCGGCGTCGCGCCGTGTCCGTCGCGCAGCGATCGCACGGCATGGAGCACTCGTAGCACCTCCTGCGAGTGGTGACAGTAAGGAAATGTTAGGAAATGTTGTTTGCGCCACATCTGCAGAAGAAGAGAAGGCGTGTGTGTCATTGAATCCATACCTCCATCGGCTTCTCGTAGGTTTCCTCGTTGCGCCAGGCGGCAACTTGGTTCGCGGCCAGCGGATAGGCGGCGTGCATCAAACAATCCTCTTTCTACGCATGAGGGGAAAAAAATAAAATTAATATTCGTTAAAAAAACCCAATTAATTACCTAAATGATTAATAAATAATCTGAAAAAAGATAAATAAAAAACGAACCTCTTGGCTGGTGGGCAAGCGCTGCCAGAGCTCCTCGGACACGTAGGGCATGAACGGATGGAGGAGGCGGAAGTAGCTCTCGAGACACGTGTTCAGCACGTTCTTGATCTGCGCCTGCCTGGGCCGGGGCTGTAGTAGAGAAGCTTCGTCATCAGTGGACTGAAGACCGCAGACGACGCGAAGCACGCGCACACGCAATACCTCGCCAGAGATGTAGAGCTTGGCATACTCGAGGTAGACATCGCAGAACTCGTTGAGGAAGAAGTCATAGAGCGACGACGTGGCGACATGGAACTCGGAATCACTCATTCCCTGATTGCGCCGGAGCAGTAACAGAATTGAACATACACGACACACACGACACACACGACACACACGACACACACGACACACACGAGCAAACACGACACACACGACACACACGACACCTACACGTCACACACGACACAGAAGCAAGAGCATCGCAAACCTGGTTGCACTTGGTGACGACCTGGCTGAGGCGGCTGAGGATCCATTTGCTGGCCAGATCTGTAATAAGAAGAAGAATAATTAATAATAATAACAAGTGAATGTCAGTACAACGAAGTGGGGTCAGCAGGGGAGACGCACCATCAGGTTCGGGCTGGGCGACGGGCGTGCTTTCGGCATAACTGAGCACGAACCGCGTGGCGTTCCACATCTTGTTGCAGAAGTGGCGGTTGGCCACGACCTTGTTAATGTCCAGGTTGATGTTACGTGTCTGTATCATTCAGGACCGAACGCACACGCACAACGCGACACGCACGACGAGCACAACACACACCCATCGTCAGCGCTGTTCACAAGCGAACATTGGGGGGGGGGAAGCAGCCGTGAACCTGTTGCGTGTAGTTGACCAGGGTGAAGCGCAGCGCGTCGGTGCCGCACTGGGGGATGCCGGCGGGGTAGTCCGACTTGATGCCCGCCGTGGCCCTACCACAGCAGGGAAAGGCAAGGGGAGAGCTGCTGAGCACTCACGGCAGCCAAGGCCTGGGGGTTTGGGCGTGCGCGTACTTTTTACGTTCGGCTTCGTCGAGCAGGTTGTGGTTGAGGTTCTGGAGGAGCTGTTCCAGCGGGATGCCCTCAATGACGTGCAGTGGGTCGATCACGTTGCCCAACGACTTTGACATCTTCCGCCCGTGCGCGTCCCTCACCATGCCATGCAAGTAGACCTGCCCGACACGACACGACACGACACGACACGACACGACACGACACGACACGAGTCAGCTGATGCTGTTGACTGAACGCTGTGCATCATGTTACCTTCTTGAAGGGCGCCTGCTGGGTGGGGCTGAGCTTGGAGCAAATCATGGCCATGCGGGCGACCCAGAAGAAGAGAATGTCGGCGCCGGTCTCCATGACCGAGAGGGGGTAGAACTCCTTCAGGTCCTGCGTGTTGTCGGGCCACCCGAGCGCGGAGATGGGGAAGAGCGAAGACGAGAACCACGTGTCCAGCACATCCTCATCCTGGTGCCGATGTTAACCACGTATCGTGTGCGTGTGTGTGCGGTGATGCGTGTGTGTGTGTGTGTGCGTGTGCGATTGTGAGTGTGTCGTGTGCGCGGTGGCGTGCGTGTGGTGTCGAGGTAAAGAGGGCGGCCAAACCTGCTCGAGTTTGGGTGCCGCGATGTCGGGGTAGAGCGCCTTGGCCTTCTCCAAGGCTTCCTCCTGGTTCCGCGCGATGACCCATCGCTCCTTTTGCCAGTCCTCTGTCGCGAACACAAACGAGTCCCCGAGCAAGCATATGAGTTATGCACAATGCCGCGTACTGTGGTCGACGGCCGCATGATTTTGGGGGCTCAGCGCTTACCGGGCAAGGTGTCGTTGTCCTTGTTGTTGGCAGCGGCCCGCTCCTCGCCCTCGGCGACCACCTTGTAGGCCGGAACGCGGTGTCCCCACCACAGCTGCCGCGACACGCACCAGTCCTCCACGTTCTCTGCTCACCGAGAGAAATAGACAAAATGTATAAATAATAATAAGTAATAGTAAGAATAGTAATATTAAAAATAAATGCATCATTGAGTAGAGCAGATTACCCATCCAGCGGTACCACTCGTGTTTGTGGAAGTCGGGAATGAGCTCGATGGTCCCGTCGCGCACCATTCGTGCCGCGTCAGCGCCCATGTCCTGGCACGCCACGTACCTGCGCGAAAAAGAAGAGAAATGTTGGTTTCATGCAGGAGAGGTATTGAGCGTGTTCCGGAAGAAGGAGAGGATGCGCGCACCATTGCGGCTTTAGCAGGGGCTCGAGAACGTCTCCGGAGCGGGAGCACAGCGCTATCCTGGACTCGTGGTCCTTCTTGTCCTTGTAGAGACCCCTGAAAGAGACGTGTCAATGTCTGGTTTGCGCATGTGCGTGTGGTGTGGTGCGTGGCTTGTTTGGCAAGCTGCTTACATCTTCTCCAGCTCTTCGACGACCTTTCGCCGCGCCTCCATTCGGTCCAATCCCTGGGCGGAAAGGCAAGCCACCAGTCCATCAATAAAAGAGGATATAAAACTATTAACAATGCAATAATAACAATAACAACTTATAAGAGCTGTACCTGGAAGTGGAGGCCGTGCTGGTTGAGCGTGCCATCGTTGCGCAGGAGATTGATGCGCGGCAGGTTGTGCCGCACACCGCAGGCAAAATCGTCGAAGTCGTGTCCAGGCGTGACTGCGCTCGTGACATAAATCAATAAATAAAAGTAAAACGAAATATGATAACATGATGTTCCCATGTTGTCGTACTCTTGACCACTCCGGTGCCCAGCTCGCGGTCGACAAGAATGGGATCGGCGACGATGGGTATGGGCTGGCCGGTGAACGGGTGGATGGCCCTCCGCCCGATGAAGTCGACGTAGCGCGGGTCCTCGGGGTGGACGGCGAGCGCGGAGTCGCCGAGGATGGTCTCGGGTCGCGTCGTGGCCACCTCCAGTTCTCCGCCGCCCTCAACCCGATAGAGGAAGTGGTGGATGACACCGAACTCGTACTTTTTGGTGCCCTTGCCCGGCAGGGCGATCATCGTCCGCCTACTCAGTGATTCATACTCGACCTGTACGTGTGTCATTATGCGTGCGTGTGCGTGTGTCGTGGAGGTGCGTGCGGCGAATTTATGAGTGGATGGACGTGCGAAGAGAGCGAGCAGAAAGAGAAAAACCTCTATGTCGGAGATGACGGTCTGCAAGAAGCAGCACCAGTTGACCAGGCGGGTGGATCGATAGACGAGACCTTCATCATGAAGCCTGAGCAGCACCGGCGGTGAGTCAACGGGATCACTACACACTCGTTACGGCCGAGTGGTAGTGGTCGTACCGGACAAAGGCCTCGGTGACGGCTTTGCTGCGCTGAGGGTCCATGGTGAACACCTCCCGCGACCAGTCCAGCGACGTGCCCAAGCGTCTCTGCGTGCGAGACTGTCACAATCGATTTCACAGGTGGCCATCGTTTAAACCAATTCGTACCAATTGGTTGTTGATGTGGTTGCCGTGCGTCTCCTTCCACTTCCACACCTCGTCGATGAAAGCTTCTCGGCCGAGGTCGTGTCGCGTGAGCTAGCACGGGCCAAATTACATCAGTTTGCTTGCACGCATTTTTCTCACGACACATAAAAATAAACAAAACAATAGTTTCGGACGACCACATCAATGATCACGATACCTTTTTCTCCTTCTGGAGCCTCCTCTCGACCACGGTCTGCGTGGCGATGCCCGCGTGATCGGTGCCTGGCACATACAGCACGTTGTCGCCCATCATACGACGCCATCGCACAATCGAGTCCTGAGGGGACGGCGGCCCACGTCAGACACACACACAGAGCCATTTAAGTATGGTATTGTGGGTACCTGAATGGCGACGGTGAGCGTGTGGCCGATGTGGAGCGTGCCGGTGACGTTGGGCGGCGGGATTACCATGGAGAAGTTGTGCCCTGGCGGTACCCCATTCTTTCCCCTGAAATATCCTGCAATGGCCCATCCAGTACAACAAACAGCAGTTGCACGTGAGACACGGTGCTGCGGCTCAGTTGTGTGACAGAACAAAAGGTGCCGCACCTTGACTCTCATACCACTGGTACCAGCCGGCGCCTTCGATTGCTTTCTGTGTGCGCGCGGGTGTGTGTCGTGTGTGTCGTGTGACCAAGCAAGTTAATGTGGGCGCCTGCTGGTGCGGACAGAGAGTTCGTACCGGATCGTAGGCTGCGGCGAGTGGACCCTGCGTGGGCGGCTTTGTGCGTGGCGCACTATATTTATCATAATTTATTTTAAATAAATTACTCAAAAAATGGCATTTATGCATTAATAATTATTGAAAAAGATTAGATTACCTGGTCAAGGTGCGGCGCGAGGTTGTGGAAGATCGGACAAATGTGGAACGGAACAGCACGGCTGATGAGCGAATCTCCAGTCGTGGAATCAGTGCGCCGCTGGCGTGGATGCTAGCCAGCCCTCCCCCAGCCTTCTTCCTCCGGAGGCTCTGCAGCATCCTCCGCTTTTTCTTTGTCGAAACTAAATCAAAAATAAATCAGATAAAAATGGACTTCGTAGACAAAGAAAAAGAAATGGGAAACTTTTGATTGGTCCACGTAAGATCAAGCCTTGACGCATCCCTATTGGTGATATTCGTATCCGGAGCATACACTCTTTACCTCCTGGAAATTTTTCACGGCCACAAACGAAAGAAGACGCGAGGTAAAGATGAGCGAGGCCGTGGAGATGTCGCACGAAGAAGGGGGCGATGCCTGTCTTTTGCTCGAAGCACTGTCCAACGAGTTGCTGCTGCATGTCTTGGGCTTCCTCGAACTTGCGCCTGAACTCAACCGCGTCTCGATGGCTTGTCGCACTCTCAACGAGCTCGCCCATGCCCCGACCCTCTGGCGCTGCGTCCGCTTTCCCCGACTGGCGCCCCTCATCACCCCGCCCCAACATCGTGCGCCCTTTTCGTCGTTTTCATTTTTACTTTTCCTTTACTTTTTCCGTTTGGTTTCTTAACCGTGATTTCCTTCTTTCCTTTTTGTTGTTGTCGAAAAGGCATCGGGTCGAGCAAAGCCGTCGGTGGAGCGGGCGACGAAGACGAGGCGTCGGTCTTGCACAAAGACCAACAATCGCAGCAGCAGAAGCAGGAAGTGCAAGTGTTTCCCGACCTGTTGCTGCAGCATGTCGTGGCGCGTCACAGCAAGGACGTGCGCGAGATCGATCTGTCGTTGGTGCCCTTCACCCAGTCCACCTGTCGCATGAACGAAGACCAAGTGGGTGAGCTGCTGCGCGAGGTCTTCGTGCGGTGCACCAGGCTCGAGAGGTAAGCAAGCAAAAGCAAAGCAAAGCCAAACAACAACCAAAAAACCAATCGAAACCTGGTGTTGAGTAGCGGCAACTGACGGAGGCGCTGGATGGAACCAGGTTTCTCTGTCCCCAGCTCTACAGGAGTGGAGCAAACTACATGAGGAAGGACGACGCGGAGTTGATCACGTGGTGGCCCGTACTGGGTACCGCAACGTTGTTCATTGCCTAGCTCCTGCTCACCCCAAAGGACGGCACCTCACAAAAGTCATCGTCTGCGGCACACCACAGGTCACGAGGCTCCGCAAGTTCGGGTGCTCGACCTCTCTGGTACCATTACTCCTGCGCTCCCGTCTCCCCGTGTCTGATGGGATTTAACAGCACACAACGCGAACAACCAACGACCAGGGTGGCATATACCCAATACGCCAGACATGGTCGAATCCTTTCCCAATGTGGAGACCCTGGCCTTGGCCTGCGCCGAACTCGAGAGCTTAAACGGTACCCCATGATGCACGCACCTGCTGCACGCACAACCACAATTCTCACTGGCATCTATTACGGAAGGGAAGGGTTACTTCTCGCTGACTCAAGAGCTGAGCTATCTAACGAACCTCAAGCACTTGGACATTTCCTACGTCCCGTACGTTGTTGGTGTTTTGAGGAGGCACAGCCGAGGAGGGACGCAGTGGTGTGAGACGCTAACAAGCGCTCCTGTGTAGGGTGGACAAGAGCGACGAGAGCCTAGCGACCAATTTGAACTTGAAGACTCTCATCTCGATTCAAGAAACCGGCCCTTACGGGAACAGACCAACGCGCGTCAGACCTCATCACAGGGACGCCATGACCGCCAAATGTACGTGAGTTCTATCGGCCGAGCCGAAGCCTGACTCACACCACCATGCTGACGCTTTCCTGTTGCGTGTGTCATGCGCGGAGTGCAGCAGGTGAAGGTGGCCCAACTGACAGTTGCAGGATCATTCAGTCAGACATCTTCGCTCAGGGTGGCCTCGATGATCAGAGCCTGGTCTCGTCTGTGACCAATCCGGCTTGCTTTGACCGTACGTACCACCACCTTGCTGCCCTGTCCCAGCAGGACACTCACCTTGTCGTGTGCCAAATTGGCTCACGTGTGGTCGACCCCCCTGGCAGTCGCCGGCCGCACGCTTTTGCATCGCGCCGCGGATGACCCCAAGCGCATTGCACAGCTGCGACAGTTGGTACATTGTCCATCTCCCGCCGCCGATGTTGCTGAGCACACAGATCGCGGCAATTGGCACTGGCAACACAATTAATTGTGTGTTTCGGCCGAGACAAGGTGGACGAATCGGGCCACGTCGACGCGCCGCTTGCTGCCGGATTGGACAATGCTGTTGGCGTCACGGACATGTACAATCGGTTCATCCACAGCGCCAAGCGCAGGTATGGCCGATCATCGGGCGCCTAAGGCGACTGCTTTTCCCTCAACGCGGCACTGAAGCTGCCCTGACACGATGACACGGCACACACACGACACACAGGGTAAGCGATCGGTTGGGCGGGTTGAGCTTCCCGTCGCCCGTCTCGTCCGAGAGACGCAATCAGGCGACAGCCATGCAAACCAGACCCATGCTGCTCACACCTCAGGCCGAAGCCCCCGGGTCGACCGCACTTCACATAGCGTGCACGAATGACAACCACGAGGCGGTGGCGTACCTGCTGGCCAAGGGCGCTGACGTGAACGCTATGAATGAGTACGCGACAACACACGGCGACACACGACACACGACACACACAATTAATTATTGATCCACTGTACAGCATAGGGCAAACCCCGTTGATGTTGGCGTGTCACTACGGCAACCTGCTGGCGGTTTCGGCATTGGTTGCCACCGGGCGCGTCCTCATCAACCTCCAGGACAATCAGGTAATCTTCTCCTTACCCTCTTTCCCCCCCCAAAGCCAACTCCGGGGATGACCGAACGACTGGGACAACTCCACATACCTATATATGTGTGGTTATGGTGGTAGGGTCACACGGCACTGCACTACGCCGCTTTGGGTTGTCCACACATGGGTCCAGTTTCCGCATCTCAAGCTCTTCCACAACTCACGGAACAGCTCTTCGAACTTCTCTTTGGTGCGGGCGCCAACGTCAACCAGCCCAACTACAATGGTGCGGCCCAATGACTGCGATCAAGAGCGCTGCCCATTAATGTGCAAGTCACACACTCGTCATTCTCATTTTTCTTCACCAGGATTCTCGGCGCTTCACTTGGCCTGCATGGCCCGCAACCCTGCTCTCGTGGTCTACCTGCTCTCGCGCGGCGCCTCGGTGGTGCGTTTTTCTCTCTGTTGACCAGCGATTGCTTTTTTTTCCGCCAGTGACACGCGACTCACAACCACACACGCATCAGAGTGTGGGGATCAGCCCGCTTTTCTGCCTGGCTGGCGATGGCGAGCTCTCGGTTTTCGCCACCCAGTCACGGGATGTCGGTAAGTACCAGGCCAGGCACCTCACGCACTCAGTCGAGCGACGTGCCGAGCTTTTAACTCCGATCTTGTTGCGACAGGCGTCTTGGTCGACGTTCTTGTCGACGCTGGCTGCCCGGTCAACGCGGTCAACGAGACGGGCAAAACGTTGCTGCACGTGGCCTGCCAGGACCGCGACGCAGACTTGGCCGAGGCCCTGCTGCGCCATGCCGACGTCGACGTAAACTTGGCCGATGCTGTCGGATGGTGCGGAACCACGTGCCCCTCCCCTGCACAATGAATTATACGAATTTCTGGTCTTTCTCGATGCTGATGATTTTGAATTTTGATGCCCAGGACGCCACTGCACGCTGTGGGGTGTCAGGTCCTCTCCGCGCTGGCGGCCGCTGCGGAAAACGCTCCGCGAGCCGGCTTGGGCTCTCTGTCGCAGGGCAGAGCGTTCGCTCCGTCTTCGATGCCGTACGCGATGAACTCCAGGCACCACAGCACGGCATTCGCCATTGGCAGCAGCACTTCAGCTTCGTTCAAGCCGCCACGAGCCGCCGCAGGTCCCGCCGCGCCGCCCTCGCCGCCGCGACCGGGCCTCGCATCCATGCTTCTCAGTCGACAGGCCAACGTCAATGCCACCGCCACTGACGTACAAACATCCCTTCTCTGAGTGTGTGGCGTGTGTCGTGTTGTTGTGTGTGACTTGATATACAGGACCTCTAACTCGAAGCTCCTGTCTTCCAGGGCCAGAGCCCCTTGTTAGTCGCAGCAATCACCAGTGTGATGGAGGTGGACCGTCAGTCGCCCCCAATGCATGCCAGATTTTCGTCGGCACTGCAGCCCCGACCAGAAGAGGACAAGAAGGAGAAAAGCAAGGTTGTCTCCTTCATGCGCAAGCTCATCAAATCAGGCGCGGACGTCAACGCCAAGGTGCGCCATGTCTTTTTTCGTGTGTGACACATTATTTTACGTTTTTACTTTCTCTTATTTACATTGTGTATGCGTCAGGACGCTCGAGGGTGGACCGCCCTGCACGCAGTGTGCGCTTCGAGCCACCTCGAAGCCGTTGGTTTGCTGTTGGCCCATGGCGCCAACGTCAATGCCCGCGATTTCAAGTACTCGCACGCTCAGCTCCTCGGCCGTCATTTCTCAGTTCTCACCTACCACCGCACACGACACACATGACACACACGACACACGGTTCATTCGACACACAGGTCTGTCACACCGCTGATCGCTGCCGCTCGAGGCGTGTGTACGTGATCTCGCCCGTGATCGATAACCTCGATGCCGACTGGCGCGACAATGTCTGATTTGCTCACTCTCCCAACGAAGTGCAACACGGCGCAGCTAACAACTCGGAGTTTGAAGTGCGAGCACCGGCGATAGTGGGACGGTCCGGACCAATCCAGAGGCGGGAACAACCACCTGCGAGTGAGGCCGACTCGTGGACCATTTGCAAGTTGCTCCTCGGCCACGGTGCTCAGTTCGATGTTGTCGTACATACAGCCCTTCTGTTCATCCTCTCTGTGTCGTGTGTCGTGTGTCGTGTGTGTCGTGTGTGTCGTGTGTGTCGTGTGTGTCGTGTGTCATGTGGTGATGTGTCGGTGGCGTCAACTTGACAAACGATCATGTTCACTCGATTTTGTCAGGATGAAGTCGAGGGCGAGACTGCGCTGCACTTGTTGACGCGCGCCGGCACCGGACCACAAAACGGTCTGCTGGCCTGGGCTGTCGTGCAGCTCAAGGACCACGGGGTCTTCCACCTGCGGTTCGTCCCACTTCTTGGGTTTGTCGCGTTTCGTGTGGCGTCGTCGTGTGGCGTCCATAATCACATGAAGCATCATCGCACAGAAATGCCAAGGGCGAGACTCTGCTGCACAGTGCGATTGCTTGCAACAACTCCAAGCTGGTGTCGATTCTCTTGCAGCACGGCGCCGACAAGAGCCTCAGGTCCCACCTGGGCGAAACTGCGCTCCACACGGCACTGCGCCTGCGCCTTCAGAGTGGTACACAACCGAACACAGCCCGCAGCCCTCAATTTTCTGCCACAGTCCCGCGCCGCGTGCCGACTTACGCCGGTTTTGAATTCAGCGACGCGTATTCGAAGTCTGTCCGAACAGCCCGCCGAGTCCTGCGATTCGGCCCTCTGGCCCACCTCGGCCCAGATCTCGCCGCACCAAGCCTATTGGGTACGCAAAGATTCAGCTTGGCTCGTGTGTGTCGTGTGTCGTGTGCCGTGTGCCGTGTGTCGTGTGCCGTGTGCCGTGTGCGTTGTGAGGCTGCTGTATCATACTCACTGGATCACATCAATGTGAACACTCTAGAGGGCTGGGTTCAACAGTTCGGGCTATCCGATGTGGCACGTGGAAGAGGCAAGAAACTCCACCAAGAGAGGCTTGCCGCCTGGTCCCCTCAGCAATGACAGACTGATGCATAGAAATGTTACCGTTGGCAGAACCAACATTGTACGACGCACACGCACGCGCACACACGACACGACACACACGACACGACACACACAGCACACTTCATCCAATTAATCTGTGTTAGGCCACCCACCAGCCCACCAGCGAGGTCAGCGAGCAGAACATCGTGGCCCTCGTGGCTCGCGGGCTGACCGAAGAAGAGTGCACTGCGAGGGACTGCTTCGGCCTCACCGCGCTCCACTGGGCCGTCGCTTTGGGTGCCCTGCCCCTGCCCCACTTCCTCTTCCTGTCCCACGCCGCCGCGTGGCTCGGTGCTGATGATGATCTTTTGCTGCTGCGGCGGCGGCGCAGGAGCGAATGCCCCGAGGGCAACGCAGGACAAGAGCCTGTCGCGCCTTGCGGTCCTGTCGCTCTTTATCGTGAACCACATCCTGACTCACTTCAAGGTGCTCCATGCCACTCAACTCTCGCATTTGTGCCTTGATGTGTGCTCTGACACTCGGCACACGCCACACGCCCTTGCGCAGGACCGAGTGATGGATGCAGTGGATGAGCGTGGCGACACGGCGCTACACAGGCTGGCCGAAATGCGGCGGATCACTACTCTCATGGCTGTTTCTTCTCAGGCCAGTTTGATCGTAAGAGGTCCTTCTTCGCGGATTTCCCCCCAAATGAACCGTACGCTCAACAACACGACACGCAACACTACACGCAACGCGACACGACACGACACGACCAACGACACTCACACCGTAATGGCGATTGTCGACGCGTAGCAACGGGCGCGAGCTCAGATGCCGACATCGACGACGTCTTCCTGCGGGAGGCCTTCGGGGAGCTCACTTCGGCGGCGTCGCAGATCGAGCAACGCCTCTTTTCGCGGGAGGGCACGACGACGATCGAGGAGGAGCCGCTCCACAAGCGGCGGACCTCCCCCGCAGCAGCAGCAGCTGTTGTGGAGCTCTTGAGTTCCAACAGCAAGCGGAGGAAGCCGAACCTGCGCGACAAGGGGGAAGCGAAGGGGAAGGGGCAGTACGTGGACGATGAAGAGGAGATGGAGATTGAGTCTACGCTGCCGGAGCCGGCGGCGGCGGCGGCGGCGGCAACAAGAAGCCTGACATCGAAGAACGCAGCAGCTGCGGGTGGTTCGCCCGGCATGCCACCGTGCGGCGATGCCATCGCACTACTCCTCCTCCAGGCCGGAGCCAGCTGCACCATCCAGAACCGGTAATTGGGCACACGCACACGCACACGCACACGCACACGCACACGCACACGCACACGCACACGCACACGCACACGCACACGCACACGACCAACGGTCGTCTGATGGTACAACAAAAACGTTGTGGTGGGCAGGCGCGGGGAAACGGCACTTCATGTGGCCTGTCGGAGGAGCCTCACGTCACTCATTGCCACGCTGCTCTCCTATGCCCGTACTCATCCGCCCATTCGCGCCCCCGCCCGGCCCTTCAACTCATTGGTGCTGTGTGTCGTGCGTGTACTGTTTCACAATGGAAGCGGGCGACGTGAATGCCGTGAACCGCGACGGCGACACAGCACTCCATCTGCTGCTTGGCAGCAGCTACGCACCGGAGGTGCTGACGAGAGCTGCCCCCACGAGCGAGGCTCGCGCCCTGTGGGACAGCGCCCTGGCTTCGCTCTTGGCCGTCGGCGCTGACGTCAGCAAGTACAACGGCAACGGCCAGGTCCGACCGCCTTTTGACGTCAGCCCCTTCCCATTCGTCTCTGCCGCTGACCTTCTTTTTTCTTCTTCGTTTTCTCTCTCTCTTTTTCTGCTTCCGCAATAGAACGCGCTGCACGTGGCGTGCCGCGCCAACCTGGTGGTGGTGATCAGGCAGCTGCTGGGCCAGCCGGGTGTGGACGTCAACGCGCCGGAGCTCGGCACGGGCCTGACGCCGCTCATGCTTGCGCTGCGCAACGCCCAGTCCGAGCCTGTCGTACGTGGCGACAGTGTTCTATTTGACGGCTGGAAGATTTTAAGGTGGCTGCTGACACACACCACCGCCCAGGCACTGGTCTTGCTGCGTCACGGCGCCGACGCGACGCTGCGCAACGCCCTGGGCGGATCGGCCGAGGACCTGGCCGGACCACAGCTATGGGCGTCGCTCCTGCGCCAGGCCGCGCTTGCGCCGGACTCGATCGACGACGACGATGACCACCAGCGGCACAGCTCGGCGGAGGGTGTTGACCACCATCGCGCCACTGGCCTCCTGTCGTCAGCCCCGAGACCACGCCCAGGTGCCATCAGTCTCGTCGCACGGTACCGCCCTATCTTTTACCAATCCTTTCTTTCCCCGTCTCTCTTTTTGATGCGTGTGCGTGTCGCGTTGTGTTGTGTTGTTTGGCGTTGTGGGGAGTAGAGAGGCGAAGGGAGTCAGATTGTTGCAGCAAGCCAAGGCCAACCGACTGATGCAGCGCGCGCAACCTGCGCCCGAGCCATTCGCCCAGCATCTGCGCCCTTACATGGGCTTCACCTCGGCTGCCGACCACTAAAAACAGCCTAATACTTATTCTGCACCTTCTTCTTTGGAAGAGTACCGCCCAGCCGTCCGTTTCTGCAGACGCATTTTTTTTAACAACGTAACACGATTGGCTATGGTCGAGTTGCAGAAATGGACATGTTATTCAAAAAGCTGTTCTTCTTTGCCACAACAACTGGGCCTGGGGTCAGCGACCGAGCGTCGTGGTCTAAAATCCTTAAAGAGGAGGGCGCGGCCACATGTGGGGGAGGGACAGATATCTATCTATAGGCCCACATTGGCCTGTGGGAGGCCGATGATCTGTCAAGCTCAGAAGAAGGCGAAGGGCGCGAGGCCAGAGGCGGCCGAGGTGTCCTCATAGTCGTAGTCGATGTAGGCCACGGGGGTGACGGTGGGCAGCATTGTGGGCACGACGGTGGGCACAAGGGTGACCATCACGGTCGGCTGGGCCTGTGGATCCAGCAACGCAATCGTGTGAGCTGATCAAATTCCACAGCACGGCACGCACAGAATACGCGCAATCACAAAGAGCGTAGTGTCACTTCGTACGTAGTTGAGGCCGGCGGAGGCGGTCTGGGTGATGGTGGTGGTCTTGGTGATGTCGGTGACGGCCGAGGTGGAGATGGCGGTGCCCACGACGCTGCTGCTGGAAGAGCCCACGATGGCACCATTGTTGATGGTGTTGCCAAAGGCCAAGGTGAGGCCGAGGAGGAAGATGGCGAGGGCCGCGACGAACTTCATGTCGACCGGGAGTGGTTGGTGGGTAGAGCGCCTTGTGTTGTAGGAGAGTCGAGCTGATGATAGTGATGATGAAGGTAGAGGGAGTGAGGTCCGAGTATTTAAGTGCCACCGGCAGGTGCGACTGACGGCCCGACTGAACGGTTCGCTCCGGTGGTCGTCACGACCCGGTAGAAATCCGGGCGAAAATTGCAACAAAATCCGGTCAACTTTTTCAACCGGCGTTCTGGTTGGTCATTTTTTCACTTGTGTTTCAACTCTCCTGTCTTCCGTGGATCGCTTCAACAGGCCAATGCCGGGCCGATGACAAACTGGTTCACCCACTGATTGGAAGTTGTATGAGAGCCGAACAACCAGTCGAGCTGTGTAAGGTGGTTGTTAAGGGGTATCACACTGCACTCATCTGAGAAAAGTGAATGTACTATAAGTTGATCGAAAGAACTTACTATCGACCACGCTCTCTCTTGCACAAGTACCACGCGCTGTAAAGGCGCTTGCCCGTTCAGAGTTGCTTAACCAATTTATGTATTTGCTGCTGCGCCAAGATGCTGGGCGCGTGTGATGAGCTTTTTTGTGGCGTGTTGCGCTTGCCCACTTAGTGCTTGTAATCGTCGTCGCAGTGCTTCTTGGTCGACGTGGTCTCCCTGGGGCAGTCCTCGGTCGTGGTGGTCGAGTGCTTCTTGGTCGACGTGGTTTCCCTGGGGCACTCCTTGGTCGTGGTCGATGTGGTGTGCTTCCTGGTCGACGTGGAGGTCTCCTTGGGGCAGTCCTCGGTCGTGGTCGATGTGGTGTGCTTCTTGGTCGTCGTGGTCTCCTTGGGGCAGTCCTCGGTCGTGGTCGATGTGGTGTGCTTCTTGGTCGTGGTGGTCTCCTTGGGGGTCGTGGTCGAGGTGTGCTTCTTGGTCGTGGAGGTGTGGTGGGGCTTCTTCTTGTGGCACACCTTGACACACTTCCAGTAGCACCTGCCCTCCTCCTTGTCATCATCATCATCATCATCATCCTCCTTGTCGTCGCAGTCGTGGTGCTTGTCCCAGTCCCAGTCATGGTCCTTCTTGTCGTCGTTCTTCTTGCCGCTGTGGTCTTCGCCTGTCCAACCACAAATCAACTGTCAGTTGGAGTTGGTTGGTTGCATGGGAACAGTCCGGTGGGGGGGAAGAACTCACCATCGTGGGCGAGCGCGAGAGCAAGCAAGCCGAGACAGACCAAGGCGAAGAGGATGGCGTTGAGCTTCATTTGTTGTGCTTGGCTGGAGTAGTTGTGCTGTGCTTAGATGATGTTGATACGTCACGTTGAGAAAAGTGGCCAGTTTTATCGTCCAGCTCGCCCTTCCATTGGTTGATGAAGTGAAGCGATAAAGACCTCCCACCGATTGGTGTCCGCCCGAACTGTAACATGCCGCGCTTGTGTCACTGCGGCCACCACGCGAAATTGACAGTGGTGATAGAACATATGAGCGAAAGCTCCCAGTTCTATAGCACCACCTGGCGCTGGCTGCACTTGCTGTTCGGCAGATGGGAAGCGGTGCTTTACTATCCGACATTCATCACCTTCTTCATCCAGCACTTCCAGATCTGCCCCCCCAGTCTTTGGTTGTGTTGGTCGTGGGAGGCTAGCTGGCGAACTTCTGCAAAAAGGAGATGTAGGCGGTCTTGGCTGGCGAGTTGGTCTGTCGAAGGACTCCCCGGACACCACGCGGCGCAATGGGCAATGATGAGAAGTGAATGGTTGGGGGAGGGGCAAGCGCAAGCTCAGAGTCAGGGCCAGGCGCGTACCGGAACGACATGGCCTGTGGGATGCTCGAACGTGACTGCAGAGGGGAAGAGCGCCACCAGCTCTTTGCTGTAGTCGGCCGGCACCAGGTCGTCCTTCTGTCCCCACACATGCAGCGTAGGCATATCTGGTGCGTGTGCGTGTGCGTGTGCGTGTGCGTGTGCGTGTGCGTGTGCGTATGCGTGTGCGTGTGCGTATTAGCGTATCAGGGAAGATAAAGATGGCCTAAAAAATTACCTTGACTATCTTTCAGACCCTCGTAGACGTGCTTGTGGGGCTCGGCTCGCACTGGAAAAGCCTAGGCACGCACGCACGCACGCATATCAGGCCCGACCAGGGCGAGATCATTGGCCCCAAACGTGTCCGCATGCTTGCTACGGCCGTACACAGAAGAAGATGCCGAACTTGAAGTCGAACCGCAGGTGCCTCAGCTCGTCGTGCTCGCCGGCTGCGATGCGAGTCGAGGCCAGCGCACAAAGCAACGAGGCCAGCACACCTGCGCACCACCACTAGTGGTCAGCACAACCGCACGTGTCACCTTGGCGCCAACCCACCACACGTGCGTACCGCCCTGCGAGTAGCCCAGCACTCCGTCGAAGGCTCCGTTCTTGGCCTCCTCGTCGGCGATGAACTTGGCGATGAACTGCATGCAGCACCCGCCCGATCGCGAGAGCTTGAGATCTGAGCGCACTTCAAGAAGAAGAAGAGAGGTGGGCGGGCACCTCGAGCGTTTCATCGATGCCGACAGTGGCGGTTCCTCCGGTGAGGTAGGCGCTCTGGGGCACCGTGTCCCACCACTTGTAGATGTCCATGCCCTCTTAAAGGAGACAAGATGTGTTTGTTTGTGGCTTGGCTTGAGACCATCTTTCTTGAAGAAGAAGAAGAAGTCATCCCCACATGTGCACGCACCTTCTTGCGAGGCTTCTTCCATTCGGTGTGGACTCAGTGCATAGACTGTAGGAGGGGCCAAAAACAACAAACATTTTCAGGAAGTACACAACATGTTGGGCGTGGTTTTGGAGTGGGGCGGTACCGTACTCGATGTCCAACCGATTCAGGCAGCGTTGGCTGCCATGACGGTCGTACAGAAGGAGAGCGGTGAGCAAACACAAGATGCCACGTACCAACTTGTAGGGGGTCGTACCGGAAGTTTTTGAGGGTCTTGTCCCGGAAGACGTCCACGTTCTGCCTGTAGCCGTGGAAGCACAACACGCGCAGCTTCTTCTTTGTTGGCCCTTGTGCTTCCATCTTCTTCTTCTTCTAAAAGAGCAAAAAAATAAATCCATAATTCTATTTTTTATTTCTCTTTCGTGTCGACAAGCGCAACGACTTCAGAGGTTCGCCTTCTTCTTGGAGCCACCAAACCTGCCAGCGGCCAGTCCGAGCCTGTTTGTTGTCGTCGTCGTCGTCGTCGATGTCGTTGTTGTTGTTGTTGTTTTTGTTGTTGTTGTTGTTGTTGTGCACACGCAGAGCCCAGGTGAGCTTTAAAAAGTCGCTGCGTGGCGCGAGGGAGCGGAAGAGCATGGCTACGCACCCGCCCGTGGTCAGCTTGTCGTACGCATCGATGTACATTTCCTGCTTGAGCTGGCTGAGGATGGTCTTGTTGGCACCCCTGGGCGCCAGCTTTTGGGCCAGCGCCACGGCCCGCGCTAGCACCTCGGCATCGGGCACAGCCGCATCAATGAACCCCGCCTGCAGTGCAGTGAACACACACGACACACAACACGCACGACACAATGGTTGATGAGTGCGGCAAAGCGCTGGAACTGGACGCGTGGCAAGCGAGCGGAGCAAAAGGCACCTTGACGCCCTCGGGGGCGGTGTAGCGCGTGGCGTTGAGAATGGAGTCCCTGAAAATGGTGCGCTCCAGCTTGGCCCTCGCCACGGCCGCCATGCCGGGGCAGAGGTTGAGCCCGATGTCGACTTCGTTCAAGCAACAGAAGCCGCGGTCCTCCCTGATGATGATACATTAGGCCGTCATGCGGGCGTGAGTTGCGGCTGGTGGTGGCAGGGGAGTCTTTGAACGCGGCCGCACCGCATGATTCGGTAGTCGTGGGAGAGGGCCAGGAGGAAGCCGCCAGCGAAGCAGTGGCCGTTGACGGCCGCCACGGTGGGCACGCCCGCAATGAGGAAATGCGCCAACAAGGCCATGTACCTGAAATTCCAACGATGTCGCATTAGTAGCTTGACAACACACACACACCACAGAGAGAGAAGCGCACTGGTTCATGAAGGATTCGACTTGGTCGGTGTGACTGCCCACATAGTCGAGATCAAGACCATTGGAGTAGAACTTGCCCTCGCCGACGGTGACCAGCGCAGTGGGTCCCTCGTGCCTGTCAGTGTATGTGCATGTGTGTGTGTCAGCTCAGTGTAAAGGGAGGTATCACAGGAACAAGTGCCGCAACGTCAGAGTTAGTCGCACTTCTCGACGTGAGACAGGGCGCGATCGATCGCCACCATGAAGTCGGGATTGAAGCGGTTCTCGTTGGCCTTCAAGTGGAGGATGAACACACCCTCGGCGCCTTCGGCCTCGCGCACCGACACACCTGCGTGATGGCCAACCACAATGCACGTGATAAAAAAACATCAAATATTAAATACCAAGAGATAATAAAAATAAACAAACAAACAAACACAAAATTGCATTTTAAATCATTGGAGGGCGCACCGAAGCCAAAGTCTCGCGAGGTCATTGTGCCTGATCTTATGATTGAAGTGAGCTTTTTGTTTGGGGGGGTGCTTGGGTATGAGCGGAAAGGGTGCCACCTGCTAAAATGCCGATAAACGAGGGTGGGACGCCGAGTGTTACCACACCAGACGTCTGCGCCAGGTTGTGTTGGGGACGAGGCCCATCCCAGCGCCCTCAAGGAAAAGAGTGGAGAAACTCTTATTTGTCGACTCGTCTACAAGGCGACACCAACCTGCCTCCCACAAGCCACCATGTCCACTGCCCCCACGAGCAACCAAGGTGAATGGCAAGTGTAGGGTTGCCAGCCCATTTGACCCAGAACGCTCAAACACAGTGGGGGAGTATGTACAGCATGTTGTTGTGGTAACAAAAAGGGAAATATGGTGTAATGGTGATGTAAAGTACAGGTGAGGTGTGAGGTTGGTGATCACCTTATTCACCCCACGGATTGGGCAGAATCGTGGAGTCGTTGATGCCCATCTCGCGCAGCTGTCGCCGCTCCTTGGCCCTTCGGTTCTGGAACCACACCTGCACCTTGCGCGCCGTGAGTCCCAGCTCCTGGGCCAGCCGCTCCTTGGTCTTCCGCGACGGCAGCGGGTCCCGCAGGAACACGTCCTCCAGCTGCTGATACTGCGCCTGGTCCGTTCGACTCCGATTGCTGCTTCCAAGAAAAACACACGCATGTCAGATCGATGACGACCATGAGACCGTGTGCAGTGTTGGCGTGTGCGTGTGCGGTGGTGTGCGTGCGGTGAAGTGAAGTGAGTGTGCGCGGTACCTTTTGCTCTTCTTCGCGGCGGGCTGTCCATCGGAGCCCTGCTGGCCGATATCGGGCGAGGAGGAGGAGCTGGGAGAGGACTGGCCCTGTTGCTGCTGCTGCTGCTGATGGAGCTGGATCCGCTTCTTGATGCTCTCGTGGGCCATTCGCTGCATGGCCGCGTGGTGGGTGAAGATCTCGATGTCCTTCTTGGAACACGCGCTCGAGTTGTCGCTGTGCGCGTCGCGTAGAATGCCCTCGACCTGCAGTAGCTGCTGCTCTCGATCGAGTACGACTGGTCGCGACTGCTGCAGCTGCTGACCCTGAAGCTGCGCCTGGGGCTGCTGGAACTGCTGCGGCTGAGGCGGCTGTTGCTGTTGCACGGGCATCTGGAGCTGGTGCGGCGAGATGCCGGCGTTCGTGTGCTGCTGGTGCATGATGTGCTGATGTTGGAGGTGCTGCTGGAACTGATGCTGGTGGTTATGCTGATGCTGGTGCTGATGCTGATGGTTGTGCGTGGCGCCCGCGCCGGCGCCCGAGGGCATGACGTGCTGCGGCGAGTGAGGCCGCATTGCCTGCTGGCCGTCGGGCTTCTTGGGGATGGGTCGGCTGAGCGGCGTCCGGAAGGCCGAATGCTGCGAGGGCACAAACTGCGAGGGGTCGCCGAAGTCGGCCGGCATGCCCGACGCCGACGTCGACGAGGCGCCGCCGCCATTGCCGTTGGTCATCATCGCCGACGACTGGTCACCGCCAGCGATAGCCCCCGCGGCAGCGGCGTCGTTGGGAAGGTGCGGGATCTCGAGCACCTGCAGCATCGCTTCCTCGTCTTCGGGCAGCGGGTAGAGGAGGGTCGACGCCGTGAACGACCGGGGCGACGACGAACGCGCCGACGCGGACGAGAGCGAAGACACGAACGAGGGCAGCAGGATCTGGCCGTCGTCGAACGGGATGGGCGATGGCCGCGGCTTGTAGACTCGACCTGCGTTGATCAAACGACCGGCGTCGCACAGGAAAAAATGAGAAAAATATTATACGATTAACGAAACAATCCTAAAGAGGATAAATAGTTCCAGAAAAGAATATAATAAATGAAAAGAGGAAGTATGTAGAGATACCGTGATGGTGTTGGTTCTGGGGGTTGAACTGGTGGTGAGGATGCTGCGGGTGGTAGGGGAACTGGTGGTGCTGGTGGTGCGGATGGCCGGGATGGTGCTGTACGACGTAGTGCTGGGTCATTTGCTGTTGCGGCTGCTGCGAGGGAGCTTGCATCATCTGCTGGGGCGATATCCCTTGCTGCTGGCCCATCTGCTGCATTTGTGTTTGATGCTGATGCTGGAGATGCGTCTGCATTTGTGGTTGATGCTGGTGCTGATGTTGTTGAGGCGGCTGTTGCTGCGAGGGAGCTTGCATCTGAGGCGGCAGCTGAGGAGGTACGGGATTCCAGGACGAGCCCTCGCCGTAGCCAGGCCCCATCACATCGGGCGCCATCATCAGATGGGACGACGTAGCGGGGATGGACGAGGGATGCTGTCCTCCGAGGAACGAATGCGGCGAAGATGATCGGTTGAGGCCTCCTCCGCCATTCGGTAGAGTGAGGGGCGATCGAGTCGCGATGCGTTGTAGCGTGGATAAGATGATGTCCGACCCTTGACCGCCGCCTCCTTCGGCCTTCTTTGTTGTCGACGTCGTCGTGACAGATGATGGAGCCGAACTCGTCGCCGTCGCCCTCCGGCCGTCGTCGCGGCGGTCGGGTTGCCGTGGGCGAGGTCTGCGTCGTCGAAGTCGCCGCCATCGTCATCGTCGACGATGGGGCCGAGTCCACCGTGGCCGACGACGTAGCTCCCGCCTCTGGGGGAGAACCGCCAGACTCCTCATCGGGATGTTTTCTGATGGATCGAAAACAAGGGGGTTACTTACCCTCCATAACTGCCCACCTGACTTCTTTCAATTTTGCGGTTCGCCTTCACCATCTTCATCTTCATCTTCATCTCCGAGAGGGCAAAAGAAAGATGGAAGAGGATGGAACCTTTTGTTTGTCGGTGAAGGAGCTCGAGGCGCTTGCATATTGGCAGAAGAGGAGGAGGAAGAGCTTGCGAACGAGCTTCAGGGGCTGAGCTCTCGTACGAGGCGCTGTATGAACGAACGAGGCCCAATACTGCTCGTACAAGCTGTCGTTAGTTGTACAATGGACTGCCGTGTTCTGTTCTCGTTTGCTTCTGTGCGTGTCGTCAGGAGGAACGTTGTTGTACAAGACCAAACCCCGAGCCCGAACGCAATGAGAGGCAATGTTGAGAGGCAATAACAGGGAATTCGTTTCATTTCCCCATATTAATAATGGCAGTTGGTTTCCCGCCAATAACAGAGCCGCATTTTATCTCGAACCAATCACGCAAGAGTTCAACATGTTCGCGTCGGTTCGAGCGGTTGGCGACCTCGCTTGCGCGGCCGAGAAGTGGTGGCTCCTCGAGGACAGAGAGACGCGGCCACCGAACGACTACCAAGATTCTACAATCTTGACAGGGAACGCATCTTCGCCATCGGTAGTAGGCGCCAAGTATTGGTCGTGGGCGTGTTTCCGCCGCTCGGCGTCCCTTCGTCGCTTCCACACCCACAACGAGACCACCACCGAGACCGCACAGACAAAGGCCGTAATGAAGAAGGTGTATCTATTGTTTGCCAGCACCACCGCACACGCCAGTCAGACAAACCCGCGAGTCACGCACACACGCAACACACGCAACACACGACATACGAAACGCACGAGCGGAGGAGAGGACGCACCGATAGCAGTGCGAGTTGTTGCAGTGGCTGGTCTTGTTGCCGGCTGAGTCGGTGGTGACGAATTCGCCGTCCTTGCGGAAGTAGTCGTTGAGTTTGCCCGCCAGGAGCGTAGCAAGAACCTCGCTGCCCACAGCCGGAGCCAGTCCCATAATACCATAGTTGGACGCTGCGTCATGCAGGCCAACTAGTCAGACTTCCGTCGTGTGTGCGTGGCGTGGCGTGTCGTGTCGTGTCGTGTGTTGTGTGTGTCGTGTGTTGCGTGTGTTGCGTGTGTTGTGCGTTATGCGTTGTCCCGTGTGTTGTGTATTGTGTGTCGTGTGCGATGAGGAGAGCAAGTACCAAAGTACTTGAAGCCGAAGAATTCAAGTGCGAGTGTGGGAACGATGCAGAAGGTGGCCCCGTAGGCGAGGCCGAGGAAGATGACGCCCGGGTAGAGCATGGGCACGTAGACGGCGAACGCGAAGTAGAGCTGCACCAGGCCCATCAGCGCCGACGCCAGCACGAGGAACGACACGCGGGCAGTCTTGCCCCAGCGCGCGGTGACCCAATCCGAGAGGAACCCGACCAGCATGCGCCCCAGCGTGTTGAACGAAGAGAAGAGGGACACCAGGGTGTTGATGGTTTTGAAGCCGGGCACGTCTTCTCTGTGATACTGCAAACAAAAAGTTGTTAATTGCTCGTCAGCTCTGCAAACACCGCACGACACACACGAACGAAACACACTACCGCACACGCACACGCGGCACACACGCTTCATCACACACGCACACGAAGACGCACCACGATCGATTGGTCGACGTCGACGATGGAGAAGACCAGCTCGGCGAAGTTGTTGACCAGGGTGATGCCGGCACCGATGATGGCGAAGAAGATGAAGAAGAGCAACCAGAAGTCGACCTGCAGGAGCGTCTGGATGAGCGTGAAATCTTCGAGGTCGGAGTTCTGGTCGACCTCCGCCTGCGGCTGCGCGCTCTTCTCATCATCACCGACGTCGTTGTCGCCGTCGCCGTTCGACACGAGCGCGGCGTTGATCGAGCCGTCGGCGTGGCGAGCCGCGTCCGGGTCCGATGCCAGCGACAGGCGCGCCGCGGGCCGCTGAATGGAGAACAGCGGGCCAGTGTAGACCGGCACCAACAAGAAGGTGGCCAGCAGGGCCAGCATTACGACGGCAAACGGAAGCGGCGACACATCCGTCGTCCCTGCACGATAGAGTTGGTTATTTGGAAATAAATAAAATAAATAAAAAATGCAGCATAGTAGTAAATGAAGATGAAGGGGCTGGTGGCCCGCACCTGTGACGATAGAGGATGCTCCGTTGAAGACGGCCAAGGCGATGCCGATGGCGTAGACGAACTTGACTCGGCTCATCAACCCCACTTCCTGGACCGGCGAATCGGTGGTGGTGCTGTGGTGAGTAGACGCGCATCGGGAGGGGTCACCGCATTCTGGGCGGGCGTAGTGAAAACCTCGGGTGCAAAGGGCGTGGGCACGGTGTTGACGAGCATGCCGATACCGATGCTCGCGGAGCCCAGCATGATGGCGAGGAACAGGAGGAATCCGAGCACGTCGGGCGCGTAGAACCCTGTTTGTGCAGACGAGACGACGACGACGAAGAAGAAGACGTTGTTGAGTAAGACTCAGACAGGGTAGGGCGGTTGTATGCCAACAGCGGGGAGCTGGGAGGGCAGGGCTTCACCTTTGTAGAGTTGCGTGAGCACACCGGAGCTCAAGCCGAAGAAGCACACCAGCGCACCCACCACCTGCACGTGCAAGCATAAGTGTTGTCCGTGTGTTTGTGTGTGTGTGTGTGTGTCATTGTGTGTCGTGCGCTCAGGTTAGTCACTACATGTGTGTGTGTGTGTGTGTGTGTGTGTGTGTGTGTGTGTGTGTGTGTGTGTTTTTTCCTTGCCACGATCCTCGGCACGGAAGTTCTGGGTGTTGACTTTGAGCGCGGCGTTGTAGACCCAACTGCCGCCCTGGCCCATGATCGCAGCAAAGATGCCGATGCCGATGGCATTGGTCGGAAAGTAGTCTTTAGCCGCCAGGTACAGCAAGAAGTACCCTGTGCACCATCATCATCACCACACATGAGACGCACGGTGAGTGCGATCCATCTCGACCTGTGCCGTGTGCGGTGGTGCGTGTGCCGTGTGCCGTGGCCGTACCGGCAAAGTTCATCAGTCCGCCGAACAGGCATGACGAACGTGGTCCGAAGTAGTCGAGCCACAAACCGCCCAGCACGCCCGCCCAGGTGCCTGGTTGAGTAGGTGGAACCGTGGTAGGACGTTTCACCACGTAAAATAGAAGTAGAAATAAAATCTCTCAATATCTCATCTCCTGAGATTTCTCTTGCAGGGCGCAATGGTGAAGTCGAGGGTGGGTACCGACGTTGCCCAGGGTGCCCACCAGGTTGATCTCCTCGGTCGAGTAGCCGAAGATCTGCTTCAGGTCGCTGGAGTAGACGGCGAACATGTAGATGCTCCCCGACAGGATCATGAGGTAGACGCCAGCTGCCAGCGACACCCACCTTGAGAAGTAGATGCGAGGGCAGCCCGCCATGGTCTCGCCCATCTTCATGAGTCGGCCAAGTTGCCAACTTGCGGGTTTGCGGGCTTTGTACAAAGATAAATAAATAAATAAAAATTTATTCTGTGTTTTTCTTATCCTATCTCTTTTTAAATTGAAGTTTTAGACATGGACCTGAAGGCAATGCTGGCGGCACGGGCAGCGAGCCGGGGCGGCCTCAGTACCGCTGGAGCTGCTCCACCCCCACCAGAAGAGGTGGCACGACGACGACCGCTTCTACTCGACGCAGCTGAGGGCGAGACCAACGCCTTGACGAGCGGACGGCTCTACACTTGGGGCAGAAACGACTATGGTATGGCCCACACCTCTCAATTTTAGAGTAAAATGGAGCGAATTGTGTCTTCTTGTTCACCTTCGTCACCTTTGTCGTAAGGGCGCTGCGGGCTGGGGGACACGAAGCATCGGGCGGTTCCTACCCGCGTACCGGATCTGGGGCGGGTGGTGAAGGTGCGGGGTGGCGCTGGCCACACGCTCGCGGTGACCGCCGACGGCACCGCCGTCGCTTTTGGCAAGGTGCCTGGCCACATCATCATCAGCACAACACACAACACACAATTACACAACACACAACAACACACACCGACACACACAAAGCACGTGGTGATGTTGGGCTGACGTGGCTGTGTCTCTTAGAACTACCTAGGCCAGCTGGGCGTTGGAGATGACGATGACCGCTACTATCCTCACCGGCTGCAGTTGGATGACAAACCTGCTGCTTCGTGCTCGGGCGGCGGCAACTTTAGCGCGATCGTGGCCCAGAGCGGCGAAGTCTACGCGATGGGCTGCGGCTATTTCCATGCGACGGGGCAGCCCACCGAGGCCCATCTACGCCTGCCCACGTTGGTGCCGCGGCTCCGGCGTCTCCCACACTACTGATTGGCCGCCTACTGATGAGCAACCCTGTTTGCAGGTGCCGTTTCCAGTTGGGGTAAAGGTGGTCGACGTCGCGTGCGGCGAACTCCACGCCATTGCGCTCTCTGCCGAAGGCGTGTGCTTTGCCTGGGGACGAAACACAAAAGGCGCTATCCTAAATCTTCATTTTCATATCATTGACGAACTGACCCACTCACTTCTCTGCCATTGTACGCTTGATTGTATTAACCACAGGCCAATGCGGGCAAGGTATGTTGACACTGTGGCCGCCACCACAGACCAAACCAGGCCAAGCTGCGCGAGAGAATGAATCTGTGGGACTCATCCCAGTGGTATGGGCGCTTACGGCAGGCGAGACTTCCCGATTCTGTCCGGCGCCGGTGCCGGTAAAGGGTGCCCTGGAGGGGAAGCCCGTCGCAGCGATAGCGTCATGCTTCGACTGGAACATGGTCATCGCGAGCGACGTCGACCGCGGAAAGGAGTTGCGGCGGGTGTGGGCCTGGGGCGACAACGGGTCGGGCCAGCTGGGGCCGAGCCACTGCGGCGACTCAGTTGCCGAGCGCCCGCCGTACTCAGCCCTGCCCATGCAGATCATCGGTGGGCTCGAAGCGCAGCGGATTGTGGCCATCAGCTGCGGTAAGCAAGCCTCCACACGTCTTCGCACTTTCGTTTGGCTCACTGCACACAACTGCACACATAACCGCACACATTACAGGGAATGACCATGGGGTGGCGGTGGACGACAAAGGTGATGTGTGGGCCTGGGGTGTGGGCGAGCTGGGTCAGCTCGGGTTCGGGGAGGAGTGCGGGTTGGCAGTGCAGACACCACGTATGGTGCCCTTCTTCCAACGGCGGAAGGCCAGCGTGATCGTCGTCGACGTCGCCGCAGCCAAGAAGCACACCCTCTACCTGACACAGAACGGCCAGGTACCTCTCCGCCGGCCAGAGTTCTCTTCTACATCTTCACTAACGACACACAATCTACACGCAACACACGCATGCAACACGGCACACGCGCGGAAAGGTGTACGTGAGTGGCGACGATCAGTTTGGCAACGAGCGGGTGGACGCGCCGGTCAATCCGCGCCAACAGCCGCACCTGCTCGACCTGCCCTTCCGGGTGTCGGCCATCGGCGTCGGCGGCTACCACAGCTGCCTCGTCACCGAATGAACCTCGTGTTGGCCCAACCACTTCGCTCTTCACTTCAAGCGGTATTGGTCTGATTTTAACTGAACGTTGGCCAATGACCTGCTGGCGAGACGGCCAGTCTCTTTGTTCAACACCGCACCAACATCAACACCAACAAGAATTAAGTTGATCGATTAAAGAAAAAAGAGAATGGAGGAAAAGATGAAGGATGGAGGAGAGCAGCAGCCCAAGACGGAGGCGCTGGACGAGCTGAAGGAGAAGCTGAAGGAGCAGGAGAGCGAGCTGTCCAAGCTGCGCCAGCTCAACGAGCTGCTACTCGAGCGGATGAACAAGAAGGACAAGAAGGCGGTCAAGGCCGTCACCAGCGGCGAGGGCGGGGCCGAGGGCGAGCAGAAGTACGAGAACTTCGAGGTCAAGAAGGTGCCGGTGCGACACGCCCACACCAACGAGATCATCGACTACGACCACGTCGTCACCTTCACCAACTCAGAGGCCATCACCTACCTCCGTGGCTTCGTGGTACGCCCTCACCTCTGCACGAATATAAAATTTAACAAAGCAAAACAAAAATAATTTATTATAAATAAACGAATAAATTAAATTAAAAGTAAGAACATTGTAAAAGCTTTTTTAATTAATAACAAATTATTTTGTCCAGCACGTCGACACGCTGCACTCGGACCCTCCGACGGCCAAGGCCGACGAACTGTTCCAGGCCAGGTACCGCACACACTCATATCGACCGCACACGCACCGCAAGCCCACGCATACTGCGTTGGGTGACTGATTGAGAATGGTGTGGTGGCTGGTGCTCGTAGGACGGAGCTGAAGCAGTTCCATGGCATCGAGAGCATTGCGGAGGTGGTCACCTTCCTGGACACCCTCTACGGCGACATGATCAAGCGCTACGACAACATGCTTGCCGAGGTGCACACACACACACATACACACCGCACACGCACACACACAACCGCACACGGACTTACGCTGGGGTCGGTGAGGGCAGGGGGTGATCAGCTACAGGGCACTGTGGTACATCTTCACCAAGGGCAAGAAGATCATGGGCAAGACGGACACCAACTACTCGGTGGGCGCCGAGGTGGCCAGCGCGCACTATCGCGGCGGCATCTTCCCCAGCTTCGAGGTCCAGGGCTCCGTCATCAAGGCCAACGGCAAGGAGGTACAATTGACCACGCCGACAACGTTCCGTCTCTTGTCTCGGTCGAAGCGCGTGATGGCTCACACTTCTTTGCACCGCACACGCACACGCACACGCACACGCACACGCACACGCACACGCACACGCACACGCACACGCACACGCACACACACACACACACACATATACGCATCGACAGTTCTATACGACGTCGCAGTCCTTCAAGGTGCTGCCCTACGTCGGCACGAGGAAGTTGAGCGAGCTGCCCGTGCGCCTGCTCGACGACGAGACTGAGGCGCTCCTCACCGAGCGTGGCAAGAAGGTTCCTTCTCCTCCCCATCGTGCGCGCGTGTTGTCCCGCGCGTCGTGTCGTGTGTTTCGTGTGTGTCATGTGTCGTGCTCGTGCTCACCTGCGTGCGCGGTGGTGGGGGACACACACCAGTTCGCTCGGCTGGCCGTGGGGGTGCACTACCAGACCTATCGGGGCTACCTGGCCCAGAAGGAGGGCTGGTGGGGCTACCAGCTCTACAAGGCCGACGGCCGCTGCATGCTCGACGGGGTGAGCTTCAACCGGCTCAACCCCAACTCGCGGTCGTCGGACCTCACGGGCGACCTGAGCCAGGACCAGTACAACCAGCAGACTAACAGCTTCGAGGCCATCCCCGACGAAAAGATGTTCATGGTAACACACACACACACACACACATCCGTCGGCTCAGGCCTCAAAGACAAACACGTTGTGCTGAGCGTGTGCGGTGGTGCGTGTGCGTGTGTGCGTGTGTGCGTGTTCGGTTTGCCAGGCGTGGCCGACGATCTTGGGCTTCTCGTTCAGTGCCAAGAAGTGGGGCGAGTTCGCTGTCGACACCCTCGCCGAAGTCAAGTTTGACGATCAGGCCTTCCACAAGTACGCCTCCGCCCACCACACGTTATGCTGTGCGTGTCGTGTCGTGTGCGGTGCTTTGTGTGTGCGGTGCTAACCTGTGTGTGCACACACGAGTGCAGGCTGGTGTTGCCCGAGGAGAAGAAGGTGCTGATCCGCTCGCTCGTGGAGAACAGCGCCGACTTTTCCGACATCATCAGCGGCAAGGGCGGCGGCTGCATCTTCCTGCTCCACGGCAGCCCCGGCGTGGGCAAGACCCTCACGGCCGAGTCCGTGGCCGAGCTGCTCCACCGGCCGCTCTACTCGGTGAGCGTGGGCGAGCTCGGCACCGACACCAACGAGCTCGAGAAGAAGCTCACCGAGATTCTCGAGGTCTCCAGCTCCTGGAACGCCGTCATCCTCCTCGACGAAGCCGATGTCTGTACGTGTCATGTCATGTCGTGTGTGCGGTGTGTGCGGTGTGTGTTGCATTCACTCACGTGTGTGTGTGTGGTTGGCGCGTGTGTGTCCGTGTGCGGTGTGACAGTTCTGGAGAAGCGAACGGAGAATGATGTGAAGAGGAATGCGATGGTGGGCATTTTCCTGCGTCTGCTGGAGTACCACCAGGGCGTGCTGTTCCTGACCACCAACCGGGTCAAGTGCTTCGACAAGGCCTTCCACTCGCGCATCAGCATCGCCATCAAGTACGAGGACCTGCAGGTCGACTCGCGGACCCAGATCTGGGCGACGCTGCTCAAGGTGGCCAACATCAGTGACATCAAGCCCGAGGAGCTGTGCAACTACGACCTGAACGGGTACTGCTTTGTTTTGAACACATGCAGCACATGCAGCACACGCACACGCGCACGCGCGCACACACGCGCACGACTAACTTTGGGGCAAACACACAGCCGGCAGATCAGGACCATCATTCGGCTGGCCCTGGCCCTGGCGAAGACGGAGGGCGTGGCGGTCAACAAGAGCCACCTGGAGCGCACCATCAAGGTCGCCCTCCAGTTCGCTGCTGACCTGGAGAACGCCTTTGAGTAGTCTTGCTCGAGCTCCTTTTTGGCTTGAGAATTACAAAATTGATTCGCTTTTTTATCTCATTATTTATTATTATATAAATGTATTTATGTTTTTTATTTAGGTTCGAAAATGTGGCAAAAGCTGCTGGTTACTCGCCAGCGAGCTTCTTGCAGAGCTCGAGCATGCCCCAGCTGACGGCTTGCGAGGGGACCACCTTGAGATAGCACGGCACAATGCCTCGGTAAAAGCCCGCCACGCCCTCGTTCCTGGCGATCTTCACCACCGCGTCCGTGATGCCCTTATACTCGCGCTCAGCGCCTCCGATTCCCTACGTTACACCATCATACCATCAACAACCGCACGACACACGACACACACGACACACACGACACACACGACACATTACACTGTCTGGACCTGGAGCATCATGCGCCGTCGCAGGAGTTCGCTGGGGTAGGTGATGCTCATGGCGATGGTGCCCGCGAGCGCGCCGATGGACAGGTTCATGAACAGGCTGGGCTTCTCGCCCTGCCGCGCGTCGATCGCCCACTGCCGCAACATCTCGTAGCTCGTGAAGTTGATCGCCACGAACGGCGCCACGCCCTGTAATGATGGTTTGCATTTATCAAATAAATACGATTAAAAAATAATAATACACAAAAATATAAATATCAACAAATAATAAAGAATAAAAATAATAAAAAAGGATTGGGGGCGATACGAGGCAGGAGGTCCACAAGCCCTTGTAGAGGCCGGCGACGCCCTCCTCCTTGACGATGGTGCGAGTGGCATCCATGAGCCCTTTGTACTTGGCCGACGCGGTCTGAGCCGCGAGCCGCGTCCGCACCAAGTCCTGCACAGCACACACGACACACACGCGACAACAAGCACGCACACGCACACACGGCAAGACACGACACGACACCGTTCGCACACACACGCACACGCACACGCACACGCACACAATATAAAAATTAATAATGACAATCAGCCACACACTCCGAAGGAAAGACAGACCAGAGGGTAGGTGGACCCGGTGGCAAAGATGCCGGCCAGGGCTCCCGACAGCATCCGCACGCCGGCCGTCGGTTGCCCATTCTCGGGGTGCAGAGCCTGCATTCATGAGCGCGTGTCGTGTGTTGTGTGTCGCGTCGTGTCGTGTCGTGCGATGTGCGCGTGTTCGTTTCTTGGTTCTTGAAAGGCGAGGGCCGCATAGATGGGAGACGAGGCTCGGGTACCCGCTTGAGGGCCTCGTAGGCGTAGTAGCGCGCGGCGGAGGAGGGCATGATGCGAAGGATGTTCACCCCGTTGCCCTTGAAATAGCCCCGCCATCCCTCGTTCCGCCCCATCGCCACCAGCGCGCTCCACACCCCGCCGTACTGCGGGCCTGCGCCCTTGCTCAGGTATTGCACCTGCACACGACACGACACACGACACACGACACACACGACACACATGACACACGGTACAACACACGCCACACGCCACACGACGCACACAACACGGGCGCTGACCTGGTTGAGAATCTTGAGTCGCTCGAGCGGTGCGGTGACGGTTCGGGAGACGGCTCCTGAGACGGCGCCGTAGACCAGGTAGCGCCACGGGTTGCGGCTCTTGCCCGCCACAGCCTCGGCCGGCAGGTTGGACAGCTTCTCGCCAAAGCTGAGCCAATCCTGTGCTCGCCAACAAGCACATGAGACTTCTCCACGTGTGTGCGTGTGTGCGTGTGCGTGTGCGTGTGCGGTTGCGTGTCGCGTCGTGTGTTGTGTCGTTGCGTGTACTTCAAAGACTTCGACCAGGTGCGCGTGGGGGAGAATCTGGTAGTGCTCAACCTGGGAGAGATGGTACGATCAGCCTTGTAGCTTACGAAAGGACGAAGGAGAGGGGGGGGGCAAGCGTGTACCATGATGTTGTAGAACTCGCCAAAGTCCATTCCCGCCTCATCGGACGGGTCCAGCCTCGTCGCATTCCACACGCGCCGCAGGTGGGCCTGCCGAGAGCATTAATCCCAAATATCAAATGAGTAGATAAAGAAACAGTATTATTTGTTTTGTTTTTTGAAATAAAATAAAATAAATAATAATTGGAGAAAGTAAATAATTGTCGGGGCAAGGACGCACGTCGTCGCGGATGCGGTGCCAGAGGCCCTCACGCTTGAGCCCCTGCTCGAACTGGCTCAGAGTCAGCCGTCCCCTCTTGTCCCGGTCGAACTCGTCGAACAGGGCGCGTATCTGCTGTCGCCGCTGCACCGCTTCTTCTTCCCCCTCTCCCTCTCCAAAAACCACTTGCCGCTCCTCTCGCGCTGCCGCCATCCACTCTGCCTCTCAAAGCTGTTACAATAATTTTTCACATATGGCAAGAAAAGCCCCGTTGGCTCGTTTTTTCCGAAGTGTAAGTGTAACACACTCACTTACACCGCGTATCTGCGATCCACCTTGGTGCTGCCGACGGTCATGTCCATCGTGGCGATGAAGTTCCTGGGGAAGGGCTGCTGGGCGATCGGCCGCTCGCTCACCTGGTCCAGGCGCTGCATGTGGTCGGGCGAGAGGGTGAACTCGAGCGCGGCGATGTTCTCCTTGAGCTGGTCGAGCGTGCGGGCGCCCACGAGCGGGCTGGTCACGCCGGGCTTCTGGGCCAGCCAGTTGAGGGCCACCTGCGCCGCGGGCCTGTCGATCTCCTTGGCCACCGCCACCACCTCGTCCACGATCTTCCAGTTGCGCTCCTCACTAAAGTGGCGCTCCAAGAATTCCCCTCGCTTGGTGTCGGTTGGTTGGCCTTTCTTGTGCTGTGATGTGATTGGGGGGGTGGGGGTCAACACCTAGCCCTTCCATCGAAAAAAGAAAGGCTCTGATTGGCTGAGGTGATTGATACCTTGCCGGTAAGGAAGCCTTCGGCCAGGGCGCCCCACGGGATGATGCCGATGTCGTTGGCCTTGGCCATGGGACCCAGCTCCCACTCGAGCGACCGATCGAGCAGATTGTACCGCGTCTGCAGTCCGATGTAGGGGCTGTCCAAGTGAAGACATCAGCGGAGCTATCAAAGTCACAGACGTTGGCCACCGACAAGGTGAGTACCTCCAGCCACGCAGGTGGGCAGTGTTATTGGCGGCGGAGATGACCCAGGCGGGCGTGTCGCTCACAGCGACATAGAGGGCCTTGCCGCTTCTCACCACGTCGTCCAGCGCCCTGATGTGGAGGTGGTGGAAGTGAGGTTCGATGATACTGGCGAGGCTGTGGTGATCAACTATGTGTGCGCATACCTCATGGTCTCGTCAATGGGGGTACGGAGATCCCACACGTGGACGTAGAGGACGTCGACGTAGTCCAGCTTCATGCGCTTCAGCGATTCGTCAAGACCCTGCACCAGGGCCTTGCGGTGATTGCCGCCCTGGTTGGCGTTCTTGGCCGTGGTTGAAGAAGCCTGGCAGCAGTGACAAAATCAGAGCTGGGCTCGGCACAATGATGATCGAAGTGAGGCGCATAGGTACGGGAAGACCAGGTATGGGCGGAGCGTTGATGCTGTACTTGGTGGCCACCACCATCTGGCTGCGAAGCGGCGCCACCAGCTCGCCCACGTACTGCTCGCTGGTCCCATTGGTGTAGATGTTGGCCGTATCGATGAAGTTGCCGCCCTTCTCGACGTAGTAGTCGAACATGCGCTTGCTCTCCTCGAACCCGGCTCCCCATTGCTGCCAACCGCCACCATCATCACGCCCGTGAGATTTGGACAGCAGTTGAACGCACAAAGCGTGGTTGAGTCGTACCCATTCGGTGCCGAAGGTCATGGCCCCGAGGCAGAGGGGAGAGACGCGCAGGCCCGACGCGCCCAAGAGGCGGTAGTCGTCGAGCTGGGCCAGAGGCTTGTCAATGCTCGATTGTTCAGCTGTGGCAGACTTGTTCATCCTTGGGTTGGTTTGCTGTTGCTCGTTGCTGTTGTTGTTGTGAGGAAAAGAAGTGGCTGGGCACTCTTTTTAAGTGGTGGGAGTCGGCGATAGCAACATTGCCCGCTGTTAACATGCTTACATGGCAAGGGAAGAGAATCATGCATTTTCGGAGCTAGAACTTTTGTCCAATTATGTCATCCTTATACATCAACAAGCTCCGAATTTTCTTCTTTCCAGCCAATTACAAATCGCCGAGGACGGGAATGCGGCGGACTGTTGAGGTACGTGGAGAATGTGGTGTGAAGCATTTGCCTTGTGTTGCCTTGCCCACCTGTTTAGTTCAACAAAAATGAAGTGCTTCTCAGCCACGGAGCTAAGCTTGCACTTACAGACGCTGGAGTTCGATCCGGTCCTTCTTCTTCCTCCAAAACAAGAGAACAGAATAGAAAGAATGGTACACCACCCTGAGCGGAACGTCTGGTGGTTCATTGCCGTTGTGGGGCTCTCTGTCGGTATTGTCTGGCACCAGGTCGGTCCCAACGCGCTTGCAGAGGCAGGTAGCTCTGCCCCCCCCAAGCCCAAAAAGCAGGACTGGCCATGACGTTGGGGAGGGCGGGGACAGTCCACGGGCTGACGCATTGGCTGTTCGTCGACTCGCCACCAAGCGCCTTCATCCGTGCCTCCTGCGAGGGATTCCATCGTTGTGCGTCGCACACGGCACAACACACACACAAGACCACATACAACACGACGCACGGCACACACGACGCACACGACACACACGACACACACGACACACACGACACACGCTGATATGTGTAAAACAAAATATTTAGGCACGTGGGGCAACCTGCTGTACAACTATGGGTTCCACCTGCCGCTGGCGTTCATCGTGACGGCCGGCCTCTACGTCCACGTCTGCCTGGCCCACGTGGTCTACCGCGCCCTGTTCCACCTTCGGCACCTGCTGTGGTTCCCCGCGGGGCTGGTCCTCTGCGTGGCGCTCACCGCCTACGGGTGCTACCACGACCGCAAGACCTGAATTGTACGAAAGTGAGTCGTCTGGCCAAACCTCATAATAACAATAAAAACACACGACACGGCATGACCAACGACACGACACACGACACACACGACACACACGACGCACACGACGCACACGACGCACGACGCACGACGCACGACACGAGCGACGACACGGGTAGGTACCTGTGATTGAGGGCAATGGCCATACGGGTCATGTGTAAGGGCTGGGCGTGAGTGGGATCACTGCATCCAGCACGGCCATTTGTTCATCGGGCTCGAGGGAGTCGAAGGGCTCGAAGGGCTCGAAGGGCTCGAAGGGCGACGGCGGCGGCGGCCCGCTCAGTTGCTGCTGATGATGGCCCAGGAAGGCGATCGTAGTTGCGTGGGTGGTCATCACCGTCGTGGTGCCGTGGTAGGGCGTCCCTGGGTTGGCTGCGATCAGCTGTGGCAGTGGAGGCCCACGCGGCGGGGGCGACGCATATGCCGGCGACCGAGCGATGGTCGGTTGCTGCGATGGTCGCGGCGCCGACGATGACAATGATGACGACGACGAAGGCGATGATGATGGCGAGTAGTAGCCCATCACGCTGACAACCGCACCCGGCGGCCACACCGAGCCGAACGCAGGCGTCTGCAAGGGCGCGGGTAACGACGGCTGCAAGGGCGATGGCTGTGGAGCGAAGCACCCAGCACTCGCTGGTGGGGCTGCAGGGCGGCGATGCCGGTGGTGGAGGTGGTGTGGGTGCTGATGGTGGCGGCGACAGGGGCGAGCGGTGGTCGTTGGTGGTGGCGGGTCGAGGCGAGCTGGATCTGCTGCATGATGTAGCGGAGGTTGGCGAGTCGCTCCTGGGCGTAGACACACTCGCTCCAGGGGTGGTTACGGCAGAGTTCGAGGGCCCGCTTGGCCTGGTCCTCGGCCTCGGCCAGCATCCCATCGCGCAGCCACACATCAGACACCGCCATGCGGAACGCCACCTTTTTATAAATTCAACCATCAGCAACACACGACACACCACGACACACACGACGCACACGACACACCACGACACACACGACACACGACACGACACACGACACACGACGCACACGACACACACGCGACACAGACGTACCTCGGTTCGAGGGAGCATGCTGCGTTCGATTTCCTGGGTCTGGAGGTTGCGAATGATGTTGCGCATCTGCGCGGTGACGAGGTGGGGCGTGGACTGCGACGGCAGCATGCGGCGGCTGGCCGACGTGGCCTCGGGCGGGTGCGGGAACTCGCCCGGGCGCCACCGGGTGATGCGCTGCAGCAGCCGGATGTGGGAGCGCTGGGCCTCGTTGGTGCACCGCGCCCTGACGAAGGCCTCGGCCGACATCAGAAAGTACTGCTGGGCCTTGTCGTCGTCCGGCTCGATCACGGCCAGGTTGTAGTAGGCGTCGCCCTCGTCGTAGTGGCTCAGATAGCTCCGATACTGCCGGAGCAGGCCCAGCAGCAGCTCCGTGCACTTGGTCAGCGTGTTGACCTTGTTTTCGTGGAAGTCCTCGGGCGCCAGTTCGCTCTGATACTTGCGGACGTACCAGTGCTCGAGCCTCAGCGCCATGCACAGGTCTTGTGTGTGCCGTGTCGTGTGTCGTGTCGTGTCGTGTCGTGTCGTGCGGTTGTTAGTGTGCGCGGCTGAGCGCCACATTCGCGTGACACAGAGTACGTAAACGTACACTTGGGCGGGCTGCGACTCCCGATGCCTTTGAGTCTCAGCAGTTGCTCGAACGCCTCCTTGTTCTTGTTTTGATAGATGCTGTGTGATTCACGTGTGTCAGTTGAGGTTGTCATCAATGATGAGATGATGATTGTACTAAAGAGAACACAACGTCAGAGAGGCGTGACGTGACATGATGTACGCACTTGAACTCGCAGATCTTGTACTCGAGGAAGAAGATGATGTCGGGGTTGTTGTGGTGTTGGTGCTGGCTCCGCACCACCACAGCCCAGAACTGCTCCTCTTGGCCGCTCTCTGAGTACCGCTCCAGCGCGCCGTACTCGTCGGGGTGCGCCTCCTTGGGCCGGTCGTGCCGCACGCGGTGGACGAACGTCACCGGCGCCACGCGCTCACACTGTCCCTGCTGAAGAGGGCTCGCCACGTCAGCATCGATTCCTTTTGTAGATATAACTAAATATAACAAAAAAAATTCCTTACCTTACCAGGCGGGCTCCTCCTGTCGGGTTTGCTCACCACTCTCTCAGCTGGAAAAAATAAATATAATAATATAAAAATGAAATTAATAAATAATACAGGAATAGAAGAGCGAAAGCGAAAGCAAAAGATTGAAGGCCGGGGTACCGCCGGAGAGGAGGCCTATCATGTGGGAGAACTGGTCGGGGTGCTGCTGCAGGTGGTTGATGAACATTTTCTCCAGGTCGGACCGCGAGAGGCGCGAGTAGCCCTCCATGCCGAGCTCCTTGCACAGCAGCAACAGCTTTTTGTTGGGGTTGCACGCCAGGAAAGACTTGAGCTGCGAAACCTGCCGCGGTGTCGCCATCACGACGATGGTGGTGGAGTGCGCTTTCCTCTTCTTGCTGTTGCCGAAATGTTGGTGTTGTGCGCGAGTTGGTGTCTGTTGTAGGCACTTTTCTCCTTCAGTTGAACCTACAATGCAAGGCACGCCGAGAATGCAGGAATGTGTGAGGAATGTGAAAGGAATTTATCAACTTTATTCGAGCATTTTATTTATATTATGTGACCACCTGAGATGGAAGACGACGGTGCGGAGGCGTTCGAGGCGTCTTTCTTTCCGACCAGCGACTGGGTTGTTCGCAGGCTGCAGCAAAAGCACGACCCCACCGTCGCCGAGCGCGTGCTCAACATCTACTTGTGGGGCAGCCGGTATCACATCCTCTTATTTATTTTGTTTATTATTATCTTTTTGACTTTATTCTATTGCCCTTTTGCTGCACAGGGTGTACGGATGTGCCACGCCCACGTCGGACTGGGACTGCCTTGTTGTACGTATTTATTATTATTTATTCAAAAATTATTATTATTATTCCTTTTGTAATTTTATCTGGCTACAGGTCACCCGCTACAACACGCCGCACGACTTGACGCTCATCGCCAGTGACAAGAACAAGCTGCTGCGCGGCAAGCAGCCTGCCCAGCCTGAAGCCGAGGCCGGCGAGGGCCTACCGACCACAACGCGATCGGGCAAGAAGAGCATCTCGTGCGCCCGCCCCGCCCATGACCTTTTGGTGCATTGGTTGGTGCATCGTGGGCCATGCGTGTTAAAACTAGCCAATGAGCGTGTGCGCCAGGGAGATCGAAGCTTCTCTCTTTCCGATCTACCAGGACGACTACATCAATGCCACCTTCATCCCCATCGAGGAGTGGACCTTCTTGGTAGGACTGCACATTCCCTGCACATTCCTTTGCACATTCCTGGCCCCCCGCAGGGGGAGACTGACCAGCCCTTCTCTCTCTCTCTCTCTCTCAGATCAGGGAGCACCGGCACATGGCGCTTGAGGCCGTCTACGCGCCGGCCAAGTTCAAGCTGCTCGAGAAGCAGCCGGTCCACATCGTCCTCGACCCCGACATACTTCGAAGGCATGACAACGCCCCCAACGCACACACGACCCGACACACACATTCTCACTCAAGTGTTCGGTTTTGCAGGACCGTGTTGTGGGAGTCCACCCGCACGTTCGTTGCCTCAGGTGAGTCCTGCGAGACTGATTTGCTTCGCTCTAATCCTCTCCAATACCGTAGTGTCTAATCGGATGTATCTCTCCCGCACACGCACACGACGCACACGACGCAACACTATCCGCGACGCATGACACACGACACGCAGGTAATAAGCTGCTGGTGCCCGGTGGATTTACGGAGTACAACTACTACCGGGCGCGGAAGGAGATCGTGCACTCCTTCCGCTATCTGCTCTTCGCCATCCAGCTGGTGAAGACCGGCCGGATCGACGACTACGCAGCCGCCAACCACCACCTGGCCGACATTCTAAGGGAAAAGCAGGAAAACGAGGAAAAGCAAATGAGAAATTCGGACCAACTCGCGTCCGGTGCCGGCGACGGGGAAGAGGCCGAGCTCGAGCTCGTCGAGCGACCCGACGTGGCAGCGGGCAAGAGGTGGCGCGGGGCCAGGCGCAACGACGAGAACACCGAAGAGGCCAAGCGGTGGGCCGCGGTCATGGCCCGATTCAAGCCCGTGTTCGAGCAGCTGCGGCAGGAGCTCAAAGACCTGCGCGACTTCGCGCGGCTCTACAGCCGATGCGAGACCGAGAAGGTGCTCTTCACGTCGCTCAAGGATCGACGGCGGGACATGACGACGTCGGTCACCACGGCCACGGCCACCTTCACCACCGACGACGAAGGCGAGCAGACTGGACGCGTCGATGAGAGCCCGCTTGCCACCGTTCGATTTCTGAAGCACTTCAAAGGTCTCGCCCCTGATGATGAGTACTCCCGAGTGTGTGTGTTCGTGCGTGCGTGCGTCGTGTTGCGTGTTGCGTGTTGCGTGTGTCGAACCTAACGCTGCCTGTTCACCTCACTAGGCCCGCTCGAGCAGGCCATTGAAGCACTCGAGGAGGACCACCACGTGGTGTCCTGTAGACATTCAACGCACCCCAATCTCCTGCTGCTCACCACAGACGTACGTCTCACACCTCGTTCATACTCTATTTTGTTTATATATAGGTAATATAATCTATTTCTATATATCTACTATCTGTCTAGCTTGAGTAACTCGTGTTACTGACGTCATGTGCTCCACCTAGACCTATTCAATTGGTTCGTGGGCCGACGCTTCAGATATCAGTCTGGAGTGCAAGGGGCTGATCGTTGATACACAGCGCAACTTCGCGGTACGGGTCACCGACAATCATACCACAAACAACACGCACAACTGAGTTTCTTATTCGCCAAGCATATACTATATGTCTATTTACATCACTTAACATGATGTGACCAGGTTGTGGCCTATCCGTTCGGTCGATTGGTGGATCTTCCGCCGTTCCGCGAGGCCACCCCGCAATCATCGGCGCGAGAAGAGGCCCAGAGAACCCTTGCGGGATGTTGGCAGCGAGCAGACGAGGCGCCGCCTGTACACGTGACCGAGTGCCTCGATGGACTCACAGCCGGTACACACACACACACGACACACACTTGCACACACACGATACACACGCGCGCGCGCGCTCCTTGCCCTTACCTCCCTTTCCGCGGCTGACCGAAAAATTACATCCTCGTACGACACGACACATGCGTAGTGCTCTATTTCTACGCCGGCGAATGGCATCTCAGCTCCAATTGTAAGTCCCAGTTCGCCTTTTTCCCCATGTTTCGTTTACCATTCTGATCTGTATCGCGTGGCGTGCTGGGTTTCATGCGTGTCGTGTTGGGGTCGAATACTCAGATGAACCAGACATGCCATCAACAAATGTGACGTGGAAGGAGGAAGACCTCAACAGACCATTTCACCAACTGTTTTGGAATGTCTGGCGCCAGAGCAACTACCAACTGCCCCAAGGTGAATCATCCGCACGCAGACATCAGTGCGCGCGCGCGCACACACACACACAACACACACAACACACACAACACACACAACACACACAGCCACCTCCCCGTGTTAAATTGTTGTTTGCGCGTTCGCAGACGAAGAGTACTGCTACACGTTCCAGCTGCTGTCGTGCGAACACCGACACCTGGTCCGTCCGCCGTACGACGACCGGGGCGCTCTCTTCCTCATCGCCGCCCGGCACCTGCCGACGTTGCACGAAGAAGATCCGCGAACGTGCGCGGTACACACCCAACGCCGCACGCCGCACGCCGCACGCCGCACGCCGCACGCCGCACGCCGCACGCCACGTATTCTAACTGCCTCGTGGTGCAGGAAAAGAATGGCTGGGTCAGTGTTCCCCGATTCGACGAATTCAAGAGCGTGGATGATGTGATAGCCTCGGCCGAGGCGCTCGACCCGTTCGTGCGCAAGGGCTACGTCGTGGTCGACACCTCCGACCCTGCGCAGTACGCACCAAACCTTGTGAACTCGCTTGACGTGGTCTGTGATCGATCGATCGTTGGTGATAGCTGAGCGCATGTGTGGTGGTGGCAGCTGGCGTCGTTGGGTGGTGAAGAGCCCGCAGTACGTGTCCGTGCACCTCGGCACAAACTTTTGCGACCATCGGACCACTCAACCTGCGGGCCGACATGGACGCCCAGCACATGGCGGAACTGGTACCTCCCCACACCCCACACAGCCATTCTCTTCATTCCACCGAAGAATGTGGCTGATGCGAATCGCGCTCGTGTACAGCTGCGCTACAACAAGGCGGGCGAGTTCGTGGCGTACTACCCGCAGTGGAACGTGTTCGCGCGCGACCTCGCCCACAAGCACGACGAGCTGTGCGATCATCTGCAACAGGCACGCACACGGCCAACGACACGACACGCGCATTCCTCCACCGCACACACCTGGTGTCTTGTTTATTTATTTATTTATTTATTTATTTATTGGGCGTGTAGGCCTGGGACGAGCTGAGGCGGACGCCGGACCAGAGGACGTTCGCGGCGGTGTCCAAGAAGCACGGCGGGACCGGCCACGACTTCATCTTCTTCAAGATGCGCAAGGAGGGCATACACGTCTACGCCTCCATCCGCCAATTCCTGGCGCTCACCGACGACTCTGTCATCACCAAGCTCCTCTTCTTCTGGAGCAAGCGACCAACAACACCCCCAACAATAAGTGGTTGAATTTATTTGAGTATTTATACCTTTTATAGACAAAAGAAAATAGGTAAACAGAAAATCATAAAAAAGGAGATGTTGACGACAACGTGAGCAGGAACGGCCAACAGGCAGGTTGCTGTCCAAGAACTGAGCGCAAAGAAACGTAGGAGACCATGGGAGCAATGTCGTACGTACTCTGGGCTCTGCCAATGGCCTTCGCCCTCTTCTGGATGGCGGGCCGCGTTGTGGCCTACTTCCTCTGGACCGCCGAGGAGGGCATGGCCGACTTTGTCGCCACCGTGCTGCCCGAGGGCTACCACCCCTCCGTCGCCGAGGGCTTCTGGACTCATGGCGTCAAGGTCTCACTGAGAACAGAGATATGTCTGTTATTTTCATATCAGTTCAGTCGTTGACTTGTGAAGCGTTCAGGTGCTGTACGAGGAGCGGATGAGCCTCATCCAGGCCCACGCGGGCGTGAGCGCGGTGTGGGGCGTGGCGGCCATCCTGCAGCTGCTCCCGTTCGTGCGCAACTACGCTGGGTTCGCCGTCCACAGGTTCGTCGGCTACGTGTTCTACCTCTGCTCGGCCGTCTTCCTCGTCCAGATGTCCTACATCCTCTTCGTCCTCGGCATGGTACGTACCATGTTCAACATGCCCGTGCCTTTCACATACCTGTGGTAAATATGCCACTACACGCTGGCCTATCGCTCAACAAGACGATCATCGTGTCGGAACCTAGGTGAACGTGGGCCAGGGCATGTTCGTGGCCGACGTGGTGTCGCTGGTGCTGGTGGGCGTCTGCACTCCGCTGGGCTACTACTACATCAAGGCCGGCCAGGTCAACAAGCACCGGTCGATGATGATCCTGGCCTGCGCTGGCCTCTTCTCCAACGCGGTCCAGCGCTTCGTGTGGGTCCTCATGTCCAAGTCGGAGGTGCTGGGCCACGCCACGTCGTGGGAGGCCTGGCGCGATGGCACGTCATCGATGACCGGCTACGTAGGGCTGACGCTCACCCTCCTCGTCGGCTGCTTCTACGCCTTCTTCACCAAGGCCGACGACGCGGCCGTCAAGCACATGGTCGCGAAGAAGAAGCAGCAGCAGAAGCCCAACAAGAGGTCCAACAACAAGCCCAAGGCGAAGAGCGCTCCCGCTGTGGTCCGCTCGGCTAAGACCAAGGCCAACTGACGGTGGGTGTGGGGGGGGGGATTTTACATTTTCACTTCAACGCGACGTTGCTTGCTGACGTTGCTGTCGGGGCGTTTCACTCTGGGTATACTGCAAGCTGTTGGCGCATAACGTAACAGTAACATCCACCCCATCTTGGCCGAGCACCACCTTCAATCCAACGTTCAACATCCCCCCTCTGTAGAGGATGGGTATGTACCACAGCACGAGCGGGAAGGTGGGGTACCAGTACCACCACCAACCGCTGCCGGGCTACCACATACCTCGCTACCTCATGAAGAAGATCCTCATCCACGAGGACAAGCTGCGTGCTTCTCCCGAGGTGCCCCCCCCCCGGCCGTGTTGTTTTTGAGGAATGCGCGGAATGCGCGTTCTCTCGGTGCTGTGTGCTGTCTGGCTCACGCGCGTGTGCGGTGGCGTGCGATGATGTGGGCAGGTGCAAGCGTTGTATTCGCAGAGCGACGACCTCGCTTGGATTCGCGACGTCACGCTTCAGGTGCAGAACCGCGCTCTTGCTGAGTACGGCTTCACCGACGCCAGGGGACTCATCGCCCTCAACAACGCTCGCCTCGAATACATCGTGCGTTTTTGTGTCGCGTTGTGCATCGTGCGTCGTGTGTGTCGTGTGTTGTAGTATGTATCGTGTCTGGCGGTTGGGAAAGAGCAAACCTGATCGCCGTCGGCCATCGGACCTGCAGGACGACCCGGAGATGAATCAGTTGACCGTTTACCAGCGCCTGGACAACTCGCGTCAGGGCAAGCTCTTCGACGGCGTTGTGCTCCCCAACGTGCGGGTACGAGCTTCGCTCAAGCACCAACCGAGCTGCACGACACTCACGATGTCGCGTGTCGCGTGTTTACTTTTTTTCCCCCTCTCTGCCAGCTGGCCACGCTCGATGGCTCCAACGTTATGCTCTACGACTACCTCGACGCACTCAGGGAGAAGCAGAACCACCTCGGCTCCGCGCCGGGCGGCAGCGGCAATGATTTCCCGCCGGCCAAACGGCCGATCCTGGTCACCGCCGGGTCGATCAGCTGACCCCCGTTCAGGACGGTGCATGTGGACTTTATGCACCGTCTGCAGAGGGAGCTGGGGGGCAAGGTACTATACACGATCACATCACGTTTTCTCGTCGGCACGCCTCGATGCTTGGGAGCGAGTGGCGCTGACGTGTTTCTTACGCCCACAGGTGGAGCTGTTGTCGGTCTACATCCGGGAGGCCCATGCCCAGGATGAGTGGCCGTTGGTAAGTTCACGACCATGAATTGATGGTGATGTTAATTGTGAAGTGTTGGCTTACATTTCTGGGTATTTATCTGACAGGGCCAGCGAGTGTGCGTCAATCAGCACAAGACGATGGAGGAGCGACTGGCGATAGCCAACGAATTCGTGGAGAAGCACGAGTACAAGATCCCTACGCTCGTGGACACCATCAGCAACCAATTCGACCAAGAGTACCTTTATTCCTCTCGACGCTGCAGGCGCGCGCAGGACCACCACCACACTTACACCTCACATTACAAACGCCAAACCCATTCAATGAATGTTTATTGTTTGTTGTGTACAGGTTTGCGGCGTGGCCTGAGCGCTATTTCATCATCGAGCAGGACGCCGAGGGCGCCTATCGGTGCAGTCATGTGGGCATGCCCACCACCGAGTTCGGCTACGACAGGGACCAGCTCGAGAGCCGGCTGCGCTCGCGGGTCGACGAGCTTGTGCGTGCCTAGGCCAAGCTCACACCAAGGTGCCATCAATCAATCCACCTTGCGATCGGTGCGCTGAAACTGAAACTCTAACACACGTGCGTGTGTCGTTTGCGGTTGCGTGTTGCGTGTTGCATTGCAGGTGTAGAGGTGACGAGGGCGGATAGGTGCGAGAGAAGTGGAGGGGAGTGAGCGAGAGGGAATGGGAATGAAGGCGGCGCCTCGAAACACGCCACACACATGTGCGTGGAGCGCAGCCTGACCAGGGCATCATTCCCTCTCTTGCTCTTCTCCTCCAACCACCCTGCATGTCCGATCTCGCCTATTCTCCTGGCCTCCGGACCCAACTAGCGACAACACCGCCAAGCAAGAAACCGTAAAGAAACATATTTATCATTTATTTATCTCTGTTATTACATTTTTCTCTGTTTTATGACCAAAATATATGTTTTTATGATTTAAGAAGGCTATTCTGATGGCCGGACCAATGGCGTGCGCGGAGATGGAATTTCGCCAGTGGGCCAACTCTCCGGTTCTCCCCATTTGTACGGTCGGCATCGCGCTTCCTTCTTCTTCACCAGCTTCACCACCACACCACCATCTCCTCCGCGCTTCTCGCCGGCCCTACACCAATGGTCTGATCTGAGCGCCGCTGGCAGCGCCACGACGAGCCTGCCGAGAGATTTGATTCACTACACGCATTGCTCCGCGCGATGCGCAGCAGCTAAACCCTCAGTGAGAGGTACATGCTCCATCCACCACCGGCCTTTAGCCCTTTAGTTCTTATGATGACAATTTAATCCAGCTCACTCTGAAAACTGTGATGAGCATTTTATTCACGACAGTCTTCTGACACAAGAACCATTTACTTTCATCTTTTAATCGTTGTTCGCGATCTCAGTTGCTAATCCTCCTTCCTTCAGGATGAAGCAACTCCTCCAAGGGAAGCCCTTCTCTCCGCAGCAAAGCCTTGCCGGAGCTCAAGGCTCGGAGGCGGATCATCTGAAGACGGGGTTCAACTGGTGCTCCTTCCCTCCCCTCGTCCACCCACGACTGCGCTTATATGATGACTAGCATTGGGCAATGACATAATCATAATGATTACACTAAGAAATCTTCACTTTGACCTGATATTTGCTTTATCTTTACACGCTTCTATCCGTCTTTTCGACCTTGTTCTCACGTCCTTTCTTCCCTCTCCAGATGGTGCGCTTCGCTTAGCCAAGCCCGAACAGTGGGCCCCATCATGGTCTTGTCGTTGTCCTTTCACAACTTCAATAAATGCGTCATGTTCCAAATGTTCTTGTTCTTCATCTTGCCTCCTCAATGAATCGAAAGGAAAGGATTTTGTTGTTTTTTTAATTTATTTTGTTTTATCGCTTGGACCACGTACGTGTGAGTTCGATTCGAGGCGTGCGTAGAGCACAAAATCTGCGAATGGAACATGACGCACGGCAGGCAAGGCTGCGTGCTTCGTACCCTCCCACCCCTGCACATAGATCGCCCAATTCTCTAAGGGCAAAAGTCGAAATCTTCTACACTATCTTCAAAATCATCCTCTACTTCACATCTTCATCTCATCTCGGATGAGATTTTGGGCCACACCAGACCATTCATGCTCTACCCCTGGGTGCAGCTGCTGAAATGGGAGGGCATTGCGCCTTTCGGCCCAAATCTCGCGGCGGATCACGCCCAGTCGATGCGAGCCAACACCTTCGTGCCCGTGGCCCACGTGCTGTTCGTTGTGGAGAGCAGCAGGCCCGAGCGTGGCTGGACCCGGTTCGTGCTGCGCGACCCGACCGGCACCGTGCCTGCCGGCACCACAGACAGCGACGTCGCCGCCAAGCTGGTCGTCGGTGCCGCCGTCAAGCTCACGAACGTACACTCGCCCCTTTTTCTGAACAATACACGCGCAGCGCTGAGCGAGGCCGGCCGGCAGGTTGTGCAGGTGCGGCTGGTGCCCGACTCAGCCTTCTGCGGCCGCCTGGGGATCGTGATCGCCTGGGAGAACCTGGGTCGAGTGGTCGCGCCCAAGTCCAAACCGGTACCGCGCTTTGATTTGCTCGCCTCACACTTCTTCGGCCGAGAGCAGACGCTGACGCGCGCGCATCGATGCATCAAACGTGTTCGCAGGGCAAGCCACACACGAACAACATATCGACGTTCAAGGAAACCACGCCGTTCTCGATCTATACGTCGCTGGAGGGCGTGAAGAAGGACGAGGTGGCCGATATCACCTACCGACAGTTCAGGGCAGAATGGACGCGACGGCATCCCTCACCAACAGCACCTCCACCACCACCTCCACTTCCCACCCATACCACCGCGACTGTCTCGTCGGGCGGTACGTGCATCTCCTCGACGACACACGCACAGCGCACTGCGCACGCGTGCTGACACACGCACACGCACCACCGCACACGCACACACGCAGACGAAAGCTTTTCTTCGCCCAGCAAGGAAGTGCTCCAGCAGCAGCCAGTCGCAGAAACCGTCGACGCGCTTCATCATCTCGTCGAAGAGGAAGAAGAGGATGCGGGGGAGTCGGACCTGAGTCAGCCCTCTGACCTGCCGAGCAGCCAGCCATCGGAGGGAGACTCGTCGGCGGGCCAACGACGAACGAGCGCCAAGCGGAGGTACCTCAAGCGGGTGGAATCGGATCCGACCCTGCCCGACTCGCAGCCGTCGCCCCAGAGCCCGAGGGCCTTCCCTCGAGCCGAGGAAAGCGAAACGGCCAAGCACGACGACGTCGACGGCAGCGACGATGACGAAGAAGAACGAAAAGCGAGCACGAACGCGGAGGCTGCGACGACGGCCAAGAGAACGAAAGCAAAAGCAAAAAAAGTGACGAAAGCGAAAGCGAAAGCCAAAAGCGAAGCAGAGGACGAACTGGTCAAGAGAAAGCGAGGGCGCCCGAAGAAAGAGGCGATCGAGACGGAGGAGGAGCGGATCAAGAAGCACAGGAAGAGCGAGGAGCACAAGAAGAAGTTCGTGGAGCTCTTCATAAAGCACGCGAAGCCGAAGGTGGTGATGACGCCCGTTGTGCCGCTGGACGAGCAAGCGCGTCAACTGCTCGACCGGTGCGAATTCCAGCAGTCCCAACGGCTATCGCAGCACCAAAGTCAAAGAGCGAAGAGTCAGCGGATTGGCGACAACGAAAACGAAAGCGAAGACGAAGACGAAGCGGAAGCCGAAGCCGACAGCGAAGAAGACCTTACACAAGATATCAACCAGCTCGAGGTTGTTCTCACTCAATGCAAGCAGCTGTGCGAAAGTACAACCCCCTTGCACCGCTTTGCGCGCGACACGCACCCGTACAGGTGTGCGTCGACTCGGGCGTGGGCTAAACCTATTCTTCTGGTGTGTGTGTGTTGTGGTGCGCGAACAGAGGAGTTGGTGGTGTTTTCGCTTTTTGACGGAATAGCAGGCGCGCTCCGGGCGCTCAAGCTTCTCGGCATTCGGGTCAAAGCCTACTTCGTCGTCGAAAAGGATCCCGTACGCAACGCAACTCGCGCAACACGCGCAGCCACACGTCATCGCGTTTAGATCAATCTTATTATTATTATTCTAATTGATTCCTCGTTTGTTGAGTGCAGCTGGCGATGGACGTGGTGCGGGCCAATTTTCCGCCTGAGGAACACCCCTACATTCGCTACCTGGGCTGCGTTGAGAAAATCACCACGGCGGACCTGGAGGACATCGGTGCTGCGCCCCGACTCAAGCTTCGCTCTTTGCGAACTCTCGAGCGGAAAGAAACCGGCCAACAACTGACGTCTTGCGTGTTTCCCATTCCCAGTGCGCACTGTAGGACCCGTCGACCTCTTCATCGGCGGCTCGCCTTGTACCGGTACTCACTGCCTGCGTGGCGTGTCCTGTGTGGCGTGCGTGACGTGTGCGCGTGACGTGGCGTGCACTCAAACAAGCGCGAGCCGGCTACAGATCTCTCGGTCCTGGGCAAAAAGAAAGGCCTTGACTGCCCCGAGGGCTCGAGCTACCACTTCTACGATTTCCTGCGGTAATCCCCTCACCACTGCTTTTTTATTTATTATTATTTTGATTATTTATTGCTCATTTATTATTTATTATTATTATTATTATTATCTATTATTTTTTCGACGTGTGTTGCGTGCGTGGGTGAACGTTCAGGATTTTGCAGGACCTGCGTCGCCTGTGCAACAGCGACAGCCACAACGTCTTCTTTCTGCTCGAGAACGTGGCCTCCATGAGCCGCAAAGACAAAACCAAAATCTCAGGTGCGCTCTCTCTCGTCCCCGTCAACACTCGCCACACTACACCGTGGCGCACACACCGACAATTGCTGACGTGTCGTTGGTGTGGTTGGTGTGGTCGGTGTGGTCGGTGTGGTCGGTTGGTGTGGTCGGCGTGGTTGGTGTGGTGGGGTCGACAGATTGCATGGGCGTGGAGCCGGTGAGGATCGACAGCAAGGACATCACCAACGTGCGCCGGAATCGCTACTACTGGCACAACATCCCGCGCAACATCAATGCCCTCCCCAAAGCCACCTTCCAGGAGCTGCTCAGCCAAGTACGCGCGTGTCGTCTTGAGTGCTGTGTGTCGTGTCGTGTGTCGTGTGTCTGACTGACGTTTGTGTCGTGTCGTGTCGTGTGTGCTGTGTGTCGTGTGTCGTGTGTCGTGTGCAGGACGGCGAGGCGTTGGTGCTGGTGGGCGGGTGTATCACGACCCACAATGCCACCATGGAGTACCTGAAGAAGTCGCTCGAGGAGCTTCTTGCCCGTCCGCAGGACCTCAAGCGCTACAACACCATCAAGATCAAGGGACAGGACAAGTGCCGGTCACTCAAAGCCACCGAAATGGAGCGCATCCTCGGCTTTCGCACCAAAGATTCGAACGAGCGAGGTGTGTGTCGTGTGTCGTGTGTCGTGTGTCGTGTGTCGTGTGTGTCGTGTGTGTCGTGTGTGTGAGGCTCTGAGCTGACGACCTTGGCCACGCGCAGAGTACACGAAGGAGGGGAGGGACATCAACGGCCGCGTGTACATCCTCACGAAGGCCCAGCGCAACAAGCTGCTCGGGCAGAGCTTCGACACGCGCGTGATTGCGCACCTGCTGACGCCGCTCCTCAAGCTGTGCGCCGGCGAGGAGCAGCTCGAGTCGCGCATCCTCCAGATCCGCCGCCAGGTCACCCTCTCGCAGATGCACTTTGTCCAGCCCCGGCCCAGGCCCGCCGCCGCCGCCGTCATCATCGACAAGGGCAAGGACAGGGCGATTGACGACGAAGACGACGATGCTGATGAAGAGGAAGAAGAAGACGACGACTTCCCACTGACCCAGGCGGGTTGACGCCCATCATGAGAGATTCTCGTGTGCGTGCGTGTCGTGTCGTGTCGTGTCGCGTCGTGTTGAAAGCAAAAGGAGTGTATTCGTTAAGAAGAGAGAGATGAGGGCATCAGTGCTTGAAGTGACGCTCGCCGGTGAAGACCATCACCAGACCCAGCTCGTCCGCCTTGGCGATGACGTCCTCGTCCCTGAACGCGCCGGCAAGCAACATGAGTGTGTGCGGTTGGGTGCGTGTCGTGTCGTCTGTCGTGTGTGTCGTGTGTGTCGTGTACAAACCTGATGGAGCCGCCGGGCTGGATGACGGCGATGACGCCGGCCTTGGCGGCCTCCTCGATACCGTCGGCAAAGGGGAAGAAGGCGTCGGAGGCCAGCAAGCTGCCCTGGGCCTTGTCGCCAGCCCGCTTGGCGGCCTGCACGACCGAGTCAACGCGGTTGGGCTGGCCCGTGCCGATGCCCACCGTCGACGTGCCCTGCACCAGCACGATCGCGTTGGACTTGACGTGCTTCGACGCCAGCCACGCGAACGCCAGACCGGCCTCGATCTCGGGCGTCGGCTGCTTCTTGGACACCACCTTCCACTGGCTCTTCACCTCCGTTCCTACGCGTGTCGTGTCGTGTCGTGTCGTGTGCGGTAAGCCGTGTGTCGTGTCATGTTGTGTCCATACAAACATGTGGTCAGGAGTACCCTTGTCGTCGGGGGTCTGGACGAGGAGGCCGCCGAAGACGCTTCGGACGACCAGGCTGCCCTCCTGGGTGGCGCGCTGCCTGCGGATGACGTCGTTCTTGGCGATGAGCACGCGGCAGTTCTTCTTCTTGTTGGCCAGCCACTCGAGGGCCTCCGGCGTGTAGGCGTGCGAGACCAGCACCTCCAGGAACAGCTTGCCTGCAGGGTCGCGTGTGGCGTGTGGTGGTGTTGTCAGCGACGCTTAGGGCGCACCACACAGACCAGCGCACGCGCGTCGCACGCATCACGTACCGATGGCCTCGCACAGCTCAACCGTGATCTCCCTGTTGATGGCGATGATCGAACCGAACGCCGACACCGGGTCCGACTCGAACGCCTACATCCCATAATAATCGTTAATATATCAACACAATTGATAAATAATAATATAATATAATAATAATAATAATATTAGTAGTAATCAATAAATAATTGATACAGAGAGCAAAAAATAGCAAATAATAAGAATAATGGTAATAATAATAATAATAAATACCTTCTGGTAGGCGGTGATGATGTTGGGGTCGGTGGCGATGCCGCAGGGCGTGTTGTGCTTGATGACGACCACGCACGGGTCGCTGTACTCCTGAACGATCGCGTAGGCCACGTCGAGGTCCAGGATGTTGTTGTACGACAGCTCCTTGCCCGACACCTGCTCGAACGGGGCGTCGGCGCCGCTCCACCGGTACAGCGCACCTGATCGTACACAACACAACAACCCACGTGAGCCAAAACGACCATGTGTCGTGTCGTGTCGTGTCGTACCCTGCTGGTGCGGGTTCTCGCCGTATCGAAGAGTCTCGACCTTCTCCGCCGTGAGCGCGATCTGCCCGGGCAGTGACTATCAACACGACACGACACGACACACGGTTAGTTCTATGTGTGCGGTGCGTGCGGTGTGTGCGGTGCGGTGCGGTGCGTACGTCGCTCTTGCCCTCCTCGAGCGAGCCCGAGAGCCACTGGGAGATGGCGCTGTCGTAGGTGGCGGTGTGGCGGAAGGCCTTGAGCGCGAACCGCTTGCGGTCGACCGTCGGCACGGCGCCCGCGTCGGCGCCGCTGCCGCCGGCCTGGAGCTTGGCCAGCACGCCCGCGTAGTCGGCCGGGTCGCACACGACCAGCACCGACTCAAAGTTCTTCGCCGCCGCGCGCAGCAGCGTCACGCCGCCGATGTCGATCTGCTCCACGATCTCGCCCTCTGTCACACCCTCCTTACGCACCGTCTGTGCGTGTCGTGTCGTGTGTCGGTGTGTGCGGTGTGTGCGGTGAGTTGCGTGGACTTGGGCTCGTGAGCGGGGAAGAGGGTGGCAGGGGTACCTCCTGGAAGGGGTAGAGGTTGCAGACGACGATGTCGATGGTGGCGAGGTTGTGCTTCTTGAGCTCCTCCAGGTGCTCCGGCGTGCGCTTGGCCAAAATGCCTCCATGAATCTTTTTTTTTGGTTTATAAATAAACAAAAAATTAGTACAAAAACAAAAATATGAATATGAGTGTAAATAAAAATATATCTTTATATATATATCTTTATATCTATATATATATATCTTTATATTTAGAAATGATAATAATAAAGAGAAAGGGGCGTACGGCGGGGTGGAGGGTCTTGACGCGGCCGCCGAGGATCTCGGGGAAGGAGGTGAGCTGGGCCACCTGGACCACGGGCACGCCGGCCTTCTCGAGGGTGGCGTGGGTGCCGCCGGTGCTCACGATCTCGAAGCCGAGCCCGGCCAGGCCCTGGCAGAACTCGACCAGACCCTCCTTGTTGTGCACTGAGACCAACGCGCGCTTCGCCATCTTTTCGTTGAACGTTCAATGGATGTCTGAAGAGATCTGCGGAAGGAGATGCCACGCGGGACGAGTAGATCGAGTGTGAGATGAAGCTATTTCATCCATGAACCATTTGCAAAATCGCTTTGAGATGGGCAAAATCCCCAAGATGGCTCGAGATTTCGGGATTGGGGTGAGATCATGGAGCGATTTGAAGAATCTCAAAGCTGTGCCTGCGAGATGATGGCCGCGTGTGCGTGTGTCACTGGGATCGGACGTACCTGCAAACGATTTTGGTGTGCAGAAGGAAAGATTGAATGAGTGGTGTGTGCGGTGCGGAGATGATGCAGACAATACAGAGCTTGCGCGCGCGCGCGAGTATGACGTGAAGAATGTGGGCCCCGAGCTGGCGGCTGGTGGGGTGCGCGCGTACCACGGACTTGCACTGCGATGGCACTGCGTGTTGCGTGTGCTGCGAACAAAACGGAGAAGTGGCGGGCGGAAGACCTGGCTTCCCCGCAGAACCTCGGGAGAGAACTGGACGAACTGGAAGCCAAGCCAAACGTCCCGTGCCCGATTCGCTGTTCTTCGTAGGGGCATGGCGACCAAAAAGTGCAAAAATTTGGTAATTATGTAAATATGTAATTATGTTTTGAGAATAAATATATTTGCATTTTTGGACTGATTGAAATTAGACAAATAAATGTGGGGTGTCAGGGAAAACGATGATTATCTGTTCTGGTGGCGAACGAACTTGATGGTCATCATCACGCCGGCGACGAAGGCCAGGTAGAAGCCGATGAACACCAGGCCATCGCGCAGCATGTTGTCCTTGTCAAAGTCAACCTGCATTGTTTATTTTGTGTGATGCGTCAGCCAAGATATCGTTCGTGTTCGTAGTGTGTGTGAGTGTGTGAGTGTGTGAGTGTGTGTCGTCTTGTGTGGTGAGAGGAGTGGTACCGAGTCCAAGAAGTCGGAGCCCTGGGTCATGGGGCAGTAGGGCATGGTGTTGTCGGTTCCGCTGATGGGGACCTGCAGGTACTGGCTGCCAGAGCAGTGCAGATTGAGCCCGTCCATCTCGTTCGCCACCAGCAACTCCAGCGGATACATGTTGATATCTGCAATTGCACACAACTCTCATGTCAGTTTGACACGCACACGACACACGGCACACGGCACACGGCACACGCACACGCACACGCACACGCACACGCACACGCACACGACACGCGACACGAACCGAGATAGTGCATCCAGATCCACCAGTCGGGAATGTTTTCGCGGGAGATGAGGAAGCCGGAGAAGAGGGCGAAGACGGTGAAGGCGATGGCGCAGAGCGAGTTGGCCAGGATCATGTTGGGCGCGAGGAGGGCCAGGAGTTGGACCAGCGCAACGGAGATCAAGAAGTTGAGGAGCATCACGGCGAAGAAGATCCAGAACTTGCCCGCGTCGTACTGGAAGCCCACAATGAAGTAGACCGGAATACTGTGTTGTGTTGTGGTGTGTGTGTGTGTGTGTGGTGAGCAAAGAGCGTGGGGTGGTGAGATGAAAAGGGAATTGTGGGACTTACACATAGAGGACCGCGGCGATCAGACAGAAGGGCCACTCGACGACGATCATGGTGACGGCGTAGGCCATGCTGTTGTAGGTTCGCGACGCGTTTTCGCGGTAGAACACCGCCCGGTCGACAACCACTCGAGCCAGGAGCTCTGCATCGACCAACCGCGCAAGGTTAGCGGTTGTGTGTCGTGTGTGCTGCGGTGTGTGCGTGTGTGTCGTGTGTGCTGCGGTGTGTGCGTGTTGTGTGTGTCGTGTGTTCGATGCAGAGAAGCCTTGGAGGGGCACTTACGCATGGACGTCAGGTTGCAAATGATCAGAGAGAAGTAGATAACCGCAGCCCGCTCCGTGGCGCCCGCTTGGTCATCGTCCAGCTGCAAAAACAGAGTTCCCTGTAGCCCCGCACACGTAAGAACGCCGCCCGCCGCACACGACAAACGACACGACACGCGACACACGGCATCATAGACGTACCATGATGAGGCCCATGAGGAGCGGTGAGGTGATCTTGGACATGAAATCGGGCGGCGTTCGCCAGTACTGGAGGAAGGAGCGCTTGATGAGCTCCCACAGCTGCACGTAGAACGGCGTGGCGTAGCGGCCCTGCATCTTGGCCTTCATCTGCTTCCACTTCCGGCGCATCTTGCCCGAGCGCTCGTTGGTCTCCTCGTTCATCGGGTAGATGCCCTTCTCCAGCGCTAAAAATTAAGGAATGAGTGTGTGTGTGTGCGATGTGTGTGCGGTGTGTGTGCGATGACATGTGTGTCGTGTGTCGTGTCGCCGTGCGTACCTTCTTGAGTCTCCTTGTTGAAGCTGGAGTCTCTGAAGGCCGCCACGGCCACATCATCTTCGCCGGTCTTGGGCGCGATGTCCTCGCCGTTCTCGTCCTTCTTCTTCTGGGCGCCCGAGATGCCTGGCGACGTCGCGCAGTGGCCAATCACGCGTGGTCGCTGACGTCAGCAACGGCTGTCCATTGGGTTTCAACTCAAGAAAGGCGGGGTTGGGTACCGGCGCCGGTGACTTCGAGGATGAACTCGGCCGGGTTCTGGAAGGGCTTGAGCTGGCGGCCGAGCGCGCTCGAGAAGTAGTCGAGCATGATCGAGCAGTCGCCCGGTCGCTCGCCGATCGGCCCAAAGTAGGTCGTGTACCCTCCTGCAATGAAAACGCGAGGAATGTTGGCGTGTGTCGTGTCGTGTCGGTCTCGTGTGTCGTGTCGTGTGTTGTGTCCGTACCTTTCTTGAGCAGTAGGAGGTGGGTGAACAGGCCGAAGATGGTGGCCGAGGGCTGGTGGATGGTGCACACCACCGGCGTGCCGCGGGATGAGATGTTCTGCACGGCCTTCATCACGCGCTCGGCGCCAAACGAGTCCAGACCCGACGTCGGCTGCGCATAATTCGAGGAATGTGCAACAATAATGGTTAGGAATGTTGCTGGCTGGGATGAGGAATGCAACATATGCGGCAACATACCTCGTCCAGGAAGAGGATGGCCGGGTCGGCGGCCATCTCGACGCCCATGGTGACGCGCTTGCGCTGATCGGCGGAGATGCCGTCCTGCATGTTGTTGCCGATCACCATGTCGGCCTGCTTCTCCAGGCCCAGGATCGACAGCAGGCTGCGCGCGTACTGCTTCTTCTGCTCCACCGGAATCGTATGCGGCAAACGGCACTATATTCCAAATAGAACGTAAATATGAGTATTGAAACTGCAATATACATAAAATAAGCAAATATAAGCCAATAAATTGTTTTTTTTAAAAAAAAGATGGAGGAACGTACGATGGCACTGAACTCGAGCGCTTCGAGGACAGTCTGGGAGGGGTTGTGGATGTCCTGCTGTTCGACGTAGCCGATGATGCGGTTGAGGCTGCTGTCGGCCTTGCGGCCGTTGATCAAAATATCGCCCGTGGTCTTGCCGCCGGTCTTGCGGCGCGCCAGGACGTCCATCAGCGTCGACTTGCCGGCGCCCGACGAGCCCATGAGCGCCAGCATCATGCCCGGCTTGACGTAGCCCGACACGTCATGAAGGAGCTGCAGCTCGTTCTTCTTGATGCCCTTGCGCACAAAGACCGAGTAGTTCAGGTTGCTCCACGACAGGTAGGCTCCCTTGTCCACCGGCGGGTTGCGCTTGCTCTTGTGCCCTAATAAGATTAAAACAGAAACTATTAGTTTTGGGTTGTTGTTGATGGTGATGCTGTTGTTGTTGTTGTTGGGAGTTACCCTTCTTGCTCATGCGCTTGTGGGCGGCCTCTTTCTTGACCTCTTGGATGTCGAAGTCGGCGAGCTCTGTGTCGTCGGACTCCTTCTTCTCTTGCATGCGCGGCGGCGGAGGCGGCGTGTGCCTGACGAAGCGGAGGGCCAGGAAGGCGAGCACGGTCCAGATGAGCCAGTAGCAGCAGATCACGGCCAGGAAGACCCACTTGATCCACGAATAGTTCCACACGTCGAACTCATTGACAGCATAGTCAGTGCCGCTCGTGATGCCGCACATCTGATTACCTGTTGGTGTTGGTTGACAGTTGATCAGTATCGTGTGTGTGTGTGTGTGTGTGTTGTGTGTGTGTGTGTGTGTTACCGGCATAGCCCTGGGGATAGGGGAGGTTGAAGTTGGGGGTTCTGTCGGGAGGCGGGCTGAGCTCGTCGGGAGAGCACCAGTAGGTGCTGCCCCAGAATTCGTTGGCGACCAGGCCCTGGAAGCCGTAGATCTGTTGGGAGGATTTTTGGGTGAGAAATGATGTTGAAGATGATGTTTAGAGCTACTAGAAGAGGAAGGAGACATACTGCTGGGTTCATCCAGTAAGCCCAGATCCACCAGCCAGGTATTTGAGTCTGTTGATTGGTCATACAGGTTTGTTAGTTGTGAGAATCCGCACAGTGTTCGTGATTTGGTGATTTTGAGTCCGCACCCTGGTGATCATGTAGCCGCCCAAGAGGATCGAGAGTGCAGTGAGGACCGGAGAGATGCCCTGGGCCGCATTCAAGTCGGGTGCAATGCAAGCAATGAACCGGTTGAACGCGCGGGTCATCTGCGAACATTGGGGGAAAAAGAAGGCGATAAGCAGGCAGGGGCATGCAGAGAGTGAGAGGAAACAAAGCGTACGAAGTAGTATGCGCCGCAGATGAGAAGGAAGAAGATGAAGCGATCACCGCCTGAGTTCAAACCAGTCATCCAATACGTTATGCTGCAAAACAGCAGCGTTTCTATCACAGTCATGGGAATCTGCGTACAAGCAAGAAAGGTTGAGTGAATAATAATAACAAGGACGACAATAAACAAACAAAACGAACAGTACCTCGGCGAGAATGTTGGACAGGAGGTAGGGCAGCGGTTTGTAGTATTTGCCGTCGCGCTGGTAGTAGTAGACCGCCCGATCGGCGATGATGCCCGGAAGCGCGTTGAGCGCGGAGAAGGAGAAGTAGGCCATGATCGTGAACGTCAAGCCCAGCTTGGTACGAGCGTCATCCTACATACATTCATCAATCGAGCCGCGCGATTTAGCTTCGCTTCAACACAGCACACAACACGCACGACACGTACCTGGTGATTGCCGAGACGAAGGAAGAGGGTGCCGGTGATGAGGGAGATGAGGATGGCGCTCATCACGCGCGATCGGTTGGTGGTCATGTCGCGCCACTCCTTGGTGAAGGCCCGCTTGGCCAAGAGCAAGAACTGCTTGGCCGACGACCGCGCGTACTGCTTCTCGTTGTGCTCCACCGCGTCGCTGTCCGATAGGCGCGACGAGGCCTGCGACGACGAAGACGAGCCGCCGGTCATCTTCTCGAGCTCGCTGATGGTGCGCGCGTAGTACTTGGACTGCTTGTAGGCGTCGACAAACTCTGCGGGCGTGAGCCAGTGGAAGTCGTCGTTCTCCGCGCCCTTCTCCTCGTCGTACTCGGCGTCAGCGCGGTACTTGAGCGGGTTGGCCACAATACCCGCCCCACTCTCCGCCACCTCCTCTGCATTCCGCACACACGTGAGTTGTGTGTGTGTGTGTATGTGTGTGGTGTGTGTGGTACACGTACGTAGGAATTCGGCCGGGTTGGTGTTCTGCGAGCAGCTGTAGCCGAGGGAGTTGAAGTGCTCCATCGCCTCCTGGCGCGTGCCGAAGAAGGCCACCTCGCCGTGCGACAGGATGAGCACGTTGTCGAACAGGCTGAACACCTCATAGCTGGGCTGGAGCAGCGATGCCAGCACCGTGGCCTCCATGTCGGCCAGCAGGCGCACGGCGCGCAGGACGTCGTACGAAGCCGAGGAGTCGAGGCCGGTCGTGGGCTCGTCGAGCAGGAAGATGGAGGCGTCCTTGACGGCCTCGACGCCGATCGTGACGCGCTTCTTTTCGCCGCCGGACACGCCGCGCAGGAGCGCGTCACCGACCACGGTGTTGGCCCGGTGCGAGAGGCCCAGCACCTGCAGGATGGAGTCGACGCGCATCTGCTTTTCCTTGCTCGGAAGCCAATCGCCCATCTGACAATCGGCACTGAATCGAAGCGTCTCCTTGACCGTCAACTGAGCTGCGTTGCGTGTGAGTGTGTGGTGTTGTGTTAGGAAAGCTCACGCGCGTCATCAAGCAAAAAGGTTAAACGAAGAAAGTACCAATGTGGGTGTCCTGCTGGGGCACGAAGTTGACCGAGCGGTGGTAGTTGCCATCGTGCGGGTCCTTGCCGTTGAACAGAATCGTGCCGCTTCTCTTGCCCGCCTTCTGGTTGCCGTAGAGCAGCTTCAGCAGCGTGCTCTTGCCGCACCCTGCACGTCATAATAAATGTTAAGGAAACCATAATTTTCTTTCTTTCCTGTCGCCTGATTTTTGCCAGTAAAAATCAAAAAATAAAGAGCGCGCAAGAATACGAAAATAGCGAGGAGATTTTCAATAATAAAAAAAGAGGAATTAAAAAGGGTACCGGGAGCGCCGAGCAAGAGGGTCATCTGGCCAGGCAGGAGAAAGAAGTTCACATCGTGGAGGATGTCGATGGGCTCCTTCTTGGCCTTGGCCTGGGCCAGGCAGTTGAGCTGGGTGGCGACCGTGGTCTGGGTCTTCTGCGGAGGCGCCGCCTTGACCGTGCAGGTCAGGTGCGACACCGCCACCTCGATCGGGTGGTAGTTGGGCGCGGTCACCTTCTTCTGCTTGGCAATGTGGTCGCGCAGCAGGACCGTCTGGTCGTTCACTTGAATGCGCAGCTCCGAGTCCTCTTCGTCCTATACGCGTGTGCTGTGAGTTTAGGAACGATATATATATAGAGAGAGAGATAACATGGTGTATGTGCGTACGCTCGAGTCGTTGCCAGCGACGGCGGCCGAGCGAACTGAGGTGCTGCTCGAGTTGTCGCTCAGGTCGTCACTGGAGGAGTCATCATCCAGGCGCTTCTGTGCGGCCTTGCCGTTATCCATGGTGAGACGAGGCAAAGGGTGGTGGCTGGTAGCTGCTTGTGTGCAAGATGGATAGGTCGAGTGCTGTGCCTGAGGTTGTGGGGTTTTGTAGGGTTTCGTGCCTTTTGAAGTACCCCACCACTTGCACAATTCGCGGCTGATCAAAAAACGCGACCAACCAGAAATCAGATCCAAAAAATACGAGAGTGCGATGGCCAATGGAAAATCGCGCTAGCCTCTTTGCGTGTGCCGCCACCTGATCCCGGCAAAATAATCTCGCCAAGCCGGCCCCGCGCCAGTCGGGTGCTGCCGCTCTATTGGCACTTTTCGTACCATTCTTGAGTCAACTCGTCGCGTTATTTGCTTGCTTGGCCTTGGGCCTTCATGGTCTGCCACTCTGGGAGGAAGTACAGCAGGTCGATCTGGGGCCACTCTGCGTTGTTTAGTTTGTTGGCGGTGGACAAGAAGGTGAGCATCAGAACCATCAGAACCCGGGCAAAAGAAAGAGAGCGTAGGCCTGTCAACCAAAGCCCAGCTGGGTCATCGCGGCGCTGAGCTGGCCTCGGTGGTGCGTGCCGCTGTGTGAGCGGTGACAGCAGTGAGTGAGTGAGAAGTACACCAACTACGTTCTCGGCAATGTGTTGTTGGGCGGGAGGTACTGATTGAAGACGTGGTCGAGTACTTCGCCCCGTAGCCGGGTGAGTTCGTGGCCTTTGGTGTCACGGTAGGTGAACTCGCCCTGTGGCCACAGCTTCAGTCACATTGATCGCTGGCTCTAGTCCCACTCACAAACCCAAGAACGTACTTGAAGCTCCTGATCCGACAGGGCAGACACCAGCTCGACCCAGGCAGTCGCCTGCGACCACACACCAACCAGCGATGGTCAACTCGGTCAGCCATCAGACAAAGGAGCGAGAGGGAGGGTCTGTACCTGCTGCAAAAGCGCGTCGCTCAGCTGGTGCCGATCGGCCACCAGTTGCTGGTCCAGGCCCGTGATGCTGATCTGCTGCCCAACGAAGCGGCCGTACCACAGCCGGTCGGCAAGCAGGATGTCTGCGAAGAAGAAAAGAAAATAAATTTAAAATAAATTTAGCGTAGTGTTGTGCGGGGGGAGCGAGCACGAACGGTTGAGGGTGGCATGGAGGGAATGGAAGAAGAGGCCCATGTCCTTGTGGTACGCTTCATCCGGGATGTCCTTCACCACTGCCAGGACCTTGCTCATTGCTGCATTTTTTATTAGTTATTTTAATTAATATAAAAGGAGTTCATTTACCCACAAGCAAGACATACCCCAGTGGTGGTAGGCAGCCATTTGCCCAAAGTGGCCACGGTATGGGTGCACGAGAGTTGCCAATGTGTGCTTCTCCATCTTGTGGCCCGGCAGTGAAAAAAGAAAACGGTTGGGGAAACACAAAATAAAATTCATGAATGTGTGTTGTGTCTCACACTAGCTGTCATTGAACATTGTCTGTACAGCTAGCTGCGTAGCTGCGTACATGTGATTTTCTTTGTAGCTCGGTTTTCTATGACTCTCTTCGATCGAAGATGAATTGCGTGCGTGCTACGCCCGGGCTCATAGGGCGAGACAGCCGCTCGCCAGAAGCTCGCCGCTGCCGCAGTCGCAGTAGAAGCGGGCCTCCTGGGGACACCGCTGCACGTCGTGTCCCTCGTGGCACTTGACCGCACACGCGCGACAGCACACGCGCTCGCGCTCGGGATCGCACGTGAGGCAGAAGTGCGGTGTGCCCTTGACGAACTCCTTGGGTCCGGCTGCATGGCGCGCCGTGCACGAGGTGAAGCGCGACGCGGCCGATTCGATGAGTGCGGCGTGTGCGGGCGAGTGCGCACGCATGCTGGCGACGAACGGGTCGAACAGGTAGCGCATCTCGGCGCTGTCGTGCAGGAAGGCGTAGACGTCGAACAGGTTCTGCGACGACACGAAGTTCTGCGTCACCGCGATCGTCTCGTCCAGGTTGAGCACCATGTGCCACCAGCCCTGTAGCACACATTTGTTCGCGTAAGTGTCTGTGTATTGTGCGTGTCGTGTGTGTCGTGTGTGCGATGTGTGTCGTGTGTGCGTGCCTCGGGAACGAAGATGAGCTCGCCCGGGTACTGGATGCACTCGACAAAGTCGACCTTGCCCAGCGCACGCTCCTCCTGGAGCTCCTCGTAGTAGTTGATGTACCACCCGATCACAGAGTCCGCACTGTGTGTGCGTTACATTCCAGTGCCGCGCATGCAGACAAAGGAGAGAGAGGGAGGGCACCTACATGGGAAGCGTGTTGCCGTGCTCGTCCTTCTCCACGCCCGGCGGCAGGACGTGGGGCGGGAACATGATCCACCGCTTGCGGCCCGAAATCAACGCATTCCACGCAGCAGTGCGGTTCGGATCTGCAAGAATGAACGCGTCGGGGGGACCTTCGAGGTTAGCAACGTGTGTGTGCGGTGGTGTGTGTGTGTGTGTGTGTGTGTGTGTGATTCTCTCTACCCTGATGGAAAGCGGAGCCGGAACGCGGCGGCCCCACGATGACCCAGCGGTAGTCCGGGCGCGTGCTGCCCATCGCGGCGAACAGATCTTCCCTGAAGTACTCCGGCACCTGCGCGATCGCTCATCGGTCAACATCTCGTTGGTCGCACGGTCCTGCGGGTGTCTGTGTCGTGTGTGTCGTGTGTGTCGTGTGTGTCGTGTGCTGTTGTTCGTGCCCACCTCAGTTGTGACTTGGTGCCGTGTACCTGATATTCCTCCAGCAGCGCGGGGACCTTCTCGCCAAACTGGCTGTCGAACAGGTAGAGCGGAGACTCGTCCTTGATCAGCTCTGCGCGTGAGAGTGTTTAGAGCGAATGGCGTGTGTCGTGCACTGGAACCTACACTGGACGTACCGGAGTAGGTGAAGTAGTTGGCCAGGCTCATAGTTATCTTTTCGCCCTGATAATATACACACACATTTCCGCGCAGAGTGTCGGTGCTGAGTGTTCAGCCTCTGGGTACAAAACAAAACTCAAACGCACGTCATCGTTGTAGGAGTCCGTCTTGAACATGGCCGATCCGAAACGCTTCAACAGGTTCTCCTTGGTCCACGCCTTGGCAGCTGGCCAGCTGTCAACACAACACGCGGACGTCATCACGACACGACACGACAAGCACACGACACACGACACGATACACGAGTGAGCGGAGGGTGCGGAGGAGCGCGTGAGCAGAACCGGGTGAGGTCACACTCACCTGGAGACGACGTCGGTGAGCATGACGGGCTTGTTCTTCGACTCGTACTCGTCGATGAACTGCTGCACGGACAGCCCGCTCCGTCGGTCGATCTCCTTCTCGTCGTGCACTTGGCACCACTGCATGGGGTCCACGTTGGCGTAGTACCACCACCCGTAGAGCAGGTCCGAGTAGAAGCCTGCCATACACCAGGTGAGATCACATATGCGTGCGTGCGTCTGCGGTTGTGTGTGTGTGTGCGTGCGTGCTGTGTGGTGTGTGTGTGTGTGCGGTTGCGATCGTGTGTTAAAGAGCGCTTTGTGGTGAGCTGCATGGTCTTCATGAGGAACGTGCTCGTGCAGACGCAGTACAAGGTGGTCACCAAGAAGCAGGTGGCCAACGAGAATGTGATCGAGGCCAACAAACTGCTCGCATCGCTCTTCACCCCCGACGTGCTCCTCAACCTGTGCAAGGTGCTGATCACCCGCTACTTCGTCCTCACGCCCGAGGAGCTGGAGGAGTGGAAGGACGACCCCGAGGAGTTCATCCGCGAGACCGAATCCGAGTCGGTGCAGGACAACCTCAAGGTACCCACGTGACCTTGACAGAAACGGGTTGGTAGGGCCTATCGACAGGTCGGTCCTTCTTCATCAACACCGTGCGCTTCCACGTTCCTGTGCACCAAGACACACGACACAACATCCGTCGGGAATTGAGGAACTGGTACGCATGTGAGTGCGGTGGTGCGTGCGCGTGTGCGCGGCGCCTGCCAGCCAAGATGCCTAACACTCAACACAACACTATAAACACACGCCGTCGTGACGGCGCACCTTTGTAGCAGAAGTCCTCTATGTCTCTGTCGCTGCCTGCATCATGGGACATACACAACATCAACACCGGGAATCGTCCAGTGAGTGTTGACGCTCGCATGGAGCCAAAGCCGTGCGGCAATCGCAGCGCGCTGGGCAGCAGCGATCGAGAGGCGGCGGTGGCTTCGAGCAGTAAAAACGTACAGTTGCCGACGCCGCGGTGGAGGACGAAGTTCTTCCACAGCTGGTCGTCCTCGGCAAAGGCGTAGAAGGCGCGGCTGACGAGGGACAGCGTGAGGAGGTCCTCCTGCGGCAGCTGCTGCAGGATCAGGAACAGGGTGCCGTCGTCCAGCTCGGCGAACGCGCCCAGCCCCGACTTCCGGCACTCGTCGTCCACTTCAACTTCTTCCTCCTCTTCATCGTCCTCCTCCTCATCAGCGCCCTCATCTTCATCTTCATCTTCATCATCTTGCTCCGGCGATTCCTCATCTTCGGGCGATTCTTCATCTCCATCATCTGCGTGAGCGTCGGACGAGCCGTGGCCGTGGCCGTGGCCGTGATGGGAGTGGAGGTGGCCGAGACGGCGGGCGCCGGAGGGCAGCGGGCGAACACCGAGCGGATGGGCGGGAAGGTCGGCATAGGCAGAGCCGGCGACGAGGTGAGAGGGCAAGGCCGGGAAGGCTGCCTCGGTGGCCACAAACTCCATCATCTTCTTGACACACTGAGTTCGAAGTGATAAATAAAAACAATGAAATAATAACTATTATAATTTAAATCTACGCTAAAATCACTAAATAGGGCAAATTGGGTCCAGGGAGATGGGAGAGGGTTTATGAGGAGATTACGAATTTTTAGACGATTTGCATCTCCTTGAGCTTTTGAGCGAGAAGCCACTCCTTCTGGTCGGCGGTGAGGTCCCTGTTGCCGGGATGAATGTTCTTCTTGGCCGCGGCTCGCCGCTCGACCTCCTTCGCCACTTCTTCCTTCTTTAACCGTTCGCCCACGAGCTTGGTCACCGCGGAGAACGAGTAGGGTTCGTAGATGGCCAGCTCGGAGAGCATCTTTCGATTGAGCTTCACATCGGAGAGGACGCATCCTTGCATGAAGCGCGAGTAGGAGAGATCGTGGATTCGCGTAGCGGCATTAATCTGCTGGATCCAGGTCTCGCGGAAGAGCCTCTTCTTGAGCTTGCGGCCCACAAAGGCGTACTGGAGGGCCTTGTAGGCGCGCTCCCTCGCCACGCTCGGGCAATTCTTCGCTCGGCCTCGGAAGCCCTTCACGAACTTCAGCAGCTTCTTCTTGTTCATGCCACTCATCCTGGCTCGCCCCTTCCTCTACGGCAGATCTTGTCTGATGTCGTTTGCGAGGATTGAATGTTGCTCAATTAGAGGAATCTCACACAGAAAAGAGCAAAAGAAAATAAAATTAAAAAAAGAATAATATTTATTTGTTTGATCTTTCTGCATTACTTTTTCTTTTGAGCCTCATCACGAGCCCAGGCCTTCATCGGAACTTGTGGGGGCAGTGACTCACTGAAGGGAGAGATGGAACAGCAGCCGAAGCCTCAATTGGATGCAGGAGTGGTCTACCGCCTTCTGCCGCTCACCGTGAGCCACGACGATGCTCAGCGCAAGCCCGCCGAACAGCAGCTGCTGGCCTACGAGTCCGTGCCTGGATTTGCCTCGCTCCTTCTTGTATTGCCCCCCCCCCAATCCACATTCCCTTCCGATTGCCTATTCTCAGATTATTTTTTGGTGGCCCACTATTATTTTTTGTGTCCGGGGTGGGTTTGTTTGCATCTTCTAACCAAGCCGAGGCCTCTCTTTACAATACCTGCAGTCCATTGTGGCAAACAAGACAGTGCCGCAGGAGCTGCGCTTCATCGCCGTCATCGCCCTCAAGAACGCCGTCTCCAAGAACTGGAAGAGCAAAGAGTACGCATCTTCTCTTCACCTTGAAGGCAACACAGCACACAGCACACAGCACACAGCACACAGCACACAGCACACAGCACACAGCACACAGCACACCGGCTGACCTTGCGCCTTTGTTCTCTCCTCCCCAAGGTCGATACCTGATGCCGAGAAGGACGTGATCAGGGAGCAGGTTCTACGTCTCTTCAACGAGGAGAGCGGACAGGTATTCCGAGCTTTCGCATTTCTTCTACGCTTCACCGTGTGGCTCACACACGTCTGATCTCTTCTTTTCTTCTTCTTCGGTCGGGCATCAATGCTCACCGGTGTGGTAGGTGGGGACATATATTGCCCTCATCATTGGCACGGTCGCCAGACACGACTACCCACAGAAATGGTGCGCACCACATAACCTGAAGAGCCGGCACATATGCGTGTCAGCTCGTTGACAACCGGTGGGCTGGCACTTGGAGCTGACACGCAATCTCGTGATGAAGGGGCAATTTGATCGCGGTGCTGGTGCAAGTGATCGAGCAGGGCAGCGCCCTGGAGAAGCTGCGAGCGCTCCAGGCATTCCAGAAGGTCGTCAGGGCGCTCGCCTCCAAGCGCCTGGCTCGCCACCGCCAAGAGTTTCAGCAGGTGTGTACCGAACCGTGTGTGCTATGACAACCCCTGTGTTGTGTGTGTGTCGTGTGTCTTGGTCGTGTGTGTCGTGTTGCCAAACGCTCACACTTTCATTTCTGTCTTCTGCTCAGATTGGACCGCAGCTGTTCGTGCTGTCCGCACAGCTGTGGTCCACCAACGTGGACGCTCTGTTGACGGCGCTCACCAACTACAACGCCAAGACCATTTCGGCTCAGGTGAGCTCTTGTGTGCTGCTTCTGTATTCGAGTGATTCGGTCGACTCACTCTCTTTTCTATTTTGACTGCTCTCACCGCCCAGCAATTGGAAGCGCTCAAGCCCTCGGCCGAGATGGTGGTCCACTCGCTTAAGGTCATCACCGATGTCACGCTCCACGGCTTCAACAAACTGAAGGACCCCAACCTCCTCAACTTCCTCCACTTCCTTCTCGTGCGCCTTAAGAACTTTGCCGAGTGCCGTACGTCTCTTTTCTTTATTCATTTGTCTTATTACTATTATTATTATTGGCACAAACTTATTATTTCATTCATTTCCTACTCTTATTTCGTTACTACAGATTCGGCGATGCCAGACCAGCCCCTCGACGAGCTGGTGTGCAAGTGGATGCAGCTCACGGTGAAGCTGATCATCCAGCTGCAGCAGGAGAAGCCCAACGCCTTCCGCAAGCACTTCCTCGCCGAGTACCTCGACTACTTCCACTCGGCTGTGATCAACCACATCGGGGTCCCCTCGGCTCCTCGTTTCCCTGGTACCCCTCAATCCGCCCATACGCGACATCAGGTCTGAACATTCGTGGCTGATCGTGTGTCGTGTGTGTCGTGTGTGTCGTGTGTGTCGTGTGTTAAAGAGCGCTTTGTGGTGAGCTGCATGGTCTTCATGAGGAACGTGCTCGTGCAGACGCAGTACAAGGTGGTCACCAAGAAGCAGGTGGCCAACGAGAACGTGATCGAGGCCAACAAACTGCTCGCATCGCTCTTCACCCCCGACGTGCTCCTCAACCTGTGCAAGGTGCTGATCACCCGCTACTTCGTCCTCACGCCCGAGGAGCTGGAGGAGTGGAAGGACGACCCCGAGGAGTTCATCCGCGAGACCGAATCCGAGTCGGTGCAGGACAACCTCAAGGTACGTTGAGGTGACCTTTTTTATTTTTATTTTTGATGACGTCAGCCGCCGTGCCGTCGCTGCCACGTCAGCACTGACTCTCTTCTTAATTGGCCATAGCCATGCGCGGAGAATCTCTTCCTGGCGCTGCTCCAGCGATACGGCGACGGGGAGTCGTTTGCGCTGTCGGGCGCCCTGGTGCAGCTCCTGACCCAGGCCATCAAAGGTGCTATATATATCTTTGTATTTATTGTTGTTATTATGAACGATTATAGCTCAAAAATGTATGTTGACGCGGGTCTCGTCACACGTGTCGTATCGTGTCGCAGAGAGCGAGGGCAAGGAGGGGCTGGATGGCCTGTTGATGAAGGAAACGTGCTACCGGGCCATCGGCCTCGGCGCCTTCGACTTCTACGATCACGTTGACTTCTCCGCGTGGTTCACCAACCAGCTCGAGAAAGAGCTCCGAGCCGAGCTGCCTCCTCTCCCCAAGTACGAACCCCCTCTCGAGTGGCGTGTCATGTGTGCCGCGTGCAGTGGTGCGCGTGAGCGTGTGCGTGTGCCGCGTGAGGCGAGGTGTGTGCGGTTGGGGCTGACCGCTCAATCACGCGCAGGGCGATTTTGAGGAGGCGCATTGCGGCGCTGGTTGGTGAATGGGTGATGAAGGCACCGCAGGAGCTGCGACGACCCATCTACACCGCCCTCCTTCCACTTCTCCACGAGAGCAACGATATCGTCGTCCGTCTCACGGCTGCCAACACCCTGCGTCTATGTACGACTCACCGCACACACCGCACACGCACACGCACACGCAGACTCTAATATTGCGATGTGTGCGTGTAGTGGTGGAGGATCTGAACTTCTACGCGGAGGTGTTCATGGAGTTCCTGGACGGAACGATCAACCTCCTCTTCAAGCTGCTCGTCGACCTGAAGTCCATCGACTCCAAGCTCCAGGTCCTCAACGTCATCTCCTCGCTCATCACCCAAATGGAAGAGCGGGTACGCAACCTCTATTTTTTTCCCATTATTATTATTATTGCTCATTATATATTAAATTTTTCTTTGCTTTATTTGTGATTTTAAAATCTTAAATAAAGCAAAGAAAAAAAATGTTTATGTGGAAATGTGTTTTCTAACACATTTAGTGTGAATAGATCGAGGGCTACCGAGACCTCATCCTCCAGTGCTTGTCGGAGTTGTGGAAGCTCTCCAAGGACCACCACCTCCTGCAAAGCTCCATCGTGCGCACGCTCGCCAGCCTGGTGAAGGTACCGCACCCAACATGGCCGCTCGACATGGCACACGCCACGTGCAAGACTAATAAGCAAACGCGACACACGACACGACGCACACACGGCACGCAGAGTGTTCGCGGAGGCGGCGATGCGTTCTATCGGTTCGTGGTGCCGCTCATCCAGTACGGCACGGACGTGAACTCGCCTCAGGCGCTGTATCTGCTGGAGGACTCGCTCGAGCTGTGGGCCGAGGTCCTCAAGCAGGCCGCGGCCATCACCGACGGCCTGCTCCAGATCTTCCCCAATCTCCACACTACCCTCATGTCCAACTTCGACCACATCAAGGTACCTACCATCAGCTTCACCGTCGGCATCGGCCCGCCATCGCCACCATCGCCAGGCTTACCCACTGACTGTGTCGTGCGTTCTGTGTCGCGTGTCGTGTGCAGATCTGCACGCGGATCTTGGACAGATACATTTTGGTGGGCGGCTCGCGCTTCCTGTCGATGTACATTCAGCAGGTGGCGGCCCTGTTCGAGGCCACCATCGGCAACCTCAAGGACGAGGGCACCATCCTCGCGCTCAAGCCGCTCGACACCCTTATCCAGCTCTACGCCGCTCAGGTAACTCTTCGTGTGTGTCGTGTGTGTGCCGTGTCCTGCATGTGCGTGTGCGTCGTGTTGCTGATATTCTGGTATGTGCGGAATGCAGGCTCTCCCGCTGCTGCAGAACACGTTGCAGCGCATCTTCTCGCTGGTGGTGGCCCTGCAGAAGGAGAACGAGTGGAGCCGGGCCACGGTGTACTACCTGTCCATTTTCGCGCGGGTGCTGGTCCACAATCGGCCCTTCTTCTTCGCCTTCTTCCAGCAGCTCTCCGCCCAGGCTGGCCAGAACCTCTTGGCTCCCCTCGTGGACTTCTGGGCCGAGAAGGTAGCACACGCACACACGCACACACGCATCACCGAACGCACACACGTAGTGAGAAGCTTACGATAACCACGACTGGGTGTGGTGCAGGCGGACAGTATGAGCGAAGCCCACATGCGAAAGCTGACGGGCCTGGCCCTGTGCCTGCTGCTCCCGACCAACGATCCTCAGCTGCTGCAGCGCACGCCTCTCATTCTAGGCGTGGTCACCTCCGTGCTCGCCGACACGCACCAAAACCCATTCGAGTGCGTTCAACCCCCTCCCCGAGGGGGAATGCATGTCTGTGTCTGGCCGCACACCATACGACACGAGCTGACGCTGCCCGCGCGCTCACAGGAACCTGGTCGTGACCACCGATGACGAGACCGCGGCCACCGAACTCATTCGACAAACGCAAGCGGTACGACGCCTCAAGCTCTTCTTCTTCTGTTCCTTCTTCTTCGCGTTTCTCGTTGGCGCACGCTGGGCTGACGTGTGCGTGTGCGCCATGTGTGCGCGATCTGCGATCACAGATGTACCGCAAGGACCCCGCCAACAGCACGAACCTGCGCACCTTCTGCCTCGAACGCCTGCAGGAGGCCGCTGAGCTCAACGGGCAGCAGAACTACCAGGCGCACGTCCTCTCCACCGTCGACCCGGTCATCCTGGCCAGCCTCCAGGCCCCGCCCGCCGCTCAGCAGGGCCAGTAGTCGTTGGTGGAGGCCACGGCCACAACTGTGATGGTCATCGTCACAGCTAGCCCGCGGCTGCGAACTCGTTGTGCTCGATCTCGTTGGTTGGAAAATTGGCTGGAAAATTGGATTTAAGAAACGGTTTTCCGATCGAGCTTTCATCGGTGCTCTGGACCAGGATCAAACGACATCGAGGGCTTGACTCGGTGGGTGGAGGACGAGAAGACGCAGGAGAAGGAAGGAGGAAGAAGAAGACGCAGAGAGGAAGAGGAAATTAAATTTCAGAAACGGTTGCTGATTAATTGGATTAATTAATCGCCAAGCATGGCACCGCCTGAGTATCATTACCCAGTCTACGAATGCTTCGAAGAATTCTCTCTGTGGCCCTGCATCTCGTACGCTCGCCTGGACCATCCACAATTAATCGTCAGGATCTGATGATCTCCCATCCTCGCACTGCAGGTCTACTGTGCTGGCTTCCTTGTTCACCCTCACGTTTCTGATCGCCCTGGCCGTTCTCATCCCCGTTCTCTACAAGACAAGACGGTAGCTCCCCTTCCAAGAATAATACTCCATTGATCGATCCTTTTAATCCTAATGAATGTTGCATCGCAGCTGGTGGGGTCATCAGCAAGTGATTTTGTTCTTAGTGATCTTGGAGATGCTTCTCGGCATCCTTCGCTACGCTGCCTTCAAACGACACGGCCTTGGTACATCCATATCTCCAGCACCGTGTCTGCAGACCGGCCGGTCCCTTTCATCCTCACCCCTCTTCTCCATCCCAGCCGTGGCGCTGTCCTACTTGAAGCTGCTTCAGCTGTGCGCCATCTGCTTCTTCTTCTTCCACTCGGTCCTGCGCTCGTGGGGCCGTGAGCACTACATGAAGTGGTAAGACTTCTTCTTCTTCTTCCTAAGAAGTGCTTATGGGCTGATCGATCGTGCGTGGCATACACCAACAGGATCGTGTGGCCCGTGACGACGGGCCTCGTCCTCTACCTCACCGCCATCCTCGTGCTGTCGATCCTCGGCCTCTTCTCCTTCCTCGACGAGTGCCAAGGTACGCTCGCACCCCACATCTTACGCCCGTGGCTCAGACTGCGCTGACTTGTTGTTCCTTGCCCAGATCCGGCCTGGCTCATCTTCTCGGTGAGCGGCTTCGTGCTGACTTGCATGTTTTTGATCTGCGCCTACCTCATCCTTCGGTACTCACGCACCGCCGCACACGCACACGCACCGCCGCACACCCACGTCGCGCTGACTCATTGGTGTGCAGAAAGTTGAACAAGACCACTATTTCGCCGCGATTCAAGCAGCGCAGCAAGTTTCAGCTGTGGTCTCTCTCCATCGTGTGGTTCTTCACCACCCTGGTACGCACCAACGTCCAACGTCCAACGCACCGCACCGCACCGCAACAGCGGTCTACTATTTTGTGAGCCAAGTGTTAACGAGCGCTCGTGCCACCTCCGTATACACAGGGCGCCATCTTCTACGACGTCTTCCTGGTGTCGGCATCGTCGAACGGTCGAGAATGTGAGCTCTACTTGAGTGTATGTACTCGCGCCTCAGTTAGCGCTGCTGTGTGTGTCGTGTGACTCCTCAGCTCATGTTCTATTTTATATGTCTCACTGCAGAATGTGCCGGCCGCCGACGCGGTCGTTCACATTATCGTCCGTTGGTTCGAGCTCATCTTGCCGGTCTGGGCAGGTAACCCAACTTGAACACACGGGGGCTCTGGAGTTCTCATTCGTCAAACGTTGAACTCAAATGTTGATGTTGACTGATTACCATTGTTCGTATGATGCCATTGACTAATTACCATTGTTCGCAGTGTGTTACGCCTTCAAGAACACGGCCATGATGAAGCGGAAGAATGCAGCCGGCGATATCAACTTCCCGCACCTGCGCGTACGACGCGACACACGCGACGCACACGACACAAACGACACACGACACACGCGACACACGCGACACAAATGACACACGACACACAGCTTAACTGACCCTCCCCTCATTCATCATCACAGGGCGAGGACAGTACGACGAGCGAGGTGTCGCGCACGTCGTCGGATCTGTACTTCACCAGTAACCGGCGCCACTTCTCGATGAACGTGCCGAGCGTGGGCGAGTACAGCCTCGTGGACCACAGCTACACCGACGAGGACGCGGGGAGCTACCAGAGCTACATCAACGCCACGCCCACGAGCTTCAACATCGAGTCCCCCCTCGGCACGCCACACTAAGCCACACCTGCCCACTCCTCCACCTCCACCACCAGAGGCGTGTGCGCGTGCGGCGTTCGCCTGCTGCTGCTGCTCATCATTTTCGAGGGATCGCACGCGCATGCACCTGAGTGTGGTATCTCTCCTCATATGATGTCTCCTTGCCCATTTACCTCTTTGGTCACGTGTACAAATACATGTTTATTATTATATATTATCGCTATTATCTGTCCTGCTTTGCCTCGGTTCGCCGGTTGGGCACCAGCGCAACCAATGGCGCATAAATTTTTTAACTTCGGGCCAATGTGAATTTTCCCGACATTTCGCGGCTCCGGCGCGAAACGGTGCCCGAGGCGATTTCTGCGGCATTCCGGACCGTCTCCGAAGGGACTTTAGTGAGTGTGGACCTCACTCCGCGACCTGCCGCCATCCCGGACCGATCGTTCGGTGCCTCTCACCTGCCCACTTCCCTTTAGCCCTCCTCCCTGATTGCCCACAACTACTACGACCACCTCCCACCGCACCACCTCATTCCTCCTCCAGGAACGAGACCCGAACACACACGCACCATGAATATGTTTTTATTCGTTTTTATTTCGTTTTTTTGTTTGTTTGTTTGTTATTTATTTGGGTACTCCTTGCCATGCCAGGGTGCCAGATAGAGAAGAGGACGACGTCCTCGCCATGCAGGAGATCAGCCTCGATGACCCCGCGCCACCGCCACCGCCACCGCCACCGCCACCGCCACCTCCAGAGCCGCCCGCCCCTGACAGCGCCAACGCCAACGATGCCATACCACCGCCCACCGCCACAACCCACCAACAACCGCCACCACCAGCTTCGGCCGAGGCCGATCTCGAGCGGGCCATGGGCGGCCCAAGCGCGCCGCCAGCCGCGGACGCTGACGCCAAGAAATTCGAAGAATTCGACGACTTTGACCAGAGCGCCGATGAAGCAAAGAAGAAGAGGCTGGGGGACGAAGAGCAGGGCGAAGCCGACGAGGTCGAGCGGGTGCCCGAGCGGTGGCGGCTGGGCCAGGAGCTGGGCCTGACCAAAATCGGTGCGCTGTTCTGGGTCATGGTGCTGGTCATTCCCAATGCCTTCATCCTGCTCCTGCTCCTGATCCCGCTCGGCGAGCCCGATGCGGTGTTCGACCGACACGGGGCGTGGCCGTTCATCTTCTTCGTCAACCCGCTCATCATGGCCCTCGTGGCCTACCTCCAGCTCACCCCCTACTGGGGCGCACACGGCGACGAACGACCCTTCACCCTCTTCCCCGAAAAATGTACCGCACACGCACACACGCACACGCACACACCGCCGCACTCGCACGACCGCACGCGCATGAGCGACTAATGAGACTACTCGCGCAGTGCCGATCATGGCGGCGGTGTACGTGTTGGAGCTGGTGGTGATTCTGGCGCTGGTGCTGCTGTTCGACTTCTTCAGCTTCATCGGCCTCGTGTCCCTCGGCATCTCCTTCCTCGTCGCCTTCTTCGGTATCGCCCGCTTCCTTTTCCTTTTCTTCTTTTCTTCTTTTCCACTTTTTGACTCTGACACGACACGACACGACACGACCAACGACACACGCCCGCAGGGACTTGGGTATGGCAACGACTGAAGAGAAATGAGGCGCTGCTGGTGCTGTACCGAAAGTACATGAAGATTGTGACGCTGCTGTACATTCACTTGGTCATCTTGGCCATCTACGTCATCCTCTTCCGCGAACTGCCGGCCAACCTGCAGTCTGTGCTCACCTTCGCCCTCTCGATCGTCGTCTTCATCAACCGAAAGGTACATGCACGCGCCGCACGCACTGTGAATGACATGGGTGTAAAGAGCCGGCAAAGCTGATTGACTTAAGTTACTGTTGCTACGCGTAGATCATGCTGTCGTTCACCGATCCATTTCCTATTGAACTGGCAATGCTCATCTCCGGCTTCTGGATCAACAATGTGAGCGACATGGTATGCATCACTGTGCCTCTCACTCCAAACGCTGCTTCGCAACGGCACTGACATCTCTACGTGTGTCGTGTCGTGTCATGTGTGTCTGAAACAGTTCCAAACGCTGGCCTTCCCCAATGTGAAGGATCCCATCACGTTCCTCTACATTTGGCTCATCAACTTTGTGGGCGACGTCGCTAACCTCATCTTCCTCACTTCTATGTACGTGGCATCCTTCCCTCGTTCCTTCTCAGCTGCTGCTACGGCACTCCCACACCACCGGTTCGTTCTAACATGATTTATTTCCTTATTTCTCTCACGACCAGTTGGTTCAGGTTCCGCGTGTGGATCAAAGCGGTGCAGTGTTTCATCGTCATCGTCTTCATCTTCATCATCGTGTCGTCGGCTTGGCTGACTTGATTGGGTGCGGCAGGTGCTGCAAGGCAAGTGTAGGCGGATGCCAAAGCCAGACTTCGAGGACACCAACCCCAACGAACGCGGCCACTCCAACAACCGACCCGGTACCCGCCACTCCATCCTGACTCCCTTAAGCACTGTAGCTCACCGCACCACGCACACGCACACGCACACGCACCAAACACCCGCACCCGCACCCGCACGCACGTGCACATGTTCAGGTTATCGACGGCGACAGGCGCGATTCTACTTCTGGCGAATCACGAGCAAGTTGGTGGCGATCGCATTCTACTTCACCGTGAGCCTCGTGCTGCGCTACTACGACACCAACAACCAATACTTCAACTTTTCCAACGACCCCTACACCATCATCACCTCGTCCGAAGGTACCACCAAAATTGTGTGCGTGTGCGGTGGTGGGTGTGCGTGTGCGTGTGCCGTTGCTGACGTAGAATGCATTCAGGCAAGCACCCAAATGTGTTGTCGGGATCCGACTACGCCAACAGCATCATCTACGCGTCATGCAACTTCGTGGTGACCCTGCTCGCGGGCCTGATGGGCTACGCGCTGCTGCGCTGGCACTGGCGCGAGGTCTTCCGGCAGCTGGCGCCCATCGCGCGCACGCTGGCGCACAACCACACCTTCATCGGGTTCATCGCCGCCATCATCGCCCACAACGGGCTTCTGGCCATCGTCTTCCTCCAGTACCACCAACGCATCTGGTGGTACGACCTCTCCTTCATCTGAGCAGCGAATGCGCACAAAATCGAAATAACAATCACCTACACCGGTTCCCGGTAAAAGCCTGGCTTGCGGTGGCATTCCAAGCATTCCTGCTTTTGATTTCTTTTTTATTTCTTTGTTCTTTTCGTTCCCAGAGAATTCTGTCTTCGCCTGCTTTTTCACAGGGAGCATGTGGCGAGGCCTTGACTTCGCTGATACGGTCCTGCAGGCCACGTCGGGGCCACAACGCACACGAGGCACAAGAGTCAAGCAGCTGCTCGAGTGCAGAGAGTTTAGAAAAACAAAAAGATGCAACAGCAGCAACAGAGCAAACAAGCAGAGATGCAACAGCAACAGCCGCTGTCTGCCGAAAAGCTGAGGAGCCTCCTGTTCGCGCAGGGCGTGGAGGAGCGCGTAGAAGTGAACCAGCGGCACCTCATCGACAAGATCCTCGCACGCTACAGGTTTGCCTCCTTTCTAGTTCTTCGAAGCTATTTTCTTGAATAAAAATATTAAAATAATTAAAAAACAAAAAAATATAAAATAACCACTTATAAATTGGGAAATAGGAATTTAAATAGAGGAGTAATGGGTTATTCGGTCTTGGTGATGTGTGCACAGTTCCGAGTTCACGCTGTTCCGGGAGCTCATACAGAACGCCAACGACGCTGGGGCCTCTCACGTGGAGGTGCGCCTGAGCACCGGGGCGGGCGCAGCCTACCAGCCCGCTACCCACGCCGACGACGGCGGTGGAGGGGAGACTTCACCATCATCGTCTTCCTCCTCCATCGTGTCATCCGCTTCATCAGCCGCCTCGGCCATTCTCAACATCTTCAAGTGGGGCTCCACCTGGTCGTCGACCTCTTCTTCATCGAGTGATGACTCGTCGTCGGCCGGCAACGAGCCGGCAGCGAAGAAGAAGGGCAAGGCCGGCAGCGCGGCCGGCGAGCTGCGACGATTCGGCACCTGCGTGGCCACCGAGATCGAGATCAGAAACAACGGACGCACGTTCAGCGGCGACGACTGGAACCGTGTGCGCAAGATCGCTGAGGGCAATCCCAACTCTGGTGCGCACACACCGCACACCACGACACGACCAACGACACGACTAACGACTAACGACTAACAACACGACACGACACATGCTGACATGGATGGACACACGCGTGTGTGTGAGTGCAGAGGCGTGCGGCATGTTCGGCGTGGGCTTCTATTCGGTGTTTGCGGTGACGGAGCAGCCGATCGTCAGGTCCGGTGACGAGTACCTCGCGTTCCACTGGAAGGGCGACATGCTGGTCACCACCCGGGGCCAGATCGAATCCGACGCGCCGGCGGCGCAGAAGGCCGAGGACAAGAAGTGGGTCTCCTTCATCCTCGAGGGGCGCGAGCCCCTGCCGCTCGATCTCGACCAACTGTGCAAGTGCGTACTCACCCGTCATCATTCACACTCAACCGCACACGCGCACGCGCACACGCACCACCGCACACACAGGCACACACACGTGTGCTGATTGTAATGAATTGTACATATTGTCTTCCAAGGTTCCTGGTCAAGTCGGTGGCGTTCACGACCAACGTGCGGCAGATCACGCTGCTGGTGGACGGCCAGGCGCTGTTCCAGGTGCGCACGGACACCTCGTCGGGCGACGCGACGTCCATCAAGGTACCGCCAAAGAGGAATCCCAACCAGCTCGCCAAGCTACAGAAAGACGGACTGGGCTTCATGACCATCGGTGCGTGTCTGCCCTCTCCTACTTAACTGAACTGTCACCAGCGTTGACTTTTCGAGCCTTGACTATGTTTGACTCGTAGCCTCCCGTTGACCGCTGCTGACCTGCGACTCGCTATTTCCATTTAATTGCTCATCGCAGCGTCGCTGGAGGAGCACCAGCGGGTGGTGGAGGTCACGATGTACCCCGATACGACGCCATCGTATCGGGTCAGCACGAGGCAGCTCGCGGCGCAGGTCGACGTCCATTGGGGCCTCGTGCCGACCTACCTGGAGAACATGAAGCGCATCCTCAAGAAGAGTCCACCCTCGCGCACCAACATTCTGATGCTCTATAATTTCGAAACGTTGGACCAGTACGTGTTCCACTTCTTGCCACACGCACACGCACCACCGCACACGCACCACGCACACTGTACACCGCTGATCCCTGATATATTTATGTTCGAAATGCAGAGAGCGAGACCAGTTTGTGGCTGATCTATTTCCGAGCCCGAACAACGGGCACATTTACATCGGCTTTTCGACACATCAGACCACGGGTTCGGGCTTCCACATCGCTGCCCAGGTACGCGGGCTGTTTTGGTTTGCTCTGGGACACCACTGGCCTGACCTGACTCTGATTGCGGTGCATTTCTTTCACAGTTGATACCGACGGTCGAGCGAGAAAATATTGATTTCCAGGACGTGTACATATCCAACTGGAACTGTAATCTTCTTTCGGTGGCCGGCCAGGTGCGACCATTCTCACGATTATTGCTTGGCTGCTTTTGATGTCTTCTATTACTTACGTGTTCCCCCACCACCACAAAGGTGTCGCGTCTGTACTATGACCACGTGCTGGCTTCGCTGGCGCACGTAGTGCCGACCGAAGAGACTCCTCAATCACTGGCAGACCAAGCCACCATCGCCAACCTGCTCGAGGCATACAGGTAAAACACACAACACACACATAACACACACAACACACACACAGCACACACACACACAGCACACACACACGATACTAAAACACGCATACGGTCGTGGCCAAATATGTTTGTAGCTTCGTGGACAGCCACCCGAGCACGCAGGTGAACACCCTGCTCTCGCAGTACTACTTTCTGTCGCCGGACACCCTGCAGCCGGGCAACGACCTGCCCGTGCCCTCGGCCTCGGGCGTCATCCCGTGCCGCGTGGCTCGGTTGCCCCATCTCCGCATGGAGGACTTCATCGCCGCCGCCAGGCCCAAGGGCGGCAGCAAGCAACCGTCATACTCCATCATCCCACGCCCGCTCTACAACAAGTGCCAACGGTACTTTCTCGGTGTATTGTGCGTGGCGTGTGTCGTGTGTGGTGTGTGTGTCGTGTGTGTGTCGTGTGTCATAATGTTAACTTTGAGTTTCGCAGGTTCTTCCAGCAGCTGGTGAAGCGTAAGTTGGTGAAGAATGTGACGCTCGACGAGATGCTGGAGAGCGTGCAGCGACGCCGGTTCTCGTTGGACGACCTGGCCGCGCTCGTCAAGTGGTACAACGCGTCCGACGTGCAGCAGGAGCTCTTCGGCAAGAACCTCAAGGAGAAGAACACCGCCAAGCTGCTCAGCGCCACCACCGTCCTGCTCACCGCCGCCGACGCCGACACCGCCGAAGCCGAGACCACCGACGAGACCGCCGCCGTGGTCGAGCAGAACCTGGGCAAGGTCAAGTACTATGCGCTCAACAAGGCCATGCGCGCGCTGCCGGTGCCGCTCGGCACCGCGCACCCGGCCGTGGCGGCCCTGTGCAAGAAGGAGCTCATGCACCGGGGCTTCGGGTGGGCCGAGCTCTCGTTCGCCGAGTGGTGGAAGCACGTGAAGCGCAACCCGCAGTTCCTCCGGGGCGAGTTCGGGCCTGTCGACACCAAACGGAAGACTGCGCTGGTCGAGGTGGAGGCCCGGCGGGCGGCGGTGGAGCTCCAGCGCGAGCAGTACCTCAACCTGATGGTCTTCATCGCCGAACACCACGCCAAGGCCACCGCGCAGCTCAAGCAGGAGATCGTCACCATGCTCCAGTTCAATCCATCGATCCTCATCGAGGACGAAGACGACAACGTTGACAATAACGACAAGCCGCCGACACGTACGTTTGTTATCGCTTTCGCTCTTTATTTGTGTCGTGTCGTGCGGTGCTTAACGCTGGCTGGCGTGGGTTGACGTGGCAGTGACCTTCCGTATGCCGCCGGACACGTACCATCCGCGAGTGCAGCTGTTCAGGGACATCGTGCACGTGTCCGATGAGCTCCTGCACAAGGTGGGCAAGGCCTTCCTGGCCCAGCTGGGCGTGCGCGACACGGTCGAGCTCAAGATCGTATTCGATCGCCTCGAGGAGCTCTCCTGGGACATCCAGGTACTACTACAACTACTCCCACAACAATTCTTGGAATTACAAGCGAGCTTGCTTACCACCACCCCACTCTTGGGCAGGACCTGGTGACGTTCCTGGCCGAGCGACAGACTTCGTTCACCACCGCAGACTGGGAGCTGCTGAAGCGGTCTTCGTTCCTGCCGGGCATCGTGCACCAGCGCGCCAGCGTGAACACCGCCGATGCAGCCGCCGACACGGCTTCCACGGGCCGTGACGTCAGCACGGTCGCCAAATCGCAGATGCGCAAAGCCTGCGAGCTCTACTTCCCGCACCCGGAGATCGTTGAACTGGGCTTCGAGGTGCTCGCCTGGCCCAAGCCCGAGAGCCAGCTGGCGGCTGGCGAGGCCCAAGTCACCGCCACCGCCGGTGAAGATGAGCCGGTGGAGGTCAAGCCGGCGCGAGGCCCCGCTGCAGCCAAGAGAGCCCGGGCGATTAAGAAGAAGGCCTCACTAAAGGGAGCGGCTGACGGCGAGTTCTTGCCGACATCCAAGCAGGCCCAGCTGCTGTTCAAGATCGGCCTCAAGAACGCGCCCAGCATCCACGCCCTCGTCAAGCTGGCGGCTGCCTCGAATTCCTCTTCCGCGTCGTCGTCGTCGTCGGCCGTCTCGTCTGCGCTGCCGTTCCAGTTGCTCGCCGACACCGATGACCCGATGCGGAACGCGGTACTGTCGTACCTGGAGAAGCACGCGGCCGAGATGATCAGCGCCGAGCCCTCGTTCACCGCGACCAACGTCACCGCGCCCTTTCTGCCGGCCACCCTGCCCGCCGGCTCCGCCTACGCGCGATCCCTCAAGCGCAAGGCCCGGCCACGCCTGCGCCGACCGAGCCCGCCGCCCTCTTCCGCGGAAAGAATCGGAAAGGCCGAACGCAGGCGCAGGCGCAACCCAGTGGACCTCCGGCTGCGGTCGAGCCGACGGGCGAGCAGGACCTGCTGACCAGGCTGACGCCAGCAGGCGAAGCGGAGGGACCCGAGCAAGTGGTGAGCGTGCTGTGCCAGCCCGGTGCGTGCTTCCTCAACGACTCGCCGTTCGGGTTCCCCGTGGTGGTGCCCCGATGGAGGGACCTCGCCCAGCGGCTCGGCGTAGCCGCACACCCGCCGCTTTCCTTCATCCTTGACATGGTACGTACCGCACACGCACAAGCACGACACACACCGCACGCATATGTTCAAAAAACATTGTTGACATGGAGTGTGTGGTGTAATGACAGATCGTCCGTCAGCCGCCGATGACGATGACCGAAGCGCAACAGGTGTTCGCGTACCTCTTCACGCGCATCAACGACTTCAAGAAGCAGGACTGGGCCGTGCTGCAGGCCTCGGCCTTCGTGCCGGTCTTCACCGACGATGTGGGACCACCCACCACGACTAACGCCGGTGCCGGCGACGACCACCACCGCCACCAGCCCAAGAATGTCACGCACGCCAAGGTCCACCAGGTCTTCATTCATGAGAATCCTGCGACCGCCCTGGCGACCAAGCCCGACGCTGAGCAAGAGGAGAAGGCCACCACCAACACGCCCAACCGAGGCGGCCACCAGCAGCAGCAGCGGCGGCTCAAGGGCAAGGCCAAGGGTAAGAACAGGCGAAGCAACAACGCCGACAACAACAGCGCGACGACCATGGACGAGCCGCGCAGGGACACCGGCGGCGGCGGCTTGCATACCTCACCGCGCGAGGTCTACGACAATCTGCTGGACTTTGTGAATTTCGGGAGTCGCGCCAACTTCTTCCTGCGGAGCTGCGGCGTGGGTGAGGTGCCCTCGGTCGAGCAGCTCGCCCAGAACTTCATCCACCACCACAAACGGTACAAGCCGCACCCACATTCCATAAATTACACACGACACACACGACACACACGACACACACGACACACACGACACACACGACACACACGACACACACGACACACACGACACACACGACACACACGACACATTTCTCTGTGGGGTGATGATGACGTCAGCTTCCTGGCCAAGAACGGCGTTCGACGATACCTGCAGCTGCTCAAGATCTTCGCGACGGCCTTCCCGCAGCTGACCGGCTCGGCCGCGCTGGTCAACCAGCTGGCCCAGACCCCCTTCTGCGTGGCCTACCAGTACGACGAAGAAGACCAGCTTCAAGCGGAATCTGGTAGCAATGCCAGGAATGCAAGGAATGACAGGAATGACGCGTCGACGCGCGAGGTGGCCGTCATGAAGCGCGCCAGCGAGTGCTATCTGATCGACAACGAGCGGCTGTGCAAGCTCTTCAACCCGCCCCGGGTGCCGCCAGTCGAGGGCTCGGCCGTGCTCGTGCGCATGTACGAGGAGCTCGGCGCCCGGTGGGTCACCGCCGACCTCCAGCAGAAGACCATCCCACGTGGCACGCCCCGGCTCACCGACGCCACACGCCAATTTAAGCAGCTCCTCGCCGAACGGTTCGTGTGTGTGCGGTCGTGTGGTGTGTGTGTCGTGTGTGTCGTGTGTGTCGTGTGTGTGTCTGACGCGGTTTTTGGATTGTGCTCCGCAGGAAGCCACTGTTGACGCACACGATGCAGGGCAAGAAGCGGAAGCATCTGCGACCCGAGGCCGAACGAATGCTCGATCAGCTCACGATCTACGCCGTCGATCGAATCGAGCGCGTGCTTCAGTTCAAGGGCGGCAAGAAGGTGCACGAGGAGGCCAGCGTCAGCATCGTCCAGCGCCGCAAAGACGACGTGTGCCTCTACATCACCGACGGTACCCTTGTGCGCGTGTGCGGTCGTGCGGTCGTGTGTGTGTCGTGTGTGCGGTCGTGTGTGTCGTGTGTGGCCGTGCGTGGGAGACTGACTCGTGCGGTGTCGATCAGGTGGTGATGTTGACTACTTCGATGTGGGGAGCGAGCTGGTGCCGATGCTCTACGCGAAGCCCAAGCACGACGACGCGCTCCTCGTGGCGATGCTCCTCCAGACCTCCATTCCGGCCCTGCGGCGCGGAGGTATGCGAGACCGCCACCTTAATCATCACTCTTACCACTCCGCCACCTTAATAACATCACCGCGCCTCCTTAACGTGCGTAGGGTGGCCCGTTGACCGGCTGCTGCAGCTGGGCCGGGACGAGGCGGCCGCGCCATCTGCGGGCAAGCCCGACGCGTACCACCCGCTCGCGGCTATAAAGGCGGGCGACGGCCATGCTGACGTCACGCCGACGTCCACCTCGACCACCTCCGAGCCCCAACTGCGCACCACCCGCGGCGAAGAAGAGGAGCAGCTCGTCCAATCCAACACCTACAAAGAAAGGTGCACACACGACACACGACACGACACGCACGGCATGCAACACGACACGCACGGCACGACATGACACGACACGCGCGGTGTGCTGACCGGACGTGGGTTGCGCACAGTACGCACACGAGGGACGATCGACGGTCGGCGTCGGGCCGGGACCACCAGCGGGAGATGAATCGGCAGCTGGGCCTGGCCATGCGGGGCTTCTCGGCCCAGGCGCCCGCGCGGGTGCGGCAGGAGGCCGGCGAGAAGCGGAGCGTGCACTACAGCTGCGAGGTCATCCCGCAGCAGACCCTCCGCAAGCTCGCCACCGTCCAGGGCGTCGACCTCTACCTCGAAGACGGCGTCGACTCGGTACGCTTGCACGCGTGCTGACGTGGCTGGCCGCGCGTGTGCGCTGTTACCACTCACACGACCGCACACGCACACGCGCAAACCGCACACGCTCGTCGCACACGCACACAGGCGGATGAGTTGATGGAGGCGGCGGAGGGGATGGCGGCGTTGCTGCGGAAGCTGGCGGGGCAGATCTTCTCGGTGCCGCTGCAGAGCTTTAAGATGTTCGTGGCCCACTCGGGCAACCGCATCGCCTTCAACCTCCAGCGCGCCGTCTACTTCAACCTGGGCATCTACGCCGACCTGCACCATGGGTACCAATCGCGACTCCCCGCACACGCACCACCGCACACACGTCATCGCACACACCACCGCACACCGCACACCGACTGATGTGAGGTGTGTGTCGGTTGGATGAGGAGCAGAAGGAGCGCGGCGGAGGCGATGTCGTTCTGGTACATGACGACGTGCCACGAGCTGGCCCACAACTCGTTCGAACTGCACAACGAGGAACACGGAGCGCTGCTCGAGTGGATCGCCCACGCCTACATGCCCGTCCTCCACAAACACCTCCCGCCAGCCACCACCCGCAAGGGCTAAGAGGCCAGGCTCCTGGAACAGACTACCATATTTGATTTATAAATATATGTTTTTATTTCTGTTTATATATGTTGATGTATTTATGTATGAACACACGTGGGTCACCCTTCATAGTTGTCGCCAACCCGGCAGATGATGAAGCAGGCCAAGACCACGCCTACGGCAGAGAAGAACGAAAGAAGGTGAATGGAAGAAAACACCAAAGAAGGGCGAACGAAGCGAAGAACCTGGGATGAAGCCAGCGAGCGTGAACAGGGCCACAAAGCACACGACGCTGCAGAGGTAGTGGGGTCGTTCTTGGTAGAACCCGAGAGCGCCCAGCTTGATGAGCACGGCAATGGGCGGGAGCAGCACGGCCAGCAGGCACAGGCACACGTTGGTGAACGTGCACCCCTCGCCCTCTTCCTTGTTCCCTCCGCACATGAGTGAGTTATGCCTTTGTTCTGCCTTTCTTGTTTTAGTGTAAAAACCTTTGACCTTGCATTTTCGGTGAAGTGAAAACACTTTTGTAGCAAGTTTAAATTTCTCAATGTCATCCACACATTTTAGCGCAGACGTTTGGCGATTTCGTTGAGGTAGGTGATGGTGCTCAGCCGCTCGGGGATCGGAGGCCCGTGATGTCCTCCGGATCCAGGATGTGCGTCACCCCGACGCCGTCCAACGCCGCAAACGCCTTCTCCAACCTGCGTGCAGACCCAACAAACCGCTAAGTTGCAGTTTCTGAAACCACCAGCAAAACGAAACGAAACGAAAACGAAGAGGAGCTGGCTTCGAACCTGGCGAAGGGCGTCATGGCCTCGACGTCGTCCCAAGCAAAGGCCGAGGGCACGTGGTAGTGGGCCAGCGCCGCGAACGCCTTTCCGTCCTTCCACGACGTCGTGAAGTTGGTCACTGCAACACAATACCAGCGGAAGGTGCATTTTAGCTCCGACACTCGCGGGGGGCAAAGAGAGAAAGCGAAAGAGAAAGCGAAGACGTACCGGTGACGCCCTCGTACTTTTCGGCGATGGACTTGCACCACTGGAGGAGGCTATCGAGGGCCGACGAGCTGCCGGCGCCGGCGGGCGACCCGCGCAGCGAGCCCGAGCCCGACGGCGACGCCCGGCCGCTTGGGCTCATGGGCGCCGCAGCCAAGCCGGGCGACGAGTGGGTGCGCAGCAGCGAGCGGTGCTCGGTCACTGCCGGCGACGTCGGCGGCGTCGAAGCCTTCTCGCCTGCGGCGGCGGTGGCGGCGCCGGGCGCCGACTTCTTCAGGCGGACGGCGCCGAGGTCGATGTTGCCAAAGCCCATCATGCCGCCGCGGCCACGCCCACCCGGCGCGCCCGGTCGGCTCAGTACAACCGACTTCGAGCCGTGCGGCGACACGTTCAATCCCATCGCCTGCAGCGTGTGCGGTGTGTGCGACGAGCGAGTGCGGTGAGCGAGTGCGGCGAGGGATAGCGAGAGCGCGGTCGGGCGTACAGTGGTGATGGGTTGCGCGTGGTGGGACGGCGACGCGTCATCGACGGCGGGCGCGTCGTCGCCGAGGTCGGCAGTGCAGGGCTCGAGCTCCTTGAGGGCCGGGTGGCTGAACTGCTCGCGCCGGCCGGCGCCCGTTATGGCCCGCCGCTTGGGCTTCTTGCGGGACTTGCCCCGCTTGCGCAGGCTCTCCTCCGGCACGAACCGCTCCTTGCTCAACGAGTCTACACCACGCATCGTCGCCATCATCATCGACAAACGCAGGCGCGCGTGTGCGGTCGCGCATGGACGGTAAGAACACGGCACGCACGGCACACGCGCACACGAGAGGGGGTCGGTACCGAGGCGCTTCCGGCCCTTGGGGGCGAGCGTGTCGAGCAGGTCGGTCTTGGTGCGCAGCCTGGACTGCTGCGGCTGCACCTCCGACTTAGCCTCCTCCTCCGCCTCGGCCTCGGCTTCCGCAGCGGCGGCGGCCGCCTCTTCCTCCTCCCGGCCTGCTGCTGCTGCTGCTGCTTACGCGCCTCGGCCTCGGCCTCTTCCTCTTCCTTCGCCTTCTCGGCCCTCTCTCGCTCCGCCTGCTCCCTCTCGCTCCTCTCTCGCGCCTCCCGTTGGGCCGCCTCCTCCCGCGCCCTTTCCATTTCCGCCTCCCGCTTCTCCTCCTCCGCCCTCTCCGCGGCCTCCTCCGCGGCCTTGGCCTTCCGCGCCTCCTCCGCCTCCCTCTCCTTCTCCTTCTCCTCCCTCGCCGCCTGCGTGAGTCGCTCCCGCTCCCGCTCCTCCGCCTGCGCCCGCTCCTCGCGCTCCCTCTGTTCGGCCTTGGCCGCTCCTCCTCCTCCTCCTCCTGCCGCTGCTGCTGCTTCTCCTGTTCACGCGCGAGTCGCTCCCGCTCGGCCTGTTCGCGCTCGGCCTTCTCGCGCTCCTCCCGGGCCAACTGCTCCCGCTCGGCCTGTTCGCGTTCGGCTGCCTTCTGCTGCTGCTGCTGCGCCTCCCGCTCGGCCCGCTCCCTCTCGCTCTTCTCCCGCGCCTCCCGCTCGGCCATCTCCCTCTCGCGCTGCTCGGCCGCCTTCTTCTCCTTCTCCTCCTTCTCCCTCTCCTCGCGCTCCCGCTCTGCCTTCGCCGCCTCTTCGGCCGCCGCAGCTGCAGCTGCAGCCGCGGCCTTGGCCGCCTCCTCCTCCTTGTGGGTGGCGTCTGCTGCCGCGGCGGCCTCGGTGGTCTCGGCCTGCGGCTGGGCGGGCTTGCGCGGGGCCGGGGTGGGAAGGGGCACGTCGCGTCGCGCCGCGGCGGGCGCGCCTCGG